CATGCCTAGAATATAATGATTGGGGAGGAGGGGGGGGGGGGGGGTTAATGATATCCGAGCCCCGCAATAAGTATCGGGGGCGGCTCAATGATATCTGAGCACCGCTTAAATATTGGAGGCTCAATGGTATCTTAGCCCCTAAGGACTCAATATTATCTAAGCCTCACCCACAAATTGGGGGTCTTAATGATATCTATAAGCCCCGCAAAAAAATTTGCGGGGCTCAATGATATCTGAGCCCCCCAAGCCCCCCCCCCCCCGGTCCCTAAGCCTTTGTACAGGTCAATGAATTCTAATTTTTGAAACTTAAAGGGATTGGGTAACTTTGTCTCAGGTTCTGAAACAAAATCCTGGAATGATAGTAAGGGCTAGTTCTGACCGGAAAACGACCCAAATATCGGATTATGGCTAGCTGCCCCAGGGCCTATATACGGATCAGGGAAACAATACTTGTCAGGTCCTGTGGAACGGCGGGCTTGGGGGCTCAAGCCCCCCCCCCCCCACACTTTTGAAAAAGTATATTAAAGATAATTAAATAGAAAGAAATAGAAAATAAAGTATGCTCATGTGACCGTAATTAAATGCCCATACCCCTGAGCTTCCGGGGGCTCTGCCCCCTTGATCCCACCTTGTGCCCTAAGGCTGGCCCCTGGATGCTCATCTGACCGTAATTTTAATGCCTAAAACCCCTGCGCTTCCGGGGGCTCCGCCCCTTGGACCATACGCAAATTATTGACCTGCTAGTGTCATGAATAAGGTATTAAAATATGCTCATCTGACCGTAATTAAATGCCCCTACCCCCTGAGCATCCGCCAATTTGTGCTACGCTCTAAATACTCTAGCCTCCCCCACTCACTTTCAACCACATTTTCAATCACTTTTATTTCCCTGGATCACGAGTATATACTAGTAGTGAGTCGGTTGAAGAACGAAGCCACGTACAAAAGTATAATCGATTACAACAGTTGTGGGGCCGATATTCATAGAATAAAGGTTTTAAATAAAATATTCACTTCTACTTTCAAAAGGACTGGCCCATTTGCTTTAAAAAAATTGTAGAGAGTTATTATTATGTAATATCTAGAAAAAATGTCTACCACATGATTTACCGAGTTGCTTCCTTTTATCAAATATACACGTAAAACAAAATGAGGACAGACTGTGCGGATAGCAAACCGCACGGATCGTCCCTCGGATTTCACATGTGCCCCCTTTCCTTTCTTATAAGTGCCCCTTTTCCTTATGATAAGTGCCCCCATTTAACAAAGAGCCCTTCGCCTTTTCATAAATGCCCCTTTTCACCTATGAAAATAGTCCTTTTTCATTCTCCTACTAGTGCTCCTTTTCATGTCTAGAAAATGACCTAGCTATTCAATTCTGAGAGACAATCGTTTTATTTTGACAAGTGCCCCCCTTTCCTCCTGATAAGTGCTCTTTTCATCTCTAATAACACCCCCTTTTATTTTGACACGTGCCCCTTTTCCTTCTTAATAAATGCTCTTTTTCCTTCATAATTTCCGCTTTTCATAAAAGCCCCCTTTCACCTCCAATAAATGCCCCTATCAAAATCTGATCGATGCTCCTTTTCTTTCAACAAATGCACATTTCCCTTTATTATTAGTGCCACTTTTTCATTATCATAAGTGCCTCTTTCATATATGGTGTTTGCCCCTTTTCAGGTGCGATAAGTGCCCCTTTTCACCTCTCATAATTAACCTTTTTTAACAATGATACGTGCCCCTTTTCCTTTCTTATGAGGAACCTATCCCTTTTTCATAAATGCCCCTATCAAAATCTGATGGTTGCCTCTTTTCCGTCGACAAATGCCCAATTTCCATTCTCATAAGTGCCTTTTCATTCCTGGTGAGTGCCCCATTTTCACCTCTGATAATAACCCTTTGTACTTTGACACGTGCTCCTTTTATTTTCTAATAAGTGTCTTATCCCTTCGATAAGTGTCCCCCTTTCCTCTCATCATTAAATGTGCCCCTAATTTGAAGCGACTAAGAGCAATATCTCCCAAAGCTCGCTCGCTCACATTTATAGATGTTATAATTATGTTACTCATCAAAGGTCTTTTCAGTTTGCTGTTATGAAAATGTGCTTATTTATTAGCCGATGAGGATTGTTTTTTTCCTCTTTATAAGATGTAGTTTTCGCACTGTGACCTCACAAATCTTATATTTTTCCTCGCTCGCAAATGATTTTTTTCGACCATCACCCCCAACTGCAAGTTGTGATGCTTTAAAAAGCAATATTTTATACGATGTATAAAGAGAAACAAATGTTGAAATCATCCCTGATAATGTAATCAAATTTTAGGGGTATATACCAACGTCTAAAAATTGTTTATTTTCGCTTTGAGATTTCCCTTTGTAGGTGCCCTTTTTTCCCAGAAAGTGCCCTTTTTTGTTGGTGCCCCCCTCCCACTTTGGAAGTCGCTCCGCCGCCTCTGAAAAGGATACATCAAATTGTACTCAGTTTAAACCATAAATTATAATATTTGTGAAACATATAACTTATTATTTCTGAATATTGCATGTAAACTTCTTCAAATTACTGTTTTAAATCAACTGCCCGGCCGCACAACGTCTACTAATTGGTACAGTCATTACGTGTTTTAATAAATGTTCTCTGTTGGCCACTATTCTTCTTTCATTGATTATGTATTCCATATTTTGTTCACACTCATTATTATCTGAGGGGTCCGCAATTTACAAGCTCTGCTTTTCAGTGGACTTCTCTGTGTACAGCCATAAGGCTTTAAAAAAGATGTTGTATTGCCCATTGCGACCGACCCACAAATTTTGACATTTATGGTCGGCTTTATACAATTTTTTTTTAAAACCTTTTTTTGGATAAAAATGTATTAAAGCATGAGAAAAATCAGCCCAAAGACGGAGAAAAAAGATTTCCGACCGACCGACCCATGTTTTGGCACCGAGAGGCAATACAACATCTTTTTTTTTTGGGCCTAAGGAATTGTGTTTTGTTCTTCGAGATTTAACAATCACCTCTATCTGTGGACCAGGTGCGGCGGAGCGTCTTTCAAAGTGGAAGGGGGGGGGGGGGTAACAACAAAAAGGGCAGTTTCTTGAAAAAAGGGGGCACCTACAAAAGGAAACCTCAAAGCGAAAATATACACTTCAGTTTTAGACATTGGTATAGGCCCCTATACCCCTATACATTGTGACTAGATTATCAGAGATGATTTCATCGTAACTTTGTTTCTCTCTTTTCATGCTCCAAGCCTATAGGCTTACTGTTTTAGCATCATACTTTGCAGTTCGGTGTGATGGTCTGAATATTTAAGATTTGTGAAGTCGCAGCGCAAAACATTACATCTTAGAAAGAGGAAAAACAATTTTATAACCATGAAAGGCTGAAGAGATCATTAATAAGGAAAAAAATATATTAATTTACTAATGCGAGCGAGCGTAACGAGCGAGCTTTGGGTGAAAAAAAAGGATGCTCTTAGTCGCTTTAAATTATGAATGAATTTTATGGTTTAGAGAAAAGAGGGAACATTATATCCAAAGGGAAAAGGACTCTTAATTTAAGAATGCACTAAATAAGGGGTTTTCAGCCATAAAATGTTGGGGGGGAGGGGGGCGGAAGGATATTTCCATACTTTTCTTTTTCATTTCTGCGAATATTCCCGAAAATAACCACTTAATTTCTAACTATCAAGCGTACAGAAAGACAATAAGAAATGACACCCCAAAGTGGGGGGGGGGGGGGGGGGTTAGGTCTACTGGGTTCTGAAACCCTGAAAGTGGAAAATAATTAATATTATGTGTAACCGCCACCTCATATTTGGGCAGTAAGGCGGTTAATAAGTAGGCTTATTTTTTTTTAGTAGGACATATGCCTATATTTTATTATACGCATTTTGTTAACTTATACAGGTCGTTTATTTATTTATTTTTTAAATTTCACGGAGAGATGATTTCTCATTTATTTCCCTTTTTTGTTCTTAACGGTAGTGTTTACCCTCAATGATAACAACTTCCTGCTATTTTTCAATATTTGTCACTTCTGCTGGGTCTACTTAAAGAATGTGTTGGAAAATGTTGACCAACTGATTTCCTATCCCATTAAAGCAGAAAATGCCCCACAAAGTCAAGGGGGAAAACCACATGTGTTGTCTAATTGTCATTCTTTTAAAGACCGTCATTACTACTGGGCCAGAAGGGATTAGACCACACAGCAAGGTCACTGACAAGTGGCTATCTCATTAACTCAGCTCTCAACATAAGAAAAAGAGGATCATGGGGGACCAACAGGCACCGATTTGGGAAGTTTTCTATATAGAGGGAACAAGTAGCTACAAGTAGGACAGTGGGGCTTCAATAACTTATAACAGTATAGTTGCTGAAACCTAGCCTATAGTGTTTATTTTGTGGAGGTGCCTTGGTGTAGCCGTTCATTCAATAATTGAATCTTAATCCAAGGGATGAGGGTTTGAATCCCAACACGAGACTTATAGTCCTTTAGCAAGACATTGATCCACATTTGCCACTCTCCACCCACGGGTATAAAATGGGCACCTGACAGTCGCTGTCAACTAGGCGTTGTGGCGTGCGCCTGTAATCCAGCTAAAAAGTGGAAGTTACAAACTGATTCAGCCGAGGACGTAGGTTCGAAACTGAGTCACGTCTTTCGGATGGTGACGTTTAAAGGTCGGTCCCAGACGTAAATAATCATATCTGATTGATACACGTCTGTAAAAACCCAATACACACACACACGCTGGGGTGAAAATAATTGCAGTGCCCTAGCTCAGAAAGAACAGCATTGATGCTGATGAGGTAGGCGTGCGTGAACACAATTATTATTAGTATTACCATTACCAATTTCATGTAATATTGTGATGGTTTGAATATTAAGAACAAAATATTGAAAATATCTTTATTTTGTACACTATGTATCAATTAATTTTGTTAAATAGATAAAAGATAATACGATATACGTCATAAATGAAAACGAGCATCGAATGTTGCTTTATTTATAAGGTTTATTTGCATGTAAAAAATTGTCCACATTACATTATTTCGTTGATATATAACGCGACGCAATGAATGACTAAAAAACACAAAAAATAGAAATAAACCGAGTAAAGGAAAACTGCTGATGAAATTTAACCATTACATATTGATCGATTGTAAGGATTTTCAGTAAAAGCAAAGCAAATATTTATAAAAAATACATTTACCGTCTATTTCCTTATGAAATGAAAATGATATATCGTCTACAAAATCAACAGAATTATTAATCTTAATCATGGTAATGTATACGTGAACTTCAATATACAAAAATTTCCTAGTCGAACTATCAAACTATATATACGTCATGAAGAAAAAAGAAAAAAAAAATCATATTTCAAGAATACGTTATTATATAACACAAATTATTGGATTTTACTGAGTCCATATATAGAGCTATGCAAAGCCCTTACTCAGTAAGTGCAACTTATTTTAACATTTTAAAAGAATTTGAATTCAATTTACAACAATCTAAGTGCAATAATGAGCTAAATGATCAATTTATTAATTTCGAACGAGCAACCTCTAATTCCCGTTTGAAAGACTAGCGGGCGATGATGACATTTATTTTCAATGACTTTGCACTAAATGTCGATTTAATTTCATATCATAAAAACATATCTTCAAAAATAATAACAGAAACATACTTATACGCTAAAAATGTACCAACGGTGAATTAATGGATAGATTTGTGTATTAAAATATATTTGTTGAAAACTAACAAGTAACAAGGGAGCCATTTGTCCCTCTGCAAAATTTGAGCTCAACTATAATTACTGTGAAAGCGGTATTGAAACTTACTTAAGATTTTGAATTCACAATTGCACGCCAAGAATTCTAAACCGAGCGAACAATTGCATTATACCATGCGAGTGAGAAAAAGAATTACACTCAGAAAATCAGCTTAAAAAAAACTCACACTGTATAGTAGTTCAAATGATCTGAGATGAAAGGTTGATATAAAAACAGCGAGAAAGACAAGAATTTATTGCTTTTCTTTGAAAGCCATTCAGAGTTCGAAAGACATTGCAACTCGGTATACTTAAGTACACGTCATTTTAATACAGCTTAATATATTGTGTTATGAGACATTTTTGTGCATTTAAAAAAAAGTGAAATCAAACAAAAAAAAAGAAAAAAAAAGAAAAACTACCTGTTAAAATGTACTCAATGTACTGCTATCATATCAAAAGAAATGATTACTGAAAGACATAATTAAAAAACATAATTAAAAACTAAAAGTAATCGCTAAAGTAATCATAAAAAACGGTTATTATTTTAATCCTATATCGATAACTTCCATTTTAAAACAATTTTCAACATTTTCATTGAAATAAAAACTATTTAAATTCGTTGGAGAAGGTTTCGTGATTGAAACTAATTCCCCACTTGCTTTACACACTTCAAAATTTTATTACCGCCATTCATGGTTTGATATGAATGTTTATATTTAACTGGCCATTTATATATTGAGTTTCCTTTTGTTTATGAAGTGTCTCACCAAGCAGATGACAATTTTAGTAAAAGCTCTAGCTACAGCAGTGCACATGCTGACTTTTATTAACATGGTAAACAATTTACCCTTAAAGCTAGATTCAAAACTTAAGCATATTAATACAATCAATTAAAAATAAACGTAAACATTTTACTTCCAATCTATACAATCACCATTATTTTAAAATCAATGTCCGGCACTGAACTCCAAACGTACAATCTGAAAATAACCAGATTTTCATCCCAATGAATTGTTTATTAGAGTTTAATAAATAAGGATAATAATAATAATAATAATAATAATAATAGTGGGTTCTTGTATAGCGCTCATTCGCCAATAACGTTCACTCGGACGAATGAATGTATAAGAGTAAAACCATTACATTTTATTAAAAAAATTACTTTTACTTCAATACTGCCGCAACAGTCGCATTAAACATCAATTATTGTATTAAACAAGTACGAAATGCGCTCTACAATTTATTTCTATATACATTTGTATGTAGGAAGAGGTGGAAATTTTAATAATACAATGTCATGTTCATGCAATATATTAACATTTGTCTTTAGTAATTTCATCATTTGTTCTATTGATACAAAATTTAGTCGCCTGTTGTAATGGCGTTTGTGTGCTTTTTCTGCATAAAAATATTGATGATCTTCAAATGCATGGAATTGTTTTGATCGGTAAAGGCCTAGTCCCATCTAGCCGATAATGATAACGGTAATTATGCTTTTGATTAAAGGTACCGGTATAGAAAACCCAGATTCCTCCTTTGGGGATAAATGAAACAAACATCAAGAGACTTGTCGAAAGATAAACGTTTGTGTGAGATTTTGATTATTTTCGAGTTGATAACCTGGAACGCTTCAAGAACAGAATGAAATACAAGCGATAACAGTTGTCCTTGGCTTTTTTTTAAAAGATCGATTGGCGAGGGTAAATGTGACCACTTTAATTTTACTCTTACTCAAAACGGTAAGTACAGGCCTGCCAGGTACTAAACGCACTTAGAAAAAGAAGGAAAAGGTAAATTTCTCTTAGTATAGTTATAGAAAGTAGCTTTATGGGGCTGAATCTTTGTATTATTTATCTTTTAAAGGTTTTATATTTATTTACATCGCCTTTTACTGATGAAAGCTCAGTTTTATAAGGTCTATACTTTTAATCATGGGTTTATTCAGCATATCTATCATTATCATTTTCGGTTCGATGGGGCTAGGCTTCACCATTAACGACAATCCTATACATTCTAGACTCCGAGCGCCATGAGTTTCTTCTTATCGAGATCGTCCTGGCGTTTCATCGTGCAGAGACAGACGGCGACGAAGATGACGAAGAGGAGACCGATGAGGCAGATGAGGGCAATCCACCAGGGTTCGATCAGGAGATTGTTCGTGGCGGCCTGGGGCAGGTTGTTGTTGCTACCGTCAGCTGTAAGAGAAAGAAAGAAATACCAACGTGAAATATGTTGAGAACTATAGGTCGTGATACGAATACACGAGTAATACGGCAATGTACGGAGCGCGTTAGCATGTGCTCAAAAAGAATGAAATTGTTTCCAACACCTACTAATCTAGGTTGTCCCCCCAAAAGGGGTTGTAATGATTCAGATTTTTTAGATTTTTTATAGCTCATTTCTCTTCCCTGGATCCGTATCAAAGGATACATAAATCTACTTAATGTGTTTTTATTCCTGTAAGACAAGACACGCCGAGGTGGGCACACGCGTTTAAAATCCTGTCAAAATATTTTTTCTTTATTATTGACAGGTAGTTCTGGATATAGGTAAATCACCAATGTCTTCGTGGACTTTGCCCATAGCGTTATCTTGTTAATGTATAAACAAATCTCTTCGAGTCTCATTGTAGATGACCCCCTAAACGTTGCGAATGAGCTTAATAAGTTCTACGGACGGTTCGACATCAACGACTTCAGTGACGTCATTGCGGCACAGACAGATGAATTACTCCGTTCGCAAGATGATTCTGTTAAGATAGAGGAGAGAGGTGTATGCCTTCAATTCAGCAGAATTAACCCAAGGAAGGCATCCGGGCCAGATTTGATCAGCGGAAAGGTACTACGTTATTGTGCAAGAGAACTAACACCACCATTTTGCGCTTTGTATCAGATGTCGCTTGATCAGAAAGTAGTACCCCGCTGTTGGAAGTCATCCGTTGTTATTCCTGTGGCTAAAAAGCCCCGCCCATCCGACGTCAACGATTATCGACCAATGGCATTGACCTCATGGCGATGAAGTGCTTCGAACGGATCGTACTAAAATGTCTGATTGAGCATCTCAAAGAGCTGGTTGACCCTCATCAGTACGCCTACCAGCCCATGCAAGAAGTCAGCTCAAGACGCTGTACTTGTTTTGACTCACCTACTTTATAAGCATACAGATGCAGCGAAATGCTACGCGCGCACGTTGTTCGTGGACTTCTCTTCCGCGTTCAACACTATTCAGCCCCATCGACTCATCGATACGCCTTGAAGTTAAACCATCCTTAATACTTTGGATAACCGACTTTCTTAAGAATCGAATCCAGCGCGTCCGCGTGCAGAATGTCGTAAGTGAGCCAATATTGACCGATACAGGCTCACCTCAAGGTTGTGTCCTCTCTGCCATCCTCTTTGTCCTCTACACTAATGACTGCCGTTACCTTTCACAAAATGTATCTATTCTCAAATATGCCGACAACACTGTTATTGTAGGTTTAATTAAGGAATGTGAAACTAATTATGTCAATTGTTTAAACTGGTTTACTCATTGGTGTAATGACAACTTTCTGGATCTCCACACGTCAAAAACAAAAGAAATGATATTCGACTTTGGACACAGTAAACCAGTCGAACCGAGTAGCTGTCCGGCAAGAATAAATGGGGTGGAAATTGAAATAGTACATACGTACAAATACCTTGGTACTATTATTGACGATGTTCTGAAGTGGGGGGGGGGGAATCAGTGTAAATCAATTAGCAAGAAGGGACTGCAACGGATGTATTTTCTTAGAAAATTGAAAACATTTTATGTCGATCGCACTATAATGGTCTTGTTCTACAAATCTGTAATTGAGAGTATCATCGCATTTGATTATGTAGTCTGGTACACGAGTTGTCGTAAAGGAGACTTAACTATGTTAAATAGAATCATCAGACAGGCCGAGAAGATTATAGGACAAGAATTAAACCTTAGAGAACTATGTCGAAGTAGGATAGTAGAAAAAGCCAAATCCATCCTAATGAATAATCAGCATCCTTTAAACGAAAACTATGTAAGAATGCGGTCCGGTAACAGGTTGAGATCAGCACGCTGTCGGACAAATCGGCTCTTAAATTCATTTGTACCTAGCTCCATACGAATACTGAATGAGGAAGGTATCATATATAGGGCAATAAAACAATAACGATACCTTTCCTTAACAATAATATTAATATTAATAAAGATAATTATCATATAATGATGATGGCGTTAGGTACAATTGTAATTATAAGAATAATAATCATAATAACAATCATACAAAATAAAAATAACAATTATAATCAAGCTCAAGTTCAAAATATAAAATGTTATATATATATATATATATATATGTATATAATGTGTATCGCAATACCATGTAACACAACGAATTTCCATTGTTAATAATACTAATAGTAATAATAATATTGCAATGATAATAATGCAATACATTATCGACACTTGTAAAATCCTATAGTCATTCCACCTAACTTGATAGACATTTATATATTTTTTCAATGCATGACTATATCTTTGTTTTGATTGTTAATTGTTTTTTTTATTTTATACTATTATTAAAATTATTTTATTGACTTTTGTATGAGTGTATTATGTTAAATATATGTGTATCGCAATACCATGTAACACGATGAATTTCCATTGTTAAATGAACAATAAAGATGAACCTTATGAACCTTATGAACCTTATGATATATCACATTCGTGAATTACAATGGATGACATTTAAATCAAGTCCTTTGACTTAATGGATTATCATGACAACAAAACCGGAGATGACGTCATAGTGAACTGAAAACTTTGCATGATGTTTATTTTTATTCTGTGAAACTTGCATGTGTAATGGACCAGTCCACGGTTAGCATATATCCCAAATGACCCCGAATATCCACAGATCTTCAAAACATAAAGAGGTCCCACTTTGTACATTTTGAAATAATCACTCCTACAGCGATGGAGTTGCAACCTAAATAGCCTTTGTTTCCCACTTTCCAAAAAATACTTACATATTCTGCGGATCATGGAGTGCACTGATAAATGAATAATGATTAAATTACTTTCTTGAGCACGTATCCACTATTTTGTCTCCGTTTATTTCACAATTTGGTCTGCGATGACCTTTATTTGCTCATGCTCAAACTGCAACTGCGAACTGGCTTATTACCATTGTATTATTTTTTGTCCCTTTTTGTGTGTGTTAATTTTTGCATTTTGTGTAGGGATCATCTACCTAATACGTTTCTGTAACGTTTTGATGATACAACCACTTCGCAATTTCTCTTAGTGTATTTTCCATTTTACTGGCGTATTCATGTTTGTAAGAAATATTTTATTATATTCTTTGACTTTGCATGCTTTAATGAAAGTGATGAATAAATGCAATTCAATAAATTATAACAACTTTAAACAAGTATTTCTATTTTCTTAATTTGTAATCTATACTATTTTGTGTCAACATGATTACAGGGTGGGGCAAAATAAATTTTGTAGACTTACATATCTCTGAGCAGTCGTCGCCAGTGTAGCCAGTCTTGCACACGCAGACGTATCGGTTTAGACTGTCTATACACACTCCATTGTTTGCACAGGGGTTGCTTACACATTCATTGATGGCTGTAGTAATAAGAATTACAAAAGAGTAATGAGAATTATGATGATAATGATGATGATAATGATGATGACATTATCATTATTAGTACTATTATTATTATTGTCATTTTTGTAATCATCATTCTCATCATCAATATGATTGTTATTATTATTAATTATAACGATAATACTATATTATATGTAGGTCTACTGCTACTACTATACTACTTATAATAATGATAATGATAATAATAATAACCATATTGATAATAATAGTAATACTAGTAATAATAATAATAATAATTAATGATAATAATAAACCAGTATCCTATAAATTTCCGAATACAATATTAGTAGACAATGAATTTTATTTCAGACATGCTTGTAAATCAAACATAAGCCTATTTTATTCAATTTACTTCATTCCTTTCTTAAACTTTAAATCAACAGGAAATACTCTCTATAATTAGTCATGAAGGTCATTATCAAAACATTACTTATAGAACTCTGTATAACTTCAACTTTTCCAAAAGGTTCCTCAGCTAAACTACTTGACGAAGATGAACATATTTTTTCTTCCTCTCGGAATTACTCATATTAAGAATGTTTACATTAATGAATCTTTGTATCTTTAAACATTCATAGTCTTTATTTCTTACCAACTTCGCAGAGATCTCCCTCAAAACCAGGTTGACATACACACATGTTGAGACCATTAGCATCAGCCATACAGGCGGCTCCATTGTCACAGGGTTGGCTTCCGATACATGCATCTGGAGATAACAAAAGTAGGGATCGAGAATATTATTTAGGACTGTCTAGGCATATTCGAAATTGCGAATGGACGTTCATCATTCGTTTATTGAAACAATGTTTAAGAAATGTTGTATCGAATACCCCAAAAATAAATGAATTATTTAAATTGGTAAAATATATGTTGAGAAAGTTTCTAAAACAATTGAAGATGATCCCTGAACATTCTTCAACTAGAAATTGAAATAGAATCAGGCCTGGATATAATGTGATTTTAAGGTTATTAGTAGCGCAGTATGAATAGAAATATGAATACTCTGACTAAACATGAAAAGCCAATTTCCCTCACTAAACGATGGTCTTTTATACAGGATTTAAGGAAGTTCCTTTTATGTTTTCAGCCAAGTCAATGACAATTTCGCTCACTTTCAGGTTAACGTCAAAATGTCAATAACTCCTTGATCACATTCCAACCACAATCGTTTAATAAAAATCATTGTGCATTATAAAAATCGGATGAATAATCAGAAGCGTAATAATATTATGAAAATAAGAATCATACGAAAAATTTAAAAGCGTATAATGTTCGAAACTTACTGGAAAGTGATTCGCAGTTGGTACCCCTGAACATGTCGTTACACTGGCATTCATAACCGCTCACACCATCTAGGCATACACCTCCATTCTGGCAAGGTTCGCTTCCGCACTCGTCGATATCTGCAAATGGGAAATGTTCAAATGAAGTTAATATAATGGAGATATGTTATAACCTGAAGGATTTGTTCTGCTTTGGCAGCCATAAAGTATTAAATATTATGATAATCCCCGCATACAGGACTATATAGCTTGATATCTCCCTTCAGAATTAATTCACAGGCTTGTTGCCAGTGACTCTAACAAAGTTCCTCCTTGGAAAATGGAATTAAAAAACTTGACGATTTTGTTCATAAAGGCTTCCTTGATACAATGAAGTACATTACTTAACCATGTAAAGAGCACTAAAATGAACACTACCTTTAAGGAGATATTGGTCTCCGTGGCAAGAGTTAATTTGTATCGACATGAACACACCACTGTAATTTTAATACTCTTCTTGTCTAAAGAACAACAACTGACTACATGTTTGTATCTTGAAGAGAGAGAAAGAAAGAGAAAGAGAATGAGGGAGGAAGAGAGAGAGAGAGAGAGAGAGAGAGATAAAGAGAGAGAGAGAATGAAGGAGAAGGAGCGAGTGAGAGAAAGAGAGAGAGAGAGAAAGGGGATGGGGAGAAAGAGAGAGAAAGAGACAGACAGAATGATTGAAGTAACAGAAATAGTGAAATAGGTGTGGTACATACTTGTTTCACACTGCGATCCAGTGTAACCTTCCATGCACTGACACGAGTATTCACCCGTGTCGACGACGAAACACTGAATGCTATTCACCCCACAGTAGTCATTGGGGCATTGGGCTGTAATAAAGATATTTATATCTCATTATCCTTAAATTCAGATTACCAAACTGTCATATTAAAAAATGTAACAACTGTTTATCTTAGCGATGGGGTAGCTGAGAGAATCTAACCCCATAAAATCTTGGAATTCCTGTCTATTTTTGGCCTTAGAATCCATATTTAAAAAAATCTAAAAATTGTTCGTCATATTCTTTGACTTTGTGAGTGTCAACTAACTGCTGGGTAGTATCTAGAAAGTTGTTAACTATTTCGCGATTGGGTAATGTAATGATCTAATCGAGATTCCGTAGGCCTGGTCCTCAGTAGGCCTATGCGAAGACACTAAGTATATATCGATGGGTCAGTGACACAAAGACGTAACTCCATTTTGGCAATTTTTTTTTAGAAAAAGTGGTTTATTTGTCACTGAGCACTTGGGCCTGAAGGAGTTATGTCCATGTTTCACTAGCCATTGACTTCAATAAGTTGTTGGGTAGAGTTAAGTCTTTGTGTTTCCTGGAAAGCCCACATTTTCTGAACATTTTGATATAAAATACTCATTTTGGCAAAACATGGAGTTATGTCTTTATGTCACTGAACCCTCGATATATATTATCAGAGATTAAAGAAGCATCCATATTATACCTATTTCACATCGGTCACCGATATATCCCTCTGGACAGCTGCACAGTGGCTGGTCGTTAGCATCAATATTACACAGTCCACCGTACAAGCAGTGAGCCGGAGGGCACATGATAATGAATTCTGAAATATTGCAAAACAAAACAAAAAGGAGAAAAAGAAGTGGCTAATCAGTGAAGAGCTGGTACAAATATAATGCATGAATTAATGATACAAATGTCATCCCAACCCACTACAACGGTCAAGAAGTCTGTAATAACCTACATTATCATCATCATCACCATCCAATATCATAACTGTCATCATTGTATCGTAGAAATTATCAGCATAAAAATTAACATTTTGGTAACCCCCATCATCACCATCATGATGACGATCATCATGATCATCAACATCATTATCGTCATCTTATTCATCATTTTGCGGTAATCATTGCATTATCATTACATCATATTTGTTATAATTAACTGGCCTAACTTCGTCATTCAACATCGTTATCGTTATTTTCAAAATAATTATTTTTCTAAGTATGTTTTTTTCATCATCATCACCAAAATTACCATCCCCGTCACCATCATCTTCATCATCACCATTATCTCATCGTCATCACAATCATCATCATCATCATCACCATCAACCACATCATTATCATCATCACCATCATCACTATCATCACCACCATTATCATCAATTCATCATCATTATCGTCATCATCATCATCATCACTATCATCAATTCATCATCATCGTCACCATCATCATCTTCATCATCACCATTATATCATTACCATTATCTCATCATCATCACAATCATCATCATCACCATCACCATCATCATCACATCATCATCATCATCGTTAAAAACATCATCACTATTTATCATCTCATCATCCCCATCACCATCATAACATCATCATCATTACTATCATACCTTCTTCGCAGTTGGTGCCCTCCCAACCAGCGGGGCAATCACAAACGAAACTATCAGTGGCAAGGTCAAAGAAGCAGCTACCTCCATTGAGACAGGGGTCGCTATCACATGGTGTCGGTACAGCTACAAAAACAAGCATACACAAAATCATTTATATATTTAAAAAAATCTCATTCCAGTTGTAGGTCTAATCCCTTAATGCAGAGGTATGGAAATCTTTTTATTTAGGTGCCATATAAGGAAGCAATTCCGTTGGAGTTTAATACACTCCAAAGTACTGGTCGAATAACTCTTCTAAGAGTTAATTTCACTGATTCCTTTTTAAGTGATGAATTTCACTCTAAATGAAATGATCTCTAAGTACATGATGGATTTCTAACCCTGTACATTAAGAAAGTAACATATATTTTGTATCTGATTCTTTTTATGACATTCCAATTGTGATTCGGAATTGAAAGTTTGATAACTGTTAGGGGGAAATAATAGAGCATATTTGAAAATACGTTCTTTGAATGCATTATTTACTAACAATAATGGGAAAAATACATATTAAACAGGGATGTTAATATACAATTAAATTCACTGATGGAAGGCTAGTAATAAAAAACTAATCAACCATACAAACATAATTTATTTATTTGATGGCTAAACAATGGTGTCTGTTGTTGTATAATCGTATAGTTGTTACCTAATCTGCTACGGAACGTTACACCGATGTTACGACACGACATTGACCAACAAAGACGAGTGATTCGAATGGGAGAAAACCTCAGTAAACAAATTCCACAGAACAACTCGTCAAATACATTGCAAATAACAAATGTTAACTGTGTAATAGGGATAAACACTACTCATCGATGTGTTCCGCAGAAAATGAAGAGATACAATAAACTAACAATCCTGACAATTTATGCTATTCCGGACAAACAATCATCATTAGTCTGATTACTCAGCTTTGTGTGAATGAATTTGAACTAATCACTTTAAACATGACATTGTAATGGGAAGTAATTAGCTGGTATATATAGCTACAACTGTAATATAAGGACTATACAAACACTTGTTTATTTACAACATCGAAGTCGAACCAAAAATCGGCATTCGGTTAACATATCAAGTACACCTATTCAAGACAGTGAAGTCGAATGTACAAAGTTTATAGAGATCTAAACTAATTGTACGTCATAATCATCGTCCCTAACTTCATCATCATCATTGTCACCATCAACATCATCGTCATGATTTCATTCAAGAACTCAATACATTTTATCATATGACTAACGATAAAAATACTCCACTGACTTATTCTTGTACAATGTGCACGATGGAAGGGTACAGCGAAATGGCAATACATGTGAGGTTCTTATTGCTTGAACTAAGGTCACATCACACGAGGGAACGCTGTTTTCTAGATTACACATGCAGATGCAAAAGAAAGTATGAGGCACGCGGTCTTGAAAGTTGTAACCCATTACATGCTGGTACAAGGGGAAAACAATTTCAAAGTTTGCATGCATTCCCAATAAACCAAATCAATACCCATCAAAGGAGATCATATATAGGGAAGGAGTGATTTGAAATATGGTAAAAGTTCGTAAATACCCATGCTCCCATACTGCGACACCAACCCATTAAATTGTCTTAAATAAAAATTACCTCATAAAAAAGAAGCAAATTTGAAAAATAATTGGTTACTCACAACATCGTGGATACAAAGATACTGAGTGCTTTCATTTGCCTACTGTACCCCAATGTTTTGGCCGCTCTTATCTATCTTTCAAATTTGATTTTTTTTTTTTTTTCGCATAAAACATTTAAAAGTTATACAAATGTGAATCATAACAAAAGCACATTGCATATACATGAAAAGCTATTGATTGATGAAGGCCAATATATATATATATATATATATATATATATATACATATAGGCCTATATAAACTGATAATTTTTTATTACAGAAGTATCATCTATTAATATTTTTCTTCTTCGTAAGTGTATTCTACACTAAAGAGTAAGGCACATATTTTTCTTTTCCGTTGTATAATAATGTTCACATTGAGGCGAACTTAACATAAAACATGAATTCCGAGTACCATTTTCTTAAAATTGCCAGTCACTGGTGGTGTACTCTAATGGAGCTAGAAATATCATACTGAAAGGTTGTATTAATAAGTTTTAGAATTTCAATATAACACAGGGCTATGAAGCAAGGCGTAAATTTTTATATCGGCCTCTTTATAAGGTCAACCTCGTAATTTGTCTTATCACCTGTAACATTAATCTGATTTATTTGCTAAGTGTGAATAGAAATGAATTATAAAAAATAGCAATTTTCTTTCTATGAAACTGTTATCCTCTATTGAACAGCATCTTATTCGAATGATGATTGACTAAACATATTCCAGGAAAGAAAGGTAAAGAAGCTAATTTGGTAGAAATGTTTTAGTCAAAAAAGAATCTTCTGATGAACTTACCAATCTCGCAATTGTCGCCGGTGAAAGCGGGAGCACATCTGCAGAAATACTGGAGATTGTCGTTGGTATTGACACATTCGCCATTATTCAAGCAAGGGTTGCTGGCACATGGGAAATCTATAGAATAAATATCAAGGAGAAAATGTGAAGTGCCCGGCAGTGCCGTAAAAGGACGTCACACGTAGCATTCCACTATGTAGGCGTGCAAATCTAAAAGTCCCTATTAACAAGAGTGACGACCAACGTCTCCATTTAACAAAATATACTATTGCTACTTTGACTGTATTATACCGATGTTCATTTATTTTTATTCGGGGTTGGTTTACACATTTTAGTAGTACAGCTTTTACGGTTAACCACAATCATTCTAATGCGAAAATAGATTTACCAATATCACACAGGTCAGTGACGACAGCTCTGAATCCCCTCGCGCTCTTATCCAGGTCGGTGACGAATCGCATCCAGACGGTCGTCTGTGCTGACGTGAAGTTCACAGGTTGTGCGGATCCGGACAAGGTTCCATCTGCAAACAGAGACACTGGGTTCCCGATGAGGGCGCCACCACCAATATGCAGGTTGTCATAGGAGTCTTCAGTCATGAAGTCGGTGACCTGGATGTGAAGTCGGTTCAGCTCGTTGGAGATGACCAGCCAGGAGCAGGTTTTATTGTCGTCATAGCTTGCGGGATAGTTAGGGCTGGTGATCACGACCGCGGCGCATTCTTCCAAGTAGTAGTCCACGTTGCAACTGGTAACTGACGGAAGGAAAAAAAACAGAGGGATACAAATGAGACATCCCGTTTTGGTAAATATCACAGGCATTTTGACATTATAGACGCAAACAGAATTCAACATTATTAACTATAGCAAGATAACAACGGACTGCACGGTCATTATTTCTCAAGTAACTGACCTACATTTATTTCACGCCACATTTAGTGGCTTGAAGTGGCAGGGACGGTATAGTAAAATCATACCCATTTTTGAATCACTGAGTAAACAATCATTTAGGATGATATTAACCAGTCTTTCACAACATTACAAGTTGGATATTATGCTCATCTTAGCTACATTATAGGAATTTTAAAATGTTTAATGATACCTGTGGAACAGTACAAAGACATTATGTTTTTGAATGTTTTTTTCATATGATTATCTGTTTGACGTTAACTTGCATTTTTAGCCTTTGGACTTTTTGACAAGTCTTGAATAAAATCTAATTTGAATTGAATTGAATTGAATTGAATTGAATAGTTCAGAACCGTAATGCCAGATAAACTTTAGTCCATGTAATCCGTGCCACTCTGTAGCTATGCAACGTTTAATTTTTGTCAATTACAAACAAACATCAAACAAACATTAAAAAAGCAGTGAACCTACCTGACTCGCAATTAGTGCCGCTCCATCCCCTGGCACAGCGGCATTGGTAGGAGTTAAAGAGATTATCACAGGTCGCTCCATTAAGACAAGGATTGCTTTCACACGTATCAACCACTGAAAGATAGAATCATCACATGGTCAATGGGAATATATTGCCACCGCACGTACAATCAACAGTTAATTATATTTTAATGTCCGCATCCTTTCCCCTTAAATCATATTTATTAACATATTAACACAATAATGTATAAACATGTTTGCCCTTTCCTTTCATGCATCTGGTATATTTTTTAGGGTGCTGAACTAAACACTTCTTTAGCAAAACCACAAAGTGTGGAATGCTTTTCCAGAAAAGGCTATCACGGGCAAGTGTGTTTCGAGAGAATACTTACGCTCTGCACATGTAGCTCCAATAAATCCAGTGTCACAAGTACAGGTAAACCGGTCAATCCCATCCGTGCATATGCCGTTGTTCTGACATGGGTCTGGTTCGCAATTATTGATATCTGTCAAAGGAAATAGGAGAAATCTTTATGAGTTCCTTTTGGATGTATCCAGCAATGTAGGTGTGTACATTTTTTCAAATTGTTGTAAGACACTACGCTGAAATACTCCCGATGGGGTGGAGAAGGGTGCATACATTGTGTGTGGGAAGGCCTGAATATGTAGAGCGCTTATATAGACATATCATAGATGTCTTAGGCACTATGTACATTCACAATAATATCATCTTGTAACAACCAAGTCGCCTTAGAATTTTCAGTTAGATGAAACAGATAGATAGATATGTCTCAAATATTAACGATTTTGTCAACCGTGCGATACATTACGTTTTCTCACTCAAACGGTAAGGCTAAACTAACTTCTCCAAATCCATTTGTTAAACATATTACATAAAGCTTTCAAAATTTATGCCCATTGTATTTGGATACACTTAATTATTAAGACATTAGCTTTGACGTAATTATCGCTAACATCCTACAATATGGGTACTTTGTAGAAATCGTGTCCAATTAAGTACAAAATACTAAATACAAATGAATGAGAATGAAATATATTCCTCACTGTTTTCACAATGTTCGCCTTCAAAGCCACGCTGGCAGGTACAGGAGTAATTATTGTGTCCATGCTCACAAAGTCCATTGTTAAGACAGGGGTTACTGCTGCACTCGTCAAAATCTAGAACAAAATAAGACGATACATAAGAATATTTTATTCAGTATTTTCTGGAAATGCACATATGAGAGAAAAAAAATAGATACAAAAGATACTCATTCAGCATATTGATTCATTACCCCTAAACATTTCAGAAGTAAACAGACATCTACTACGTTGATTTTACGAACTATGTACAAGAACGTTACCTTTTCAGCTACTGTACTATCATGACTATGACAATTAAGCGATACCTATTATCGTAGTATAGAAGTCCTGGGCATATCAAATCTTAGACAACAAACGTACACTTATTGCAATACCTTGTTCAAGTATGTTCTCATCTTGTTCGTTGTTTAAATTTGTTTCATTTTCAGAAAGATCATGGCTTGATTTCTTTCTTATCTTGCTAGTGCAAACAAAAATGATTCCCATTCACTGCCTATTCAAAGTGATGGACAGATTTTCTCAAAAGCATTTAAACAACCAGTGCTGATTGCGCTATAGAAGAAAACTACTACCAGATTGAGATCGATACGAAAGGAACAGAGGGTAAAATTACTTACCATTTTCACATCTGGATCCCCATCGTCCTTGAGGACATGTACAGACGAAGTAAGTGAAATAATTTGTGCATTCTCCACCAAACTCACAAGGAATTTCAGCACAAGCATCCACAGCTGTCGGAATAAGAAATGAATGAAAAATGATTGCAAATCAATCATGGACATCTTGACAGTACAGATATTACACTGCTCTTTAAATATTTAAACCGTTTTAATAAAGGCATCGGTGTATGAGCATTTAGAAGTTCCTTCGCAGGCTTCCATTCGGTGAAAACATACGACAGTCTTAGTCGACAGGATGCTTCTTTCCTCTTATCGTAATTAGGATAGAAACAAATTATTTTCTCAAGTAGCAATTTCTGTTGCAAAAAGAATGACTCAGAACTTTTGAATTTGCTTGCAAGGATAGGGTCATAAATCTAACTTCTTTTGATTAAGATACCTACTTGATAAAATGAGGGAAATAAGGATGGAAGGTAGTAAGAAAAGTTATATAAAGAGATCGTAAATCATTAAGAAATAATCGGATTCCACAATACGATTTCTCGAAGAAAAATGAATTTTCAAACTTACGTTCAGAACAATTGCCACCCGACCATTGGCTGGTGCAAACGCATGAATAAGTAAACCCTGACTGCTCGATACACTGACCACCGTTCAGACATGGATTGCTAAGACAAGTATCGATGACTGCATAGCAAATAAACAAACAAAATGAAAACCAAAACGTCATTGATTGTTTGGAGAAAAAAAAAAACAATATACTGACAATGATTGCACTTGTAAGTAGACCCATAACACTTTGTGACTACTAATGATTTGGGTAACGGTATAGTTCCTAAAAGGATACAGACACGTTCCATTAAAAATTGACACGTGCGATAACAAATGTTGAATAAAAGATAAAGGTATTGCAAAATGAGAACCATCTACGAATACGAAACCAAGATACATATGCATTCAATTGTCAGTGGTAAAAGGTCACACATTATTTTACATCATAATCACAAGTCCTCACAGATGTATATCATGTTATTGGGGTTTCCAAGTTGAACCATTGCTAATTTCGCTAGATTTAGCTATGAAACATAACGGTACATGTCTATATTTCAGAAATTCCGGTCATTTTGAAATAACCTTTTAAGCTAACGCTTAATACACCTTTAGTCATTTATCTTAACATTCAATATAAATATATTACATATTTTTGAATTCTTAAAATACATACGCTAGGTATTTAACTTACGGGTTTCACAGTTGATTCCACCGTAGCCTAGAGGGCATTCGCAGGTGTAGCCATACATGTTCTGCATCAGCTGACAGGCACCACCATTCTGACACGGATCACTCTCGCAGTAGTTGATAACTGGCGGGAAAGGGGGTCAGTATGGGTAAACTTTCATGCAAGTCATGCAAATAGGACAAAAATCACCAATAACTAAAGTAAAGCATTATCGATATATTTGCAACCCATTTGAAAATGCGGCAAAACCTTAAGATAACAAAAACAAATTGGCCAGGAACGCTTAATTTTTTTCGACCACATGCATTGGATTTATGATGACAAAATGTCGCACACAATATTTCAATTCAAACCATTTTAAACCATATTGAACCCTTAGCAGAAAGTTACAGTCACCATTAGATACTGAAAACCTCATGCACACCAAGGAAAGAGTTCACATACTCACTCACTGTGGGATTTCAACTGATGTTCATACATTTAGCTGATTTAAAGTCCCTTCCAATCATAAATAGGCTGATGAAACTCCAAAAATTTGCATTGAAAACATGATCTTTTTGTATAGGATTGCTCCTGGAGCACTGTTTACCGAGGTTAACCGATTTCTTAACATATCATTGTTTGTGAATGTTCTACCTGTTTGACAGCGGTTTCCCTCGAAACCAATTGGACAGCTACAAAAGTACTCTCCTGTGCCCAGATCCGCACAAGTTGCTCCATTCAAACATGGGTTTATTGCCAGGCAAGGATCCACATCTGTAATGAAATAGAATTGAGAAGAAAACAAATACAAATTTTGCCTCAGATGATCAAATTGATCATTAGATGTGTAATTAAAAGTAAGATTGAGAGAAGGTAAGAACAATTCAGATATGAACTGACATAATTATTTTTGGGGTGTTATTTAACAGGCATGAAATCATAAGTGACAAGGTTTGACATATTACTAGTAATCGGAATTATTAACAGTAGCAGTAGAAGTATGAGCGGTGGTGTAGCAGTAGTAGTACTAGTAAAAGTGGTTGTAGTAGCAGAAGTCACTGCTGTAGTAGTATAATACAGTGGCATTAGCAGTAGTACATTTAGCACATGTGCTAATTATCAATTATGGTATAGATTTCAACTGATCACACTTACATGTTTCACACACATCTCCATTGAAGGGTGCAGGGCAAGCGCATCTATAAAATGATCCAAAGTTTGTACAGGTTCCTCCATTGCGACACGGGTCCGATACACATGAGTCAGTCACTTTAACATGTGAAATGACAGAAAAATAATCAAATCAATACAATTTTCTTTTTAAATCCATGTCTATTCATCTACACTCTACCCTCAACTTAGAAATGGTATAGTACATTAAATTGTAATTTATTTTCATTTTTCTTAGTTCATAGTTGGAAGTACATAATGTAGGCATACACTCTATATTTAATATAAAGATGTATAATTAGTCAACCCATCATTGGATATCCTTAACATCTGACGGCTTAATGCCTTGTTATCACTTGCAGTATCGACCCAAGGAAGATACATAGGCCTAAATGACATCATAATTATACTTGTCGTCCCTGGCTTAAACCGTTGCATACAACATAGCATTGGTGGTAACTTTGCCATTAATGGTAACTTCCATGGAAACCTTGATTTGATAGCTGTTTAGTAATGTTGTCATGGTAGTTAATATTGATGGTAAAGTGACCATAGGTTTTATGCAACGGGGCCTATATTGTTTGCAAAATATCTTCGGAGATATACGTCTCATCAACATACCAAAAATACATAGGGAATAAGAAGTCGTCATAAACGTGAAGGATGTCTTGAAATTGTTCCTCTTTAATTGCTGTAGCAGCAACATGCATATAATAATAATTGTATGTCGTTCTTGGATAGCACAAAACGGTTTAACGTCTTTATGTGCTTCCAAAAGACTGTGGATATGTAAAAGAAGTTTGGCAGGTCAACTACTAGTATACTCACGTATTTCACACGACGTGCCAGCATAGCCAGTGTTAGAGCAGTCACACGTTCCTACGTTGCACAGACCTCCATTCAAGCATACCACACTGTCGCAAGGATTAGGAGCTAAACATGAAAGGGAATGCAAATTAAATTTTGTTGTCGTAATATTTCATACAGGGAGACAACTATACTAACACTGAGGGATAGTAGTACTTTACAAGAACATTATGTGATTACGAATTTTCCAAAGATTTTATTCATATAATAAACCATTTTTACTATCAAAATTGTTTTTAATTGTAAATTACGAAGGGCTGATACTTATGAGGGTAACTAAGTTACATTTAAGATTTTTTTTTCTCGAACCAAGAACATGCTTCTTTAATAATCGAAAGGGAAACAATTATTAGAATTTATTTAAAAATTCTGATACTTAATACTCCTATCGGAGAAAATTAAAATCCAGCACATTACCCTTCCTCGTAGTTTTCTGTGGAACTCACTCTCGTTATAAATTGAAATAATCAATTCTCATACCGATTTCACATCTGTCTCCTGAGTAACCTCCAGTAAGTACACAATCACACTCGTAGCTGGTGAAACGGTTCAGGCACTGTCCTCGAATACATGGATTGGAAAAACATGGGTTGGGTTCTAAAAAGAGAGAGAGAGAGAGAGAGAGAGAGGGAAAGCGAAAAATGCTCTTTATGTTCTAAGTTCATTACCAAAATGGAAAGTGTGCCCATTTCTCGACCATAAGGTCGAAGGTCGATAACTGCGCATATCTTTAATGTTTAATCAATACAAGAGGCCTTTTGGAGATAAAAATATGAGGAACCCCCTCCCCCCAAAAGATAAAAAAAACATTTTATACATATATACACAAAATACAGCAACGCCTTAATATCTTAATGTAGTCATGATACTAAGCTCTGCGTATTCTTTAAACACCCGGCTTGTTGTTATCCATTATTTTTCTTCTGTAGCCAAGCTATCTTTAAAATTTATACTTGTCTATGAAATTATCAATTGTCAAAGAATTTGTTGTAAAAAGAAAGGCGAAGGATTAGATGGACAGAAGTGACAGGTGCTAAAACAAAAACGGATTCATGGGAATAATTTGTACATGGGGTCAAAAGGAGCCGGAGTCGACTCAACAGCACCTCCCAACAATTTGTAAACGTGTAGAAAAAAAAAAGGAATCAAACAGAAATATATGTCATTTCACATCAATATAGATGTCGATTTTACTTACCAACTTCACATGTAACACCAGTGAAACCTAATGGAGACGTGCTACAATCACACAGATAGGATGTTCCGAATGTTTCACAGGAACCTCCATTTTTGCAGGGATTTGAGATGCAAGGACTGGGTGCTGAAATAAAAAAGATTTTTGGGGGTTTATTTTTCGTTTATGTAAAGCACCATGGCCGGGGCGGGGTGGATCGAGCTGATAAAGCGCATTTTTATCGAATGTTATGGGTTCAAATCCTATTGTCAACCTGAACTCGGGAGAGAAAGTGGACCGAACTAAAACTGTTTGCATCTGCCACCAAATTCCAGTTGTCTTTCAGAAATGAATTTGAATGATGCGCAAACTATGGTTAAAAAAAGGAGGGGAGGGGGGGGGGGGGGGGAAGGGGAAGAAAAAAAAAATCAATTCGGTATTACTTATATGCTGTTTAATTCATTGGTACCTGCTACCTTGTTTTGTTAGATCCTGATTGATTTTGACTATATACAGTTTAGTAAAATGCACGTTTTTAGATATTTATTTAAAATCTTAATCCAGCAATTAGTTGCAATGACTATTTTAAAGTCCACATTCCAGAAAGAAGTCAAGAGTTTTACACTGAGCAAATCAAAGACGTTAGTGGGTAAACAAGCATATGCCTCAATAACATCACAATTTTACACCTAAAGTGATAATTATCCAATGCCTACTGTCCATAAATGCATCTTTCAAATTTCTTGCAAACAACACAACATACAGACAATGCAGGAATTTACAACACATTTACATGTATGTATTCGAAATACCCGTGATATTTTGCAAGATCTTAATTTCAAATATTTTACAAACAGTGAAATTTGTGTAGTCTCATCGATATAAATAATACATAAGTGCTAAAGATCACTTCATAAGGTTTTCAATGAAATGATATTCGTTATTTAGTCAAATAGATTTTGACATTTTGATATGGTGTTGAAAGTATTTGAATTATTTAGTGATCTATCTTTGTCATTATTTAGGTACAGGGGCAGTAATCTTGATTTTCATTAAGAAAAAGAATTCTAGAGATACATGATATAAATGGATCTAAGATCATATACGTGATTACTACAAATAAAGAAGCAATTTCAAATTAAGGGAATTTCATGCAATTTTCATCACCCACATAATGGTGTTTTCTATTACAATTTAGACTGATTCTTCAACATCTAATTTCATCATCCCCAATTTCGTTACAAACATTTAATGTAATAAACTTCCATTATATAATACATGTGTTATGCATGTGATTCTGCCGGTTAAATGTTACCTATTGATTTCAACTATTGTCAAACGTTCATTTTACTGTAAAATAGTTATATAATTATACAACTATTCTTATAATACGATTGGGCATATGGATACACTCAATAATAAATTACTTTTATTATTTTGAGTGTTATTTTGAAAATACCATACGAATACATGTACTTACGTTCTGAGCATGTCAGTCCTGTGTAGCCATTGATACACTGACAAGTGAAATAGCTGATGAAGTTTGAGCAAATTCCACTTCCACCACATGGCAACGATTGACACACATCGGGAGCTGAATCGAGCAGGTTAATGTGACAGACAAACGATCGTGCAAATGAACATGACATTTATGCTTGACAAAACTATGAAGCGAACACATTAAAATAGATGCAAATAAAATGAACATACATAATGCAAACTAACCTAATTGTTCGAATAATATTGTATTGTAATGTATTTCAATTGATTCGCAGTAAATAAATGTATTCATCAGGATTGCAGTCACTGCTGATGACACAATGGTATACGATGCAATGGATATTTGTTGAAGGTTTTTTCTTCTTTGTTTCGTTTAGTATGGTTAATAAAACTGATATAATCGTGTAATATTGATATGAATTCTAAAATTCGTAGTGGTGAATATGCAATAACTGAATGATAAGAAGATTGAATGTGCTTTAACTTAAACATATTTGGGATCGTTCAAATACCACAACTAACTCACTGTGTAATAAATACATTCGGTGTAATATAGCAGGATATGTAACAAACAATATTTTTGCTGGCACATTCAGGCATACATAATTAAAGCTGTACAAATATAATCTCTTTCCTTCTCCTGCAGCAACTTTGATCAAATTTCCCTAGCTTTTCCATATCCACGATGTATGCCACCAGAAACAACGGATCAACATATGTGCGCATGCACGCCTGGCTACAACTTATAATCTATTGAAATCAATAAACTATACATCCTAAACTGAACATGGAGACTATATAAAAGACTGGTATACTCTACTCACGTGTGAAGAATTCACAGAAGTCACCGCTGTAGTATACTGGACAAACACATTGCAGGGAATTGGATCCATCGACAAAGCATCCGCCACCGTTTTGGCATGGGTCTGAGTCACATGGACTCGCTAAGGTCAAAGAAAGAAAATAACATCATTATTCTAATTTCTTTTAGATATTTCTCTAGTAGGCTACATGCTGGTTGTGGGGGTTGTAGTTTCTGAGTCACAATCTATCGATCGGCATGTTGAATTCGCAAGAGTAAATATGTAAATACTTTGTATCTAACTGAATTCGAATGTTTAATTTTACTCTACTACACACACTAAAAACTCAGTAAAAATATCTTCATCAAGGAGACAAAATCTTTGATATATCAATGGAAACCACATGGCCTACACCTCGTCCTGTAAACTTTTCAAAAGCGAATCTCACTTAGAAAATCTAAATACATTGTCTACAAATCAAAGTTTGCAAAACTACAAGAAATATCGTTTTATAATTGTTAGGTTTACCTTGTAATCAAGGTGTGGCAAATATAAATCTTCATTTGACAAAATAAATGGTAAACGAAACACGCTAAACTTTCCATGCAATTCCTTTGCATTTTGTATTGTTTTATTTAATTCAAGCCCGTTAATATTTCAATCTAGTACAATTTGAAACAATGTTGACTAAAAGGATAAATTAAGGAAAAAAAGTTTTTCTTCCAAAACTTACTGGGCTCGTATGTTCCACAGAATTCTCCGGAGAAGTCGGGTAGACACTGACATGTCACTGCCAGCCCGTTAGTCAGGCAAGTAGCACCGTTTAGACATGGGCTGGATGCACATCGATCTTAAAACACAAAGCATTTATTAATACATTATCAAAATACAGTCGATCGTACACATCTAAACGTGCTTTCTGAGCAATATATCAATCAATCTACAAACCTAAGTTAATATTTGCTCCGGGCTTACTTGTAATTTGGCTCTGAATATAAAAACACAAATTCAATTTTCAATTAGGTTGACATTTTATATGCCAGAAAACAACTTATTTCCTCCATTTTGGAACAAATATTTTGGTTTACTTCGTTATCGTGTAGATCTAAAATGGATATTTAAAACGACATTACTCAGGAAATGTTTGTATAAATTAAATCCAACCCGATGGTAAACATGGTTAAGTGTGTCATTAATTTGATGCCAGAAAACGAAATTTAGCTTTCAATAGGAAAGGGTAACAAACCTAAGGTTCACAATTAATCACAACTATACCGCATTACGCATTAGTCAACCATCTATCAAAACGTCACGTGATTCAAGGCTCAGTCTTGAGTGGCTTAAGCTGGCAAGCTCCCAAAACATTAGCCATCAAAATGGGTCTTTTAGCAAGTCACAATTTAGATTCAATTCTGATTTGATAGAATAGTCGTACAATCAAAATTGATTATAAGATATTTAATTAATTAGCCGGTTTAAATGAACTGGTGGAACTATTACTATAACGAGAAAAAGATGATAAAAGGCCATGAAAATGATGAAATTGAAAGTGACCGGGTGCAATAGTTTACCTTCGATTTCATTACAAGTACTGCCAGTATAACCCGTTGGGCATATACAGAAGTAATCGACGTTTGTTCCGCTGAGGAAGCATTGTCCACGAACACATGGATTACTGGAACATGGGTCTGAGGATAGGTGGCATGCAAAAGTCATATACATCGTGCAGGATAAGCAATGTTATACAACGAGTCGATAAAATATTGACATGCATAATAAAACTATATGAAGCTCATTTGGGCAAGTACAAGCTTCTATGTCCCGTATGTTAGCGACCACATCTAATATTTCAATCAATATGATCGAATACTTATAGATAAATGGCAACATGAACCACTGCTGAAATCATGTTTGCTTTACTGATATTTCACAGCATGTATAGTTCGAATTCACGGGGTTGCTATATTTTGTTCATGAATAGCTAAATAATTTTTTTCAATGAACAAATGAAATAGTGTTTGTAAAAAGTTTCCAGCTCTTAACCAATAAAGCTTTAATCAACCGAATTTAAAGTGAAATGATACAGCATGTGTTAATTCATACTTGGTAATATTTTATGGGCCATCAAACGCCCAAAATACATGTATCTTGGACTTGCCCATGCATTATACGACAACACTACACAATCATTCATATCTATCTGTGACTAACTTGACTTGTTATGTATTTGAATGTCATCAACGGCCAAATAAAAATGCATTTGAACATATGTCTATAAATTTGCAAGCATGCTTTCACTTGCAATATACCATTGTCATTCTACATGTGCATTGTTATCTAAATTAACAAAATATATATCATTTACGTTTCAGACAGAACATGCACGCTAGGGGAGGATATAATGACATCACGATACATGTATGCATGTATCGTATATATTGGAAATAGTTTTACCACATCAAAATTGCAAATACATGCAAAGCAACATATGAGTATAGGAAAAATGTGCAAAAAAAAATATGTTCTTTTTAGAAATATCCCTCAGTCCACCTAAAAGTGATATTTTTAACTTCAGTATACAGTTGTGCATGTTTGTATACATAACTAAGATTAACACTGCATCATCACCTTGTTACTATGTGCATTGTTTATTCAATGATTAAAACTATACGATGTTCGTTATATCACTTAATTCAAACCGATATGTTACGCACCCGCTGTCTCGCAATTTTCTCCCAGGAATCCTGGGACACAATTACACTGATAATCGCTGGACTGGCCTTGGGTAACCGAGCAAGCTGCTCCATTGAGACACGGGCTAGGATTACACGGAGATACTGTGGAAGTAAAAATGATGATTGCCATGTATTAACAAAACAAGAAGATGTACACAAGTAAGAAATCCCTCCGATATCATGCTGGCTCGGGTCACAATTTGTGATATGAGGGTTGACGTGGCGACGTTAGCACTTATAGGGTCGAAATTTTACGCTTACAGCAAGATAATGCGGGAATTTATACACATTCAAAAATTTCCACATCAAGTCACCTCTGTCCAACGGTGCTAAATATGTATATAAATTATGAGTGATTTCTTTAAAAAATATTGAAATTGGCTTTTAATAGGGACTGGCGCTGAAGATTAAGCTTAACGTTTTACACTTAATGCATTATCTAGTGTGACTCCAGCATAGATAAATATGGACATGCATTGTACTATGGGCCCATCCATGCATTCAAAATGCTAATACGAACAACGACACATTTTTACTTGAATTTCATTCTTATAAAGTACATCAAAGTGTAAATGATGTGTCATGCAAGATGTATGTGAATAAGCATTTTGACGTGCAGTGGCAACCTTGCTCTACTTACTGTATTCGCAGTTCTGTCCTTCGAAGTTGGGTGGACATTGGCAGTAGTAATTATTACTGCTGCCTTGTAGCTGGAAGCATACACCACCATTAAGGCATGGACTTGGACTACATGGACTCACTACAAAAAAGCAAGTTTTCAAGCGTGCAAGCAAGTGAAAAGAAAAGGTGAAATAGTGTGAAAGTGGAAGAATAATGCACCTCGAGGAATGAGATGGAGGGTTCCTGACAGTGCAACATGTGAAATCAAAGGTGGAGGGTAGTGGTGGAGACGCAAGCTTATAAAATCTTTGAAAAGTAAAAAAAAAGGTATTTTCTAAAGCGTTTGTGTTCAAAAATTACGGACGAGCACAAAAAGATATACATGTTACATTTTTGGTATGTTTGGCAAATTATACGGACACACCACCCCTCCCCTTGCACCTACATCACATGTTACACCGCCTCTGATCACAGCAACACAACTCAATTTTAGCAATACAAGCCCTTGTGATGAGCCAAAATGTTCACCATTATGTCGATGTATGAATGAAAGTTGACCAACCGAGTTTTATAAGAGATGAAAAGACCTGATCGATTTTTCCTTTGAAATTCATTTCAGATCGGTCTGCAGAAATAAGCTCTAAGAAGCTTGCATTTTCGAGAACATAAAAACGATATTTTAATTTTGTATTCAACTATTTCTCCATTTAAGCCCATGACTTTTATGATTAAATTGAATTATATAAAATAATGGATGCTTATGTTCGGAAAATATTTAAAATGGAAAGCATAAACCATCTCAGCCGAAGAAAAACTAGCTTTTGATATTTAATGAATATGAAAAAAGTATTTTGTTTCTAAGAGAGAGAAATTCTCTTTTTATCCTAAGATTGAGAACTGGCCCGCTAATGGTGAAATTAATAGTAAATTAATGAGATTTATTTCATTCAACAGACAAACCTCCGCTACATGGAAATCATGGAAATGAGTTTGTGGTATTTTCAAATATAGCTATCATAAAATATGCCAAATGGAGCTGGAAATGATGATGATGGAGTGGAAGCCGATTTTTGTGTAAATTAAATGAAGTTTAATTTATATTTTAGTGTCTACCATTTCAAGCGGCTTCGAAAAATGAAAATTTAAGTTTCACTATATCAGAATTTGAAATGATAATGATAATTCATTGTTAAGTTATGAACAAAGAAATCACGTGCACCGTTAGGTTCAAAGACATGAAAGAGAAAACCACAACGCACAGCAATATCGGCAAATCGTCTCTTGTGCAATGCAAAATGAAGCCCATTGCCTGTTATGTGTGGAGATGTCACGATAATATTTTGAAACCACAACGTAACTTCAAAAGAAACTGAAATGATGTATGAAAGAAAGATTATTTGAAGAGAATTTCTCGGACATATTTGCGATGGTGTTGGAAATGCATGGTTTCAACAATGTTCTAAATTAGCCAATTGGCACTATGTGCTACTACCCCCTATGTGTTGAGAAGTTACAATAACATTTTATGACCACAACGTCACTGCAAAAGACACTGCAATAATGCACTAAAATGTCTACATGGAAACGCCTGGTAACCATGGCAACGTTTCACGAAACCGTCATTAGTACACCTTCACCGACAACCAACTGAAAGACGTGTATTTAATTTGACACGCGTTCAATGAGACGTCGGTGAACTAGAACTTATAATGCTTTTATTTGTGAAACGACTCCATGTTTATCAAGTGATCTTACTAAAGCAGATTTTCATTTTTTGTTTTACCTATGCTTTCGCAGTTATTTCCTGTAAAGCCAGTAGGGCAACTACACACGTAACTTCCTGATTGCGTCCTGGAGCAGAATCCTCCATTGAAACAGGGGTTAGGCAGACATGGGTTCACTGTAAAGAAACACAATTATTGCCTAAAGCTAAGCAGCTTCTTTGAAGCGACGAAGAACCTAGCTTCGAGTCAATCATTGTACTTGTCATCGTAGTTGTCTATGGAAGCTCTAGAAAACTTAGTTAAAACACAATAGAGGCTGCTAATATAAAGCTTTATTATAACGTTGGAATTATTTTATGTACACACCTGTGTCATGTCGGATCAAAAACAAGGGAAAAACTCAGACAAACAAGCAAGTAATAGTTTTTCATATTTTCCGATGTATAACATTGAAAGGGGGCAGAAAACACAATTAGCGGCAAATTCTTATTTTGTTCCTAAGGGTTTGACGATTTTGTATTAATGGAGCACGGGACAATTGAGCCTCCTGAATTCGGCAGTGAAGTAGCTGAATACCCTTTAGTCACGTAATCGTATTTCATATATGTTGCCTTGTATGTGCCACGTCTGAATTTGAACCCTAATAAAGCTATGTTACAGTTTAAAATATATTTTTAAGTGGCAAGAAGAGCCTATTATTTGAACAATAAATGCCATTTCATGTCTATACTGCGAATGGATTGTAAAAAATTAAAAGCTCCAAAGACAAATGCTCTTGTAAACTATATGGCGTCAATACTCAACTCCTGTATTAAATGCATCAATGTTATCTTTGCAAGTGTAAAAAAAAAGCATTGTTAATGTTATGAAAAACAAATTTTGAACCTACCTGCATTCTCGCAATTTGCTCCGAAGAAACCGGTTGCGCAAATGCATGAATAGCCCGATCTGTCGCTCTCAGTCAGACAGTTTCCCCCGTTGAAACATGGTGAACTGGAGCAGGGCTGAATCACTGTAAAGTACACAAATTTAAATTATTTTCAAAGTAGAAAAAAAGTAGTTTAGAAAACGGAACACGATCGCTAAGACATTTATTCCGAGAAAATTCAAATTACATGTATATATCCCATATAAATCTTATTGTCATTATACATTAAAAAGGTTTTATATTCGCACATATCAAATGGTGATGAATAAGAATATTTGAGTTGATATAGGTTGATATCTAGGCATTTCGATCGTGTCATAGCTATCCATTAATTGTATAACCAAAGCGTAAGATAAAAATTACGTCTTAATTTACCTAGTTAATGAAAAATGAGCATGTGAAAACTAAATAGATTCAACGCTATCACAATTGAATTGCAAATGATATACATCAAAAAATTAACGGAGCCTACTACAAAGGAATACTTGCATACTCAATCATTTTTAACAAATGCATTTCCAGGAGATTCTTACAGGTAATATTATTTGGAGCCAGTTTTCAGGAATTTCTTTAAGATATTATTAGATGGAGGTAGGAATTCTAAATAAAAACTAAGAAGATGGATTCTGTTTCCATATATTCCTTTAGTTATTGTTATAAGGAACCAGTTTCAAAGAATTCCACCAAGGAATGATTAGACTGAGGACTTGCTGGGAATTTTATTAGCCAAAGCCAAAGGATGGCCCCAATTTCACTCGTAATTCAATTTTGTTAGATTCAGCATAGTGCTCCCCATTGGAAAAAAGGTAGACACGTGAGAAAAATGATGATTAAACATACCCTCAAATTCACAGTTAGTTCCAGTAAATCCAGAGTTACATAAACAGAGGTAATCGTTTCCCGATCCTGCTGTAAAGCAGACTCCGTTCACGCAAGGGGATGAGGCGCACCCATCGGGAGAAACTTTAAAATACATATGTAGGAAATTACAATTAACTTCCAAAATCTGATAGATTGTTCGTGAGATTTCAAATGGAACGTCACGTTGACAACATTGAAGGTGACATTTGCATTTCTTTGAGTGTTTGAGAACTTTTCGATCTAAGAAAATCTTTATCTCCGAATTGTTTGTATTGAGATCACAAAGTTTAACATATGTATCACTGATACAGATGAACTTTCATGGTAGTTGATCGTTGAATATTTACGGTGATCTAACGTTTACTTCAATGAAACCCCTCATTACATTTCCCTCGAACTCTAATTCGTCTAAAATTCATGTATATATTGGGTATATAACTGGGTTTCAGGTTAGGAGTTGGGTAAGGGATGGGTGTACCGTTGGGTCCAGTATTGAGAATTGAGAAGTGAGTATAGAACAAATGAAATAATAAAAACATAATAGCATGATAAATATCCAAACAGGAAACTACCTGTATAATACATTGTATTGTATAACGAAGGTTACTAAATTGTGTTTGAAAAAGGTAAGACTTTAACATAGGCTTAAATAGATCAAGAGAAGAAAATTCTTTGATATTACTAGGAAGTTAAGAATTTCACTAGTTTCAGATATTGAACCCACACCAATACATCAAGAAAAGAACATTCTTTGATATTACTAGGAAGTTAAGAATTTCACTAGTTTCAGAAATTGAACCCACACCAATAGTATACAGCATAATAGAATATTGTTTGAGGCTATTGTGACAAAGACTAACAATACATATCATTTTTCCCCCTTCTTGATATATCTTGTAAAATGATATGATATAGGCCGATTCTTCAGACATGATTTAAATATGTCTAAATTGTTCATACTTACCGACTGTTTCGCAGTTGATTCCGGTAAATCCAGATGGACAGTTGCAGGAATAGCTGCCATCATTCAGGTTTGAACAAGCTCCATTAACACATGGGTTGGAATTACAAGCGAAAACTATTTAAAGAAAACAGAGAAAATATGAAGATATGTCATCGTAAAGAAGCATGATAAACCAGCTAAGATCAATGAATTATTTACGAAGTACTTGGATTTTCGTTAGAGAATTTAATAATATACAGTAAGGTTCTCATTTTAATTAACTTGAATAATAGTTTTAATTCAATTGATTCTGAAAATTAGCTACTAAATAATAACTTTAGAAATATATAATGACATTAATTTAATTGATCAGAAATGAAAAAGACCGAGGTGCAGTGTTACATTAACATATTAAACATATTTTTAAAGAATATTTATCATTAATAGAAGAAAAGCCTCAAGACATTTCGCTGTCCTCTTTCTCACTACGCATTTAATATTTTAAAGATAAATGCAAGTTAGCCTTCAATATGAATTTTATTTAAAAAAATTCTGATTATAATAACTCAATAAAATACCATAAAGATGATAAATCACAAATTCCTTTACGTTGAAAGATTATTACAATGCAGATAACATAATTGTTTAATTTTACATAAGTAAAAAAAATAAAGAATAGATTGTGCTCTGAGGGAAGGATATGAGATTAGTAGTTTATCTTTGCAAAATATTCCCTGCAAAGATAAACATGTATTTCATATTTGTAAAAAGAAAGACTTAAACTGACACATGTTTTTATAAAGATTTAAACTTCAGTCCTACGAACTTTTATGCATATCGGAAACATAAGTCTTCTTAATACTTTAGATTATCATTTATGAAAAATATAAAGGAAATGACAAACTAATGTGCGGTGTTATATAAAACATATCACATATGATTATTTGACATCATTAATGGAGGAAGACAAAGCATGTGATTAACAGGTGATGTACATTACAATTAAATCTCATATAATTCAAATGTGATAGGAGTATCTCAAACATTGAAATACTTTGTTGAATAGAAAAACAATTATTATAGACAGTTAAATATAAAACATTGACAAAGTGAACATGGTGAAAAGATAAAAAATATGCAATTTAGAGAAATGAATTATCAACAAAACACTGATCATAAGAGACATGTCAATCAAAATTTGTATAATAATCAAAATGTTAATCATGCATCAGTAATTAACGATAAAGTAATTAAGGGAGGTATGACAAGAGTTATGTGATAAAGGTTGTAGGAAGAAAATGATTAGGTTGCCACGGTGATTACCTGATGAAAGGAAACAAATCGAAAAGAGAGTTAGTAAATTGTCCATGACGACATAATGGTCATTTGGTTAGTCTTTAGTTAGTGTTTTTGTATAATTTACTGTTTAAATATCTACATATCACATGCAACAGAGACTATTCAGTGATATCCCCCCCCCCCCTTCGATATTTCATTCAGATTGTTTTTCTTCCCCATACTGCACATGCAAATTTATGGCTGTACTTCTCCAAACAAAATTGTACTGAGTAAATATCAAATGTGACTTGTGAGTAGACTAGTCAGGAAATCAATGAAAATGTTGCGGACTGATTTTAACTTCCTTACAGGACCTTACTTAAATCAATTCCTCCTTTATACCCATAATCGTTAACCATTTGAATATATCATATAATCCGTATGGAATAGGTTCACTTCTCCTTACGATACAAATCACATTTGATTGAGCTTCTTTAACTGTTTTATACTATGAAATTATATCTTATCTTAACTTAGGCCCCATTTCCAAAAGAATATCTAAACCGCATCAAGAAGCTCATTTATCAACAGTGAATGTTAGAACATGCATGTTTATTAATACAAATGGGTGTATAATTGAGAAGTTTGTGATTTTCTTCATTTCAGTGGGTATCACAGTCATGATGTAATAAGCATGGAAAAAGTACTTTGAGAAAATGCAATAAAAATGTTAATAAAATTCAATGGAACAAAATATATAGGCTATGTATATCATGTACATGGAAGGCTGCCATATTAATATGGTTTTACAGTTAGCAACACAAAAACACATAAAACATGAAATATGAGGAGATAATGTGTAAATAGACGATTGATCAGTTCACAAAAAAAAAATTGTGATCAATAATATCCTTTTGAAACCCATGCGTATCAGCCCGAGCTAAACGTCCCCTTATCATTCAGGTAAGCTTATAAATCAGTTTAAGAATTACATATACAAATTATGTACCCTTTCAAGATTATGCAATTAGCCCATAATTTAAATGATGTAGTTCCCACAACCCCAGTGTCACGTATACTTCTTGATTTTGATAAGTCAGCCTACTCTCGTCTTATTTTCCCCTTTATCTCCATGCCCCAGTCACATCAACGAAACCGACACCAGCCCGACGGAACACCGAGCAAACCAATCCACTGCGGCTTGAATGGCCAAGAATGGGCCAGTTTTCAGTCGGTGTGGTGTCGGTTGGGCTATGTGACTGAGGTGTTAGTTAGTATTATGTCCACAACGTGCATGATATTGATAAATAGAAATGCTTTATATCATTGAAGGAGATGCTTACCTTCAATTTCGCAGCGCGTTCCTGCAAAACCTTGGAGACATGTGCAGCTGTATCCGACTCCAAAGGTAAAGTCCTGACAAGCGGCACCGTTAAGACAAGGAGAGGACACACAGGCTGAGACTGTAGGTATCAGAAGAAAAGAACTTATGATGAATACATATGTAATGGTAGATTCTAGAAAAAATATTATTATAGTAAATAGTAAATAGTAGAATAGTATTATACCTCACTTCGTTTACTAGCAGTATAATGTAGATGAAGATATCAATGAAGTTGGAAGATATGTATTTATATTTTTTGAATATGTACATCTGTTTCCATTTTTCCAAATCTATATCAGTTTGAAATTTATATATAAACATTCATAACAATTCCTAGCTTTACGATTTGACTGATAGGTTAGTCTAATAGTTTGCATCTTAATCTCATAGGATACTAAGCTGTACAAATGTCTTACGATAAGTTAAATAAGAATATTCATACACTTTAAACAACTAGAGTAGCAGCAGCAGCAGCAACAAGAACAACACACAAAACGAACATAAGAAGCAACACAAAAATCAGAAACAACTAAATCAAAAGCAGCACGAATAAAAGCAACATTGTTAATAACAAAAACAACAACAACGCCAACAACAACAACATTTCTGCATGTACAGTGCTCATGCTCATGTACAATGTTCATAGATCAATCAGGGGTTCATTTAACGATAAATGTACATGTTGGAACATACATTTTTGAAATATCTGAAGAAAAAAAACCATAAAAATAGAAATACGATATACCACATTTTTATTGGAACACGACCAAAATGTTCATGACCAATTCTCAAGCATGTACCTGTAGTCGCACAATTGTCACCAGCGAAATTAGAAGGACATATACACGAGTATCCGAAGCCGTCTTCAAAATCTATGCAAGCCCCTCCATTCATACAAGGAGATGACAAGCATGCAAAGTCTAAAACAAAATGGAGATACAGATGGTGCGAAAGTAAGAGGATGTAAGATAGGAGTTATTTAAAGTGAAAGAGATTGAAACATGCACGTGCAAATCCATTTTTTAAATATTTTTATAATAATAATTATTCGAGGACAGTTTTGGTTTGTAATTTTTGCTTAGTGACATAGCCTCTGCACCCCTGGTGAAGAAGTTACTCCCACGTGCCTGACTGAACAAAAGAGAAATACTTAAACCCTAAAACTGTGAATTCATGAACATTGTAACAGTATAAAATATGTCTACGAAAACACAAAAAATAATGTATCAACAATGTTCTACGTTCGTATTTTAAACACAGTACCTCTGCTTTCACAATTTTCTCCTGTAAATCCAAATACACAAGAACAGGTGTATCCTAAACCGTTCGTGAACTCTGTGCAAACTCCCCCGTTCAGACATGGTGATGACGAACATGCAGTCACTACAGAAAAATGGTAGAATCAAACGGGTGTGGATAGACAATAGAATGATAGACAATAAAAAGAAGAGCAATTAAAAGAGGATCATAGAAGAAATAACATTTAGATGGACTAACACTTAAAAGAAGGACTACAATTCTATCGGCTGTTTAAAGGACTTTTCATCATGTAATAAAAAACGCAGCCTAAAACTGCATGTTCAGAGTTTGTTTAGGCGTTTGTGCTGATGTGGAAGAAAAGATGAGAATGAAATCATTTTGATAATATAAACTCACAGCCACATTGTTAATTAGAAGAAATTTTAAGAAGTGGAAGTAAACTAATGAGCTAAGATTATGAGCTCTTATTTGGCAATCTAAACCAGCAAAGGTATTCTGATATGAGCTGATCGAAACTCGGGAAACCTCCACCGTTAAGACTTACTGTTTTCACAGTGCCGCCCAATACTATAGTTCTCTGGACATTGGCAGAAGTAGGCAAGATTGCTTCCTTGTAGCTGAAAGCATTCCCCACCGTTAAGGCATGGGCTGGGACTACATGGACTCTCTATGGGAAATGGGTGCAAGCAGTTGGTTGAGTGAAATGAAGAGATAAAGAAGGTGGCAGTGCGGAATAGTGGAAGATTAACAGATTTGCGAATGTAATGAGATGCTAAATTCTAGGAATAAGAGAATTGAACTGCTTAGGCGTTATTAGTGGTGGGTGTCGATCCTGTGGTGGACTCAAAGAGAACAATTTATGGTCTACTCCTCAGCATTGATGTAGGTCAAGGTGTATTCAAAGTGAAAGAGATTGAAACATGCACGTGCAAACGCATTTTTTTTATTTATTAATTATTCGAGGATATTTTTTGTTTGTTCTTTTTGCTTAGTGACATAGCCTCTGCACCCCTAGTGTAAAAGATGCTCCCAACGTGCCTGACTAAAAAAGTAGAAATACTTAAACCTTAAAATTTTGAATTCATGAACATTGTAACAGTAAGAAATTAGTTTACTTGATCACAAACACGAAATGAGTGAAGTCTAATGATTTATCAATAATGTTCTACGTTCATATTGTAAGCACAGTACCTCTGCTTTCACAATTTTCTCCTATGTATCCAAATACACAAGAACAGGTGTATCCTAAACCGTTCGTGAACTCTGTGCAAACTCCCCCGTTCAAACATGGTGATGACGAACATGCAGTCACTACAGAGAAATGGTAGGATCAAACGGGTGTGGATAGACAATTGAATGATAGACAATAGAAAGAAGAGCAATTAAAAGAGGATCATAGAAGAAATAACATTTAGACGGACTAAAATTAAGAAGGACTAAAACTCTATCAGCTGTTTTTATGACCTTTCAACCTGTTATAAAGAACGCTGCCTGAAACTGCATGTTCAGTGTTTGTTTAGGCGTTTGTGCTGATGTGGAAGAAAAGATGAGAATGAAATCGATTTGTAGACAAATTAAAACTATTACACAAGTAAAACGCATTTCCATTATATAAATTCACAGCCACACTGTTAATTAGAAAACATTTTAAGAAGTGGAAGTAAACTAATGAGCTAAGATTATGAGCTCTTATTTGGCAATCTAAACCAGCAAAGGTATTCCGACATGAGCTTATCGAAACTCGCGAAACCTCCACCGTTAAGACTTACTGATTTCACAGTGCTTCCCAGTACTATAGTTCTCTGGACATTGGCAGAAGTAGGCAAGATTGCTTCCTTGTAGCTGAAAGCATTCCCCACCGTTAAGGCATGGGCTGGGACTACATGGACTCTCTATGGGAAATGGGTGCAAGCAGTTGGTCGAGTGAAATGAAGAGATAAAGAAGGTTGCAGTGCGGAAAAGTGGAAGATTAAGAGATTTGCGAATGTAATGAGATGCTAAAAATATAGGAAGAAGAGAGTTGAACTGCCTGTGCAATATTTGTGGTGGACTAAAAGAGAACAACTTATGGTCTACTCGTCAGCATTGGTGAAGATGAAGGTGTATTCAAAGTGAAAGAGATTGAAACATGCACGTGCAAACGCATTTTTTTTATTTCTTAATTATTCGAGGATATTTTTTGTTTGTTCTTTTTGCTTAGTGACATAGCCTCTGCACCCCTAGTGTAAAAGATGCTGACAATGTGCCTGACTGAACAAAGGAGAAATACTTAAACCTTAAAACTTTGAATTCATGAACATTGTAACAGTATGAAATTAGTTTACTTGATCACAAACACAAATTGAGTGACTTCTATTATTAATAATGTTCGACGTTTATATTTTTAAGCACAGTACCTCTGCTTTCACAATTTTCTCCTGTAAATCCAGATACACAAGAACAGGTGTATCCTAAACCGTTTGTGAACTCTATGCAAACTCCTCCGTTCAGACATGGTGATGACGAACATGCAGTCACTGCAGAAAATGGTAGGATCAAACGGGTGTGGATAGACAATAGAAAGTAGTGCAATTTTAAGTGCTTAGGCAATATTAGTGGTGGACTAAAAGAGAACAACTTATGGTATACCTCTCAGCATTCGTGAAGGTCAAGGTGGGTGTTTGATTTTTGGAAGAGAAATAAACGATATTTGCTTTTTTCCATTAGCTTTGGAAGATGAGAGAGGACAGCATCTTGAGGGCTTTCCTGTCTGGCCAGACAGATACGCCAATCTTCAACGTGAATTCAATATTTTTTCATATTAAGATTCATCATTAAACTAGAATCTTTTCTATAAATTGTACTTTTGGAAGCGACTTCATTGGTGATATAGTCATATATAATTGATGCAATTTGCCTTGTAATAAGTTATCGCTACCAGGAGGGAATAACCCTGGAATCCAAATAAAACAAGTCATTTATGACATAAATGAAGGGGTTACACTCTATCCTCCTAGTTTTATCCATTTATATGTAAATATAAATAAAAGAAATATTATTTTCTACCAGGTCTTCTTTCACCAAGTCCATGCATTAACTTTAGGTGAATCAGGAGTAAAATTTCATGCAGAAATATTTATGCCTGAAAATGATTTCTACGAAAAGACGTAAATGTCAAAATGATGACATGCACTAAGTCGAATACAAGAGATTTCAAAGTGTCAATGGCTTGATGGAGGACAGTGTGTGTAGTAAACAGTGGTGCTTATGAAACTCAGTGTCTGGGATGTACCTTTGTTTTGACAAGTTTCTCCAGAATAATCTTCTGGACAGGAACAAATGTGGCCAAAACCGTCAGAAAATTCAGAGCAAGTTCCACCATTTAAACAAGGAGCTGATGAACACGCAAACACTACAGGAAAAAGGTTTGACATTTCAAGTTAAATGCATTTACACATATAGCAGAACCGATACAGATTGGAACATTGAAGGATTATTAATAAATAACTTATGAAATGCTTATAAGTCATCGGTAATGATTTAATTATCCATGGTGTCTCCAGAGAGACAGATGTGAAAAGGATTTTGGATTATTAACTAAGATTGATTGAAACACACAGACAAGATGAAAGAGAATTAAGCATATACAAAGAATGTCGAAAATTAAATGAGTTGTTTTTCTTAGTTTTCGGTTTCATATACCTCTATGCTGACAGATATCTCCAGTAAAATTATCTGGACAGGTACAGTTGTAGCCAACGCCGTCCGAAATTTCTGAGCAGTTTCCACCATTAAGACAAGGAAGTGAAGAACATGCAAACACTAGAGGGGAAACGTTTTACAATCAATTGTCAGTGAGAAAATGTCAGAAAATGGACAGATAAGAGATGTTTTGTTGTTATGTGGATGAGTTTTCACATGGGATGAGTAAGTCAATTAAGGATTAATTGGTCTTATATTACTCATATGCATCCTGATAATAACTTGTTGAAAGGAAGAAGAAAATAGGAAGAATAAGGAAGTGAAAGTTTAAACCAACTCGAATAAGCATTGAGAAATTAAAAAGTTAGAAAATGTGATCAGAGATGTGAGGGGAAAACATTGAATTTGATTAAGTTTCATTAAAGGAACCCACAATATATCATACAATTGTTAAAGCTTTACAAGCTTATTCAAAGGGAATAGAAAATTCGACAGGATCTCAACAGCTCGCGTAAAGGAAAGGAAGCTCGACCTTTGAAAGATGATCCTAAAAGAGGAAAATTTCAGGGAATTGATTTACTAATAAAGTAAAAGTTTAGATATATAATTATTTTTTATATATACAGCATATGGGAAGAAATTCTATTTTGATTTTCACGAAACGTTTCATTATATCCTTGACGACATGTGCAATTAATTCAAACTCGGATTAATAACACAATCCACCATTAGAGCACCGTTCCGAGAAGACAATTTCTGAATTGTTGAATGTGTTAACCAAATGAGTATGAAAACCGATCCTGGATTTCAAATAATTTCAATTAAACAGACACCAGTATTAAATAAACGCTGTCAATAAGTCAACCAGATAAACTTGCTCCGAGAAAATATTGAAGGATAAACAAATCTTACACAGTGAGAGTTCTGATGTTCATCACCAGAAGAATTAATCCCCGTAAGGAAAAACAATCAAAGTAGGATAAAATATTTCATGATAAATTGTCTTCTATTATAATTAGAAACTGTAAAATGATAGCTGTAAGAGAAAATAAAAAGGAAGCTCGAGAAGTAAATGACGTCGATACATAAACCGTAAAACCAATCATATCATCTTGGCAATTCAACAACAATAACACCAGAAAACAGAGGATGATGAACAAAACTGTACACAATTAGAATTCCAATGTTCTCCACTACAGAAAATGAAGCCTGAGAAGGAAAACTTTCACGACGGATACAGTACACGTCAATTTGATTAATTTCACCTCTGCGCACACTCATCAATGATTAGATAATGATGAATGTAATAGGTGGAGGTCTAGAAGCCGGTAGTTTGGATTGATAGATATCGCTAACTTTGTCAACCATGCAAGTCAATGAGACCAATTACCTTGGGGTTCCAATGAATGTATAACATGATAACATGGAAACACAATTGAGTGATTAGACAGAAAACACCAAGTGACGATCTTAAATCATTAGAGGATTAGAATTCCGAAATCTTTACAATGTGGATTAAAATTTTCAGGATTGTTACGGGATTAACATAATGTATTAATAAAAAAGAGGTCGAGGTGGGGTTATGTATTGGGAGTGGTAAGAATATGAACTTGGAAAGTTGGGTAGTCTAAAGTACACCAAGTATATAGAAATCTCGATTCGGTACATCGGTATTATCAATAGGATGTAGATGGATAAGAACTTTCCTATCTAGTTTTAAACTAATAGTATGTATATATATCAAAGAAGAAACTCTGGAGGAAATATATTATATTACTCGTGATTATATAGGGGATCCTTAAGACTATGACCGTGAAAGAAAATTCTAACGGGAAATGAGATAAACTATATGGATAGGTATTTATTTATTTGTGTTAACCAAGGACAAGAACAAAATTACCTGGAGTTTCACAAAACGTTCCATTAAATCCATGGGGACATGTGCAATTGAATCCAAACTCGGATTCATAGCAGATTCCACCGTTAGAGCAGGGTGAAGAGTCGCAAGCAAATACTGGAAAGGGGACACAACGGTTTTTAGACAAATGAAATCGTAGCCATTTTCCAAAAATACATAACCAAAACACCCATTGTCGAAGACTAAGTACAAACAGACAAATGATTTTTTTGAACTCGAGTACATACATAAAATTAACGCAGTTAGTAATATCTTATGAGAAACTCTAGAGGAAATACATTATATTACTCATGTTGATATATGGGATCCTTAAGACTATGACCTTGAAAGAAAATTCTGACGGGAAATATGGTTCATTTGTATTCTCCATAGGATGTAGTTCTGGCAGATTTTCCCCCATCTGGTTTTGAGCTTATGGATGCAATATCCTATAAAAAAAAAAACTCTAGAGGAAATGTATTATATTCCTCGTCCAAGTAGAGGATACCCCGTCGAAGAAAAGTATGATAGAAAATAACAGAAACTGTTTCGATAAGGATTATCATTTTTTTAAACCATGGACTAGACAATAGAGCAAATTTACCTGGAGTTTCACAAAACGTTCCATTAAATCCTTGGGAACATGTGCAATTGAAACCAAACTCGGATTCAAAACACAGTCCACCATTAGAGCAGGGTGAAGAGTCGCAAGCAAATACTGGAAAGGGGACACAACGGTTTTATGACAAATAAAATCGTAGTAATTTTCCAGAAATACATAACCCAAACACCCATGGTTGAATAAACTAAGTACATACAGACAATGATATTTGTGAGTTCGAGTACATGCGAAAAAAATCACAGTTGTCACAGTTAGTAATTTCCATACTATTTTCCAAAACTTAATTTGTAACTCAATCTACCTTGAGTTTCGCAAAACGTTCCATTGAATCCTTGGAGACATGTGCAATTGAATCCAAACTCGGATTCATAACATAGTCCATCGCTAGAACAGGGTGAAGAGTCGCAAGCCAATACTGGAAATGGGACACAACGGTTTTTAGACAAATGAAATCGTAGCCATTTTCCAGAAATACATAACCAAAACACCCATTGTCGAATAGACTAAGTACATACAGACAAATGATTTTTTTGAACTCGAGTACATACATAAAATTAGCACAGTTAGTAATATCTTATGAGAAACTCTAGAGGAAATACATTATATTACTCATGTTGATATATGGGATCCTTAAGACTATGACCTTGAAAGAAAATTCTGACGGGAAATATGGTTCATTTGTATTCTCCATAGGATGTAGTTCTGGCAGATTTTCCCCCATCTGGTTTTGAGCTTATGGATGCAATATCCTATAAAAAAAACTCTAGAGGAAATGTATTATATTCCTCGTCCAAGTAGAGGATACCCCGTCTAAGAAAAATATGATAGAAAATAACGGAAACTGTTTCGATAAGGATTATCATTTTTTTAAACCATGGACCAGACAATAGAGCAAATTTACCTGGAGTTTCACAAAACGTTCCATTAAATCCTTGGGAACATGTGCAATTGAATCCAAACTCGGATTCAAAACACAGTCCACCATTAGAGCAGGGTGAAGAGTCGCAAGGAAATACTGGAAAGGGGACACAACGGTTTTATGACAAATAAAATCGTAGCAATTTTCCAGAAATACATAACCCAAACACCCATGGTTGAATAAACTAAGTACATACAGACAATGATATTTGTGAGTTCGAGTACATGCACAAAAATCACAGTTGACACAGTTAGTAATTTCCATACTATTTTCCAAAACTTAATTTATAACTCAATCTACCTTGAGTTTCGCAAAACGTTCCATTAAATCCTTGGAGACATGTGCAATTGAATCCAAACTCAGATTCATAACACAGTCCACCATTAGAACAGGGTGAAGAGTCGCAGACAAAAACTGAAATGTAAAAGAAGAGGAAAGAAAATGTAATATTCTAACCAGTCCTCTGAAATTTACAGCCCGAACGACCATTCTGAGGTATAGGGAATGTTCATTTGAAGTGAAAATAAATCATACAATACCCTTCACCGGTTACATGAGAATTAGAAATGAGATTGAAACAGAGAAAGAGAGAGATATATGAAGTACCTTTTGTTTCACAAGCTGAACCTGTAAACCCTTCAGGACAGATGCAATATATATCAAATCCTGAAGCAGCATCAAGGCAAAATCCATTATTTTGACAAGGATTTGAAGTGCAAGCAGAAACTGCAAAATAAAAGGACGGAAACCAACATGACAAGGAAAACACAAGAGAATAGATTTGAAAAACGTAAGAAAACTCACGTTTGGTCAAATAAGTGACAAGAAGAGAAACATAAACGTTTGGGAACACGAAAACAGAGTTTATGAAATACATCTATTTATATTTTAGTTTGCAGAACGTAGTACGAGTTTAAAAACTGCAAAACGTTATGTTACTCGAGTTACATTCGGTCCTGATTCTCTTACTCTGATTTGTTGGAATGAAATACATGTAGAATCACTATTAACACGCATTTGTGACAAAAGTATGATACAAAATCAGTAATGTGTTTATTAAACTGTGGTGTTGATTCACGTGGTTCATGTACCTCTAATTTGACAAACATCTCCAGTAAAACCATCTGGACAGGAGCAATTGTAACCGAAGCCTTCCAGGAATTCTGAGCATTTTCCACCATTTAGACAAGGAGCTGACGAACACGTTAACACTAGAAGGAAACGTATGAAGTATCACAGGTAAAATTATCGAAGTGCTGGAGTTGAAAATGTTGAATACTATGCAAATCATGGAGAACTTTATGTAAAAATCCGCTTCGATGATAACCTTGATGTCAATACTAACCACAATGACCACATCACTAAACAGCCACTCAAATCGAGGTTTCCATTGAAGTTACCATCAATGGTAAGCTTCATGCAATGGGGTCCAGATAATTCATCATCACTATAATCGACTGATTCGTCTTAAAGGATTTTTAAAGATTTGAACGAAATCGGACGATTAGAATATTAATTTGAAAAATTGTGAAAAGGTAAACTATTAAGTATGCGCAAATGGGAATCTCGATTTGGTACAAGTTTATTCACCAAAGGATATAGTTTTGGTAAAACTTTCCCCATCTTGAATGTTTTGCGATAATGTCCTTTACAAAACTCTAGAAGAAATGTATTATATTCCTCGCGCTTTTAAATGGGACCCCTTCGAAGAAAATTATAATAGGAAATAAGAGAAACTCTTAGGATATGTGTTCTCATTTTTCTTAACCAAGGACTAGAGCAAATTTACCTGGAGTTTCACAAAACGTTCCATTAAATCCTTCTGGACATGTGCAATTGAATCCAAACTCGGATTCATAACACAGTCCACCGTTAGAGCAGGGTGAAGAGTCGCAAGCAAATACTGGAAAGGGGACACAACGGTTTTAAGACAAATGAAATCGTAGCAGTTTTCCAGGAATACATTACCCAAACACCCATTGTTGAATAAACTATAAAGTACATACAGACAAATTATATTTGTGAGTTCAAGTACATGCATTAAATTCACAGTTGACACAGTTGTAATATCCATACTATTTTCCATAACTTAATCTATAACTCAATCTATCTTGAGTTTCGCAAAACGTTCCATTAAATCCTTCGAGACATGTGCAATTGAATCCAAACTCAGATTCATAACACAGTCCACCATTGGAACAGGGTGATGAGTCGCAAACAAAAACTAAAATGTAAAAGAAGAGGAAAGAAAAAAATGTAATATTTCATGATCAAAATCTCAACCAATGCAATAAGACAAAAACCACAATAAAACCTAACCAATCCTCTGAAATTTACCGCCCGAACGTCCATTCTGAGGTATAGGGAATGTTCATTTGAAGTGAAAATAAATCCTACAATACCCTTCACCGGTTACATAAGAATTAGAAATGAGATTGAAACAGAGAGAGAGAGAGATATATGTAGTACCTTTTGTTTCACAAGCTGAACCTGTAAACCCTTCAGGACAGATGCAATATACATCAAATCCTGAAGCAGCATCAAGGCAAAATCCATTATTTTGACAAGGATTTGAAGTGCAAGCAGAAACTGCAAATAAAAGGACGGAAACCAACATGACAAGGAAAACACAAGAGAATAGATTTGAAAAACGTAAGAAAACTCACATTTGGTCAAATAAGTGACAAGAAGAGAAAAAAAAACGTTTGGGAAAACGAAAACAGAGTTTATGAAATACATCTATTTCTATTTTAGTTTGCAGAACGTAGTACGAGTTTAAAAACTGCAAAATGTTATGTTACTCGAGTTACATTCGGTCCTGATTCTCTTACTCTGATTTGTTGGAATGAAATACATGTAGAATCACTATTAACACGCATTTGTGACAAAAGTATGATACAAAATCAGTAATGTGTTTATTAAACTGTGGTGTTGATTCACGTGGTTCATGTACCTCTAATTTGACAAACATCTCCAGTAAAACCATCTGGACAGGAGCAATTGTAACCGAAGCCTTCCAGGAATTCTGAGCAAGTACCATCATTTAGACAAGGAGCTGACGAACACGTTAACACTAGAAGGAAACGTATGAAGTATCACAGGTAAAATTATCGAAGTGCTGGAGTTGAAAATGTTGAATACTATGCAAATCATGGAGAACTTTATGTAAAAATCCGCTTCGATGATAACCTTGATGTCAATACTAACCACAATGACCACATCACTAAACAGCCACTCAAATCGAGGTTTCCATTGAAGTTACCATCAATGGTAAGCTTCATGCAATGGGGTCCAGATAATTCATCATCACTATAATCGACTGATTCGTCTTAAAGGATTTTTAAAGATTTGAACGAAATCGGACGATTAGAATATTAATTTGAAAAATTGTGAAAAGGTAAACTATTAAGTATGCGCAAATGGGAATCTCGATTTGGTACAAGTTTATTCACCAAAGGATATAGTTTTGGTAAAACTTTCCCCATCTTGAATGTTTTGCGATAATGTCCTTTACAAAACTCTAGAAGAAATGTATTATATTCCTCGCGCTTTTAAATGGGACCCCTTCGAAGAAAATTATAATAGGAAATAAGAGAAACTCTTAGGATATGTGTTCTCATTTTTCTTAACCAAGGACTAGAGCAAATTTACCTGGAGTTTCACAAAACGTTCCATTAAATCCTTCTGGACATGTGCAATTGAATCCAAACTCGGATTCATAACACAGTCCACCGTTAGAGCAGGGTGAAGAGTCGCAAGCAAATACTGGAAAGGGGACACAACGGTTTTAAGACAAATGAAATCGTAGCAGTTTTCCAGGAATACATTACCCAAACACCCATTGTTGAATAAACTATAAAGTACATACAGACAAATTATATTTGTGAGTTCAAGTACATGCATTAAATTCACAGTTGACACAGTTGTAATATCCATACTATTTTCCATAACTTAATCTATAACTCAATCTATCTTGAGTTTCGCAAAACGTTCCATTAAATCCTTCGAGACATGTGCAATTGAATCCAAACTCAGATTCATAACACAGTCCACCATTGGAACAGGGTGATGAGTCGCAAACAAAAACTAAAATGTAAAAGAAGAGGAAAGAAAAAAATGTAATATTTCATGATCAAAATCTCAACCAATGCAATAAGACAAAAACCACAATAAAACCTAACCAATCCTCTGAAATTTACCGCCCGAACGTCCATTCTGAGGTATAGGGAATGTTCATTTGAAGTGAAAATAAATCCTACAATACCCTTCACCGGTTACATAAGAATTAGAAATGAGATTGAAACAGAGAGAGAGAGAGATATATGTAGTACCTTTTGTTTCACAAGCTGAACCTGTAAACCCTTCAGGACAGATGCAATATACATCAAATCCTGAAGCAGCATCAAGGCAAAATCCATTATTTTGACAAGGATTTGAAGTGCAAGCAGAAACTGCAAATAAAAGGACGGAAACCAACATGACAAGGAAAACACAAGAGAATAGATTTGAAAAACGTAAGAAAACTCACATTTGGTCAAATAAGTGACAAGAAGAGAAAAAAAAACGTTTGGGAAAACGAAAACAGAGTTTATGAAATACATCTATTTCTATTTTAGTTTGCAGAACGTAGTACGAGTTTAAAAACTGCAAAATGTTATGTTACTCGAGTTACATTCGGTCCTGATTCTCTTACTCTGATTTGTTGGAATGAAATACATGTAGAATCACTATTAACACGCATTTGTGACAAAAGTATGATACAAAATCAGTAATGTGTTTATTAAACTGTGGTGTTGATTCACGTGGTGCATGTACCTCTAATTTGACAAACATCTCCAGTAAAACCATCTGGACAGGAGCAATTGTAACCGAAGCCTTCCAGAAATTCTGAGCATTTTCCACCATTTAGACAAGGAGCTGACGAACACGTTAACACTAGAAGGAAACGTATGAAGTATCACAGGTAAAATGTTCGAATTGCTACAGTCGAAAATGCTGAACAATTTACAAATCAAGATGAACTTTATGTATCAACCAGCTTTTCCAACCCAGACCTCCTTGCATGAAAGTTACCATTGATGATAACACTGCCATCAATATAAACTACAATAACAACATCACTAAACAGCCACTGAAATCGAGGTTTCCATAGAAGTTACCATCAATGGTAAGCTTCATGCAAAGGGGCCCAGATGATTTATCAACACTATAATCGACTGATTCGTCTTTGAGGATTGTTGAAGATTTGAAGGAAATTGGACAAAGAGAATGTGAATTTGAAATTTGTTGTAAAAGGTAAACTATAAAGAACATGTAAATAGGAATCTCGAATTGTTACATATGTAATCTCCATAAGATTTAGTTTAGGTAGAACATTTCCCATTTAGTTTTGAGCAAATATTAAGCTTTAGTGTCCTATACAAATTCTAGAGGAAATGTATTTAAATTCCTCGCGCTCGTAAAGGGGACCCTGTCGAAGAAAATTATAATAGGAAATAAGAGAAACTATTAGGATATGTATTATTATTATTTTTCTTAACCAAGGACTAGAGCAAATTTACCTGGAGTTTCACAAAACGTTCCATTAAATCCTTTGGGACATGTGCAATTAAATCCAAACTCGGATTCATAACACAGTCCACCATTAGAGCAGGGTGAAGAGTCGCAAGCAAATACTGGAAAGGGGACACAACGGTTTTTAAACAAATGAAATCGTAGCAATTTTTCGGGAATAAATAACCCAAACACCCATTGTTGAATAAACTAAGTACATACAGACAAATGATATGTGTGAGTTCAAGTATATGCATTATGTTCACAGTTGACACAGTTAGTAATATCTATACTATTTTCCAAAACTTAATCAATAACTCAATCTACCTTGAGTTTTGCAAAACGTTCCATTAAATCCTTCGGGACATGTGCAATTGAATCCAAATTCAGATTTTCCAGGAATACATGACCCCAAACACCCATTGTTGAATATACTAGGTACATATAGACAAATGATATCTGTGAACTCGGGTACATATATAAAATTCACACAGTTAGTAGTATCTAACAAAAAGCTCTGGAAGAAATATATTATATTACTCGTGCTTATATAGGGGATCCTAAAGCCTATGACCGTGAAAGAAAATTCAGATGGGAAATTTGGTTCCATGTATATTTTTCATAGGATGTAGTTTTGGCAGAACTTTCCCCATCTGGTTTTGAGCTAAGGGCATGCGATAATATATTATTACAAACAATCTAGAGGAAATGTATTTGAATTCCTCGCGCTCATATAGGGGACCCCGTCGAAGAAAATTATAATGGGAAACAAGAGAAACTATTACGATATGTATTATTATTTTTCTTAACCAAGGACTAGAGCAAATTTACCTGGAGTTTCACAAAACGTGCCATTAAATCCTTGGGGACATGTGCAATTAAATCCAAACTCGGATTCAAAACACAGTCCACCATTAGAGCAGGGTGAAGAGTCGCAAGCAAATACTGGAAAGGGGACACAACGGTTTTATGACAAATGAAATCGTAGCAATTTTCCAGGAATACATAACCCAAACACCCATGGTTGAATAAACTAAGTACATACAGACAATGATATTTGTGAGTTCGAGTATATGCGAAAAAAATCACAGTTGACACAGTTAGTAATTTCCATACTATTTTCCAAAACTTAATTTGTAACTCAATCTACCTTGAGTTTCGCAAAACGTTCCATTAAATCCTTGGAGACATGTGCAATTGAATCCAAACTCAGATTCATAACACAGTCCACCATTAGAACAGGGTGAAGAGTCGCAGACAAAAACTGAAATGTAAAAGAAGAGGAAAGAAAATGTAATAGTCTAACCAGTCCTCTGAAATTTACAGCCCGAACGACCATTCTGAGGTATAGGGAATGTTCATTTGAAGTGAAAATAAATCATACAATACCCTTCACCGGTTACATAAGAATTAGAAATGAGATTAAAACAGAGAGAGAGAGAGAGAGAGATATGTAGTACCTTTTGTTTCACAAGATGAACCTGTAAACCCTTCAGGACAGATGCAATATACATCAAATCCTGAAGCAGCATCAAGGCAAAATCCATTATTTTGACAAGGATTTGAAGTGCAAGCAGAAACTGCAAATAAAAGGACGGAAACCAACATGACAAGGAAAACACAAGAGAATAGATTTGAAAAACGTAAGAAAACTCACGTTTGGTCAAATAAGTGACAAGAAGAGAAACATAAACGTTTGGGAACACGAAAACAGAGTTTATGAAATACATCTATTCATATTTTAGTTTGCAGAACGTTGTACGAGTTTAAAAACTGCAAAATGTTATGTTACTCGAGTTACATTCGGTCCTGATTCTCTTACTCTGATTTGTTGGAATGAAATACATGTAGAATCACTATTAACACGCATTTGTGACAAAAGTATGATACAAAATCAGTAATATGTTTATTAAACTGTGGTGTTGATTCACGTGGTGCATGTACCTCTAATTTGACAAACATCTCCAGTAAAACCATCTGGACAGGAGCAATTGTAACCGAAGCCTTCCAGGAATTCTGAGCAAGTACCATCATTTAGACAAGGAGCTGACGAACACGTTAACACTAGAAGGAAACGTATGAAGTATCACAGTAAAATGTTCGAAGTGCTAGAGTTGAAAATGCTGAACAATTTACAAATCAAGATGAACTTTATGTATCAACCAGCTTTTCCAACCCAGGCCTCTTGCATGAAAGTTACCATTGATGATAACACTGCCATCAATATAAACTACAATAACAACATCACTAAACAGCCACTGAAATCGAGGTTTCCATGGAAGTTACCATCAATTGTAAGCTTCATGGAAAGGGCCCAAATGATTTATCAACACTATAATCGACTGATTCGTCTTTGAGGATTGTTGAAGATATGAAGGAAATTGGACAATGAGGATGTGAATTTGAAATTTGTTGTAAAAGGTAAACTATAAAGAACATGTAAATAGGAATCTCGAATTGTTACATGTGTAATCTCCATAAGATTTAGTTTCGGTAGAACTTTTCCCATTTAGTTTTGAGCAAATATTAAGCTTTAGTGTCCTATACAAATTCTAGAGGAAATGTATTTAAATTCCTCGCGCCCGTAAAGGGGACCCCGTCGAAGAAAATTATAATAGGAAATAAGAGAAACTATTCGGATATATATTATTATTTTTCTTAACCAAGGACTAGAGCAAATTTACCTGGAGTTTCACAAAACGTTCCATTAAATCCTTGGGGACATGTGCAATTAAATCCAAACTCGGATTCATAACACAGTCCACCATTAGAGCAGGGTGAAGAGTCGCAAGCAAATACTGGAAAGGGGACACAACGGTTTTTAAACAAATGAAATCGTAGCAATTTTTCGGGAATACCCAAACACCCATTGTTTAAAAACTAAGTACATACAGACAAATGATATGTGTGAGTTCAAGTATATGCATTAAGTTCACAGTTGACACAGTTAGTAATATCCATACTATTTTCCAAAACTTAATCAATAACTCAATCTACCTTGAGTTTTACAAAACGTTCCATTAAATCCTTCGGGACATGTGCAATTGAATCCAAATTCAGATTTTCCATGAATACATGACCCAAACACCCATGTTGAATATACTAGGTACACATAGACAGATGATATCTGTGAACTCGGATACATATATAAAATTCACACAGTTAGTAGTATCTTACAAAAAGCTCTGGAAGAAATATATTATATTACTCGTGCTTATATAGGGGATCCTAAAGCCTATGACCGTGAAAAAAATTCTGATGGGAAATTTGGTTCCATGTATATTTTTGATAGGATGTAGCTTTGGCAGAACTTTCCCCATCTGGTTTTGAGCTAAGGGAATGCGATAATATCCTATAAAAAAAAATCTAGAGGAAATGTATTTAAATTCATCGCGCTCATAAAGGGGACCCCGTCGAAGAAAATTATAATGGGAAACGAGAGAAACTATTACGATATGTATTATTTTTCTTAACCAAGGACTAGAGCAAATTTACCTGGAGTTTCACAAAACGTGCCATTAAATCCTTGGGAACATGTGCAATTAAATCCAAACTCGGATTCAAAACACAGTCCACCATTAGAGCAGGGTGAAGAGTCGCAAGCAAATACTGGAAAGGGGACACAATGGTTTTATGACAAATGAAATCGTAGCAATTTTCCAGGAATACATAACCCAAACACCCATGGTTGAATAAACTAAGTACATACAGACAATGATATTTGTGAGTTCGAGTACATGCAAAAAAAATCACAGTTGACACAGTTAGTAATTTCCATACTATTTTCCAAAACTTAATTTGTAACTCAATCTACCTTGAGTTTCGCAAAACGTTCCATTAAATCCTTGGAGACATGTGCAATTGAATCCAAACTCAGATTCATAACACAGTCCACCATTAGAACAGGGTGAAGAGTCGCAGACAAAAACTGAAATGTAAAAGAAGAGGAAAGAAAATGTAATATTCTAACCAGTCCTCTGAAATTTACAGCCCGAACGACCATTCTGAGGTATAGGGAATGTTCATTTGAAGTGACAATAAATCATACAATACCCTTCACCGGTTACATAAGAATTAGAAATGAGATTGAAACAGAGAGAGAGAGAGATATGGAGTACCTTTTGTTTCACAAGCTGAACCTGTAAACCCTTCAGGACAGATGCAATATACATCAAATCCTGAAGCAGCATCAAGGCAAAATCCATTATTTTGACAAGGATTTGAAGTGCAAGCAGAAACTGCAAATAAAAGGACGAAAACCAACATGACAAGGAAAACACAAGAGAATAGATTTGAAAAACGTAAGAAAACTCACGTTTGGTCAAATAAGTGACAAGAAGAGAAACATAAACGTTTGGGAACACGAAAACAGAGTTTCTGAAATACATCTATTTCTATTTTAGTTTGCAGAACGTAGTACGAGTTTAAAAACTGCAAAATGTTATGTTACTCGAGTTACATTCCGTCCTGATTCTCTTACTCTGATTTGTTGGAATGAAATACATGTAGAATCACTATTAACACGCATTTGTGACAAAAGTATGATACAAAATCAGTAATGTGTTTATTAAACTGTAGTGTTGATTCACGTGGTGCATGTACCTCTAATTTGACAAACATCTCCAGTAAAACCATCTGGACAGGAGCAATTGTAACCGAAGCCTTCCAGGAATTCTGAGCAAGTACCATCATTTAGACAAGGAGCTGACGAACACGTTAACACTAGAAGGAAACGTATGAAGTATCACAGTAAAATGTTCGAAGTGCTAGAGTTGAAAATGCTGAACAATTTACAAATCAAGATGAACTTTATGTATCAACCAGCTTTTCCAACCCAGGCCTCTTGCATGAAAGTTACCATTGATGATAACACTGCCATCAATATAAACTACAATAACAACATCACTAAACAGCCACTGAAATCGAGGTTTCCATAGAAGTCACCATCAATGATAAGCTTCATGCAAAGGGGCCCAAATGATTTATTAACACGATAATTGACTGATTCGTCTTTGAGGATTGTTGAAGATTTGAAGGAAATTGGACAATGAGGATGTGAATTTGAAATTTGTTGTAACAGGTAAACTATAAAGAACATGTAAATAGGAATCTCGAATTGTTATATGTGTAATCTCCATAAGATTTAGTTTCGGTAGAACTTTTCACATTTAGTTTTGAGCAAATATTAAGCTTTAGTGTCCTATACAAATTCTAGAGGAAATGTATTTAAATTCTTCGCGCTCGTAAAGGGGACACCGTCGAAGAAAATTATAGTAGGAAATAAGAGAAACTATTAGGATATGTATTTTTATTTTTCTTAACCAAGGACTAGAGCAAATTTACCTGGAGTTTCACAAAACGTTCCATTAAATCCTTGGGGACATGTGCAATTGAATCCAAACTCGGATTCAAAACACAGTCCACCATTAGAGCAGGGTGAAGAGTCGCAAGCAAATACTGGAAAGGGGACACAACGGTTTTATGACAAATGAAATCGTAGCAATTTTTTCAGGAATACATAACCCAAACACCCATGGTTGAATAAACTAAGTACATACAGACAATGATATTTGTGAGTTCGAGTACATGCAAAAAAAATCACAGTTGACACAGTTAGTAATTTCCATACTATTTTCCAAAACTTAATTTATAACTCAATCTACCTTGAGTTTCGCAAAACGTTCCATTAAATCCTTCGAGACATGTGCAATTGAATCCAAACTCAGATTCATAACACAGTCCACCATTAGAACAGGGTGAAGAGTCGCAGACAAAAACTGAAATGTAAAAGAAGAGGAAAGAAAATGTAATAGTCAAACCAGTCCTCTGAAATTTACAGCCCGAACGACCATTCTGAGGTATAGGGAATGTTCATTTGAAGTGAAAATAAATCATACAATACCCTTCACCGGTTACATGAGAATTAGAAATGAGATTGAAACAGAGAGAGAGAGAGATATATGAAGTACCTTTTGTTTCACAAGCTGAACCTGTAAACCCTTCAGGACAGATGCAATATACATCAAATCCTGAAGCAGCATCAAGGCAAAATCCATTATTTTGACAAGGATTTGAAGTGCAAGCAGAAACTGCAAATAAAAGGACGGAAACCAACATGACAAGGAAAACACAAGAGAATAGATTTAAAAACGTAAGAAAACTCACGTTTGGTCAAATAAGTGACAAGAAGAGAAACATAAACGTTTGGGAACACGAAAACAGAGTTTATGAAATACATCTATTTATATTTTAGTTTGCAGAACGTAGTACGAGTTTAAAAACTGCAAAATGTTATGTTACTCGAGTTACATTCGGTCCTGATTCTCTTACTCTGATTTGTTGGAATGAAATACATGTAGAATCACTATTAACACGCATTTGTGACAAAAGTATGATACAAAATCAATAATGTGTTTATTAAACTGTGGTGTTGATTCACGTGGTGCATGTACCTCTAATTTGACAAACATCTCCAGTAAAACCATCTGGACAGGAGCAATTGTAACCGAAGCCTTCCAGGAATTCTGAGCATTTTCCACCATTTAGACAAGGAGCTGACGAACACGTTAACACTAGAAGGAAACGTATGAAGTATCACAGTAAAATGTTCGAAGTGCTCCAGTCGAAAATGCTGTACAATTTACAAATCAAGATGAACTTTATGTATCAACCAGCTTTTCCAACCCAGACCTCGTTGCATGAAAGTTACCATGGATGATAACACTGCCATCAATATAAACTACAATAACAACATCACTAAACAGCCACTGAAATCGATGTTTCCATAGAAGTTACCATCAATGGTAAGCTTCATGCAAAGGGGCCCAGATGATTTATCAACACTATAATTGACTGACTCGTCTTGGAGCATTGTTGAAGATTTAAAGGAAATTGGACAATGAGGATGTGAATTTGAAATTTGTTGTAAAAGGTAAACTATAAAGAACATGTAAATAGGAATCTCGAATTGTTATATGTGTAATCTCTATAAGATTAAGTTTCGGTAGAACTTTTCCCATTTAGTTTTGAGCAAATATTAAGCTTTAGTGTCTAAATACAAATTCTAGAGGAAATGTATTTAAATTCCTCGCGCTCGTAAAGGGGACCCCGTCGAAGAAAATTATAGTAGGAAATAAGAGAAACTATTAGGATAGGTATTATTATTTTTCTTAACCAAGGACTAGAGCAAATTTACCTGGAGTTTCACAAAACGTTCCATTAAATCCTTGGGGACATGTGCAATTGAATCCAAACTCGGATTCATAACACAGTCCACCATTAGAGCAGGGTGAAGAGTCGCAAGCAAATACTGGAAAGGGGACACAACGGTTTTTAGACAAATGAAATCGTAGCAATTTTTCGGGAATACCCAAACACCCATTGTTTAAAGACTAAGTACATACAGACAAATGATATGTGTGAGTTCAAGTAGATGCATTAAGTTCACAGTTGACACAGTTAGTAATATCCATACTATTTTCCAAAACTTAATCAATAACTCAATCTACCTTGAGTTTTGCAAAACGTTCCATTAAATCCTTCGGGACATGTGCAATTGAATCCAAATTCAGATTTTCCAGGAATACATAACCCAAACACCCATTGTTGAATAGACTACGTACATATAGACAAATGATATCTGTGAACTCGGGTACATACATAAAATTCACACAGTTAGTAGTATCTTACAAAAAGCTCTGTAAGAAATATATTATATTACTCGTGCTTATATAGGGGGTCCTAAAGCCTATGACCGTGAAAGAAAATTCTGATGGGAAATTTGGTTCCATGTATATTTTTTCATAGGATGTAGTTTTGGCAGAACTTTCCCCATCTGGTTTTGAGCTAAGGGCATGCGATAATATCCTATAAAAAAAAATCCAGAGGAAATGTATTTAAATTCCTCGCGCTCATAAAGGGGACCCCGTCGAAGAAAATTATAATGGGAAACAAGAGAAACTATTGCGATATATATTATTATTTTTCTTAACCAAGGACTAGAGCAAATTTACCTAGAGTTTAACAAAACGTGCCATTAAATCCTTGGGGACATGTGCAATTAAATCCAAACTCGGATTCAAAACACAGTCCACCGTTAGAGCAGGGTGAAGAGTCGCAAGCAAATACTGGAAAGGGGACACAACGGTTTTATGAAAAATGAAATCGTAGTAATTTTCCAGGAATACATAACCCAAACATCCATGGTTGAATAAATTAAGTACATACAGACAATGATATTTGTGAGTTCGAGTACATGCAAAAAAATCACAGTTGACACAGTTAGTAATTTCCATACTATTTTCCAAAAGTTAATTTGTAACTCAATCTACCTTGAGTTTCGCAAAACGTTCCATTAAATCCTTCGAGACATGTGCAATTGAATCCAAACCCAGATTCATAACACAGTCCACCATTAGAACAGGGTGAAGAGTCGCAGACAAAAACTGAAATGTAAAAGAAGAGGAAAGAAAATGTAATAGTCTAACCAGTCCTCTGAAATTTACAGCCCGAACGACCATTCTGAGATATACGGACTGTGAATTTGAAGTGAAAATAAATCATACAATACCCTTCACCGGTTACATAAGAATTAGAAATGAGATTGAAACAGAGAGAGAGAGATATATATGTAGTACCTTTTGTTTCACAAGCTGAACCTGTAAACCCTTCGGGACAGATGCAATAAACATCATATCCTGAAGCAGCATCAAGGCAAAATCCATTATTTTGACAAGGATTTGAAGTGCAAGCAGAAACTGCAAATAAAAGGACGGAAACCAACATGACAAGGAAAACACAAGAGAATAGATTTGAAAAACGTTAGAAAACCCACGTTTGGTCAAATAAGTGACAAGAAGAGAAACATAAACGTTTGGGAACACGAAAACAGAGTTTATGAAATACATCTATTTCTATTTTAGTTTGCAGAACGTAGTACGAGTTTAAAAACTGCAAAATGTTATGTTACTCGAGTTACATTCGGTCCTGATTCTCTTACTCTGATTTGTTGGAATGAAATACATGTAGAATCACTATTAACACGCATTTGTGACAAAAGTATGATACAAAATCAGTAATGTGTTTATTAAACTGTAGTGTTGATTCACGTGGTGCATGTACCTCTAATTTGACAAACATCTCCAGTAAAACCATCTGGACAGGAGCAATTGTAACCGAAGCCTTCCAGGAATTCTGAGCAAGTACCATCATTTAGACAAGGAGCTGACGAACACGTTAACACTAGAAGGAAACGTATGAAGTATCACAGTAAAATGTTCGAAGTGCTAGAGTTGAAAATGCTGAACAATTTACAAATCAAGATGAACTTTATGTATCAACCAGCTTTTCCAACCCAGGCCTCTTGCATGAAAGTTACCATTGATGATAACACTGCCATCAATATAAACTACAATAACAACATCACTAAACAGCCACTGAAATCGAGGTTTCCATAGAAGTTACCATCAATGGTAAGCTTCATGGAAAGGGGCCCAAATGATTTATCAACACTATAATCGACTGATTCGTCTTTGAGGAATGTTGAAGATTTGAAGGAAATTGGACAATGAGGATGTGAATTTGAAATTTGTTATAAAAGGTAAACTATAAAGAACATGTAAATAGGAATCTCGAATTGTTACAAGTGTAATCTCCATAAGATTTAGTTTCGGTAGAACTTTTCCCATTTAGTTTTGAGCAAATATTAAGCTTTAGTGTCCTATACAAATTCTAGAGGAAATGTATTTAAATTCCTAGCGCTCGTAAAGGGGACCCCGTCGAAGAAAATTATAATAGGAAATAAGAGAAACTATTAGGATATGTATTATTATTTTTCTTAACCAAGGACTAGAGCAAATTTACCTGGAGTTTCACAAAACGTTCCATTAAATCCTTGGGGACATGTGCAATTAAATCCAAACTCGGATTCATAACACAGTCCACCATTAGAGCAGGGTGAAGAGTCGCAAGCAAATACTGGAAAGGGGACACAACGGTTTTTAGACAAATGAAATCGTAGCAATTTTTCGGGAATACCCAAACACCCATTGTTTAAAAACTAAGTACATACAGACAAATGATATGTGTGAGTTCAAGTATATGCATTAAGTTCACAGTTGACACAGTTAGTAATATCCATACTATTTTCCAAAACTTAATCAATAACTCAATCTACATATGGCAATCTAAACAAGCAAATGTTTTCTAATCGAAATTCGTGAAACCTCCACCGTTAAGACTTACTGTTTTCACAGTGCTTCCCAGTACTATAGTTCTCTGGACATTGGCAGAAGTAGGCAAGATTGCTTCCTTGTAGCTGAAAGCATTCCCCACCGTTAAGGCATGGACTGGGACTACATGGACTCTCTACGGGAAATGGGTGCAAGCAGTTGACCGAGTGAAATGAAGAGATGAAGAAGGTGGCAGTGCGGAAAAGTGGAAGATTAAAAGATTTGCGAATATGATGAAATGCTAACAAATCTAGGAAGAAGAGAATTGAACTGCTTAGGCATTATTTGTGGTGGACTAATAGAGAAGAACTTATGGATATACAACTATTGTAGCATCAGCAGCCACAAGAACAAAACACAACATGAACATCAGCAACAGGATCAACAAAAACAGCAACAACGTTATTAATAATAATATTAATGATATTCATAACAACAACAACAGCATGTCTACATGCATAGTGCTCAAATGTTCATAGATCAATCAAGAGTTCAATCAACGATAAATGTACACATTGGACATACATTTTTGACATCTCTACAAAAAAAGAACTTAAAACTAGAAATATGATATTCAACATTTTAACAGGAACACGACCAAAATTTTAGTTAACAATTATCAACATGTACCTGTACTGTCACAATTGTAACCAGTGAAACTAGATGGACATATGCACGAGTATCCGAAGCCATCTTCAAACTCTATGCAAGCTCCTCCATTCATACAAGGAAATGACAAGCATGCAAAGTCTAAAACAAAATGGAGATACAGATGGTGCGAAAGTAAGAGAATGTTAGATATGAGTTATTTAAAATGAAAGAGACTTAAACATGCACGTGCAAACGCATTTTTTGATTTATTTATTATTCGAGGATAGTTTTTGTTTGTTCTCTTTGCTTAGTGACATAGCCTTTACGCCCCTCATAAAACAGTTGCTCCCATGTGCCTGACTGAACAAAGGAGAAATACTTAAACTTTAACACTGTGAATTCATGACCATTGTAACAGTATGAAATTAGTTTACTTGATCACAAACACGAAATGAGTGACGTCTAATGATTTATCAATAATGTTCTACGTTCATATTTAAGCACGGTACCTCTGCTTTCACAATTTTCTCCTGTAAATCCAGATACACAAGAACAGGTGTATTCTGAACCGTTCGTGAACTCTGTGCAAACTCCCCCGTTCAGACATGGTGATGACGAACATGCAGTCACTACAGAGAAATGGTAGGATCAAACGGGTGTGGATAGACAATAGAATGATAGACAATAGAAAGAAGAGCAATTTAAAGAGCATCATAGAAGAAATAAGATTTAGACGGACTAAAATTAAGAAGGACTAAAATTAAGAAGGACTAAAATTAAGAAGGACTAAAACTCTATCAGCTGTTTTTATGACTTTTCAACCTGTTATAAAGAACGCTGCCTGAAACTGCATGTTCAGTGTTTGTTTAGGCGTTTGTGCTGATGTGGAAGAAAAGATGGGAACGAAATCTATTTGTAGAGAAATTAAAACTATTACACAAGTAAAATGCAATTGAAATATTTAAACACACAGCCACACTGCTAATTAGAAGAAATTTAAGAAGTGGAAGTAAACTAATGAGCTAAGATTATGAGCTCTTATTTTGCAATCTAAACCAGTAAAGGTATTCTGATATGAGCTGATCGAAATTCGTGAAACCTCCACCGTTAAGACTTACTGTTTTCACAGTGCTTCCCAGTACTATAGTTCTCTGGACATTGGCAGAAGTAAGCGAGATCGCTTCCTTGTAGCTGAAAGCATTCCCCACCGTTAAGGCATGGGCTGGGACTACATGGACTCTCTACGGGAAATGGGTGCAAGCAGTTGACCGAGTGAAATGAAGAGATGAAGAAGGTTGCAGTGCGGAAAAGTGGAAGATTAAAAGATTTGCGAATATGATGAAATGCTAACAAATCTAGGAAGACGAAAATTGAACTGCTTAGGCATTATTTGTGGTGGACTAATAGAGAAGAACTTATGGATATACAACTATTGTAGCATCAGCAGCCACAAGAACAAAACACAACATGAACATCAGCAACAGGATCAACAACAACAGCAACAACGTTATTAATAATAATAATAATGATATTCATAACAAAAACAACAACAACAACAGCATGTCTACATGCATAGTGCTCAAATGTTCATAGATCAATCAAGAGTTCAATCAACGATAAATGTACATATTGGACATACATTTTTGACATCTCTACAAAAAAAGAACTTAAAACTAGAAATATGATATTCAACATGTTAACAGGAACACGACCAAAATGTTAGTTAACAATTATCAACATGTACCTGTACTGTCACAATTGTAACCAGTGAAACTAGATGGACATATGCACGAGTATCCGAAGCCATCTTCAAACTCTATGCAAGCTCCTCCATTCATACAAGGAAATGACAAGCATGCAAAGTCTAAAACAAAATTGAGATACAGATGGTGCGAAAGTAAGAGAATGTTAGATAAGAGTTATTTAAAGTGAAAGAGACTTAAACATTCACGTGCAAACGCATTTTTTGATTTATTTATTATTCGAGGATAGTTTTTGTTTGTTCTCTTTGCTTAGTGACATAGCCTTTACGCCCCTCATAAAACAGTTGCTCCCACGTGCCTGACTGAACAAAGGAGAAATACTTAAACTTTAACACTGTGAATTCATGACCATTGTAACAGTATGAAATTAGTTTACTTGATCACAAACACGAAATGAGTGACGTCTGATGATTTATCAATAATGTTCTACGTTCATATTTAAGCACGGTACCTCTGCTTTCACAATTTTCTCCTGTAAATCCAGATACACAAGAACAGGTGTATTCGGAACCGTTCGTGAACTCTGTGCAAACTCCCCCGTTCAGACATGGTGATGACGAACATGCAGTCACTACAGAGAAATGGTAGGATCAAACGGGTGTGGATAGACAATAGAATGATAGACAAAAGAAAGAAGAGCAATTTAAAGAGCATCATAGAAGAAATAAGATTTAGACGGACTAAAATTAAGAAGGACTAAAATTAAGAAGGACTCAAACTCTATCAGCTGTTTTTATGACTTTTCAACCTGTTATAAAGAACGCTGCCTGAAACTGCATGTTCAGAGTTTGTTTAGGCGTTTGTGCTGATGTGGAAGAAAAGATGGGAACGAAATCTATTTGTAGGGAAATTAAACTATTTCACAAGTAAAATGCAATTTAAATATTTAAACACACAGCCACACTGCTAATTAGAAGAAATTTAAGAAGTGGAAGTAAACTAATGAGCTAAGATTATGAGCTCTCATTTGGCAATCTAAACAAGCAAATGTATTCTGATCGAAATTCGTGAAACCTCCACCGTTAAGACTTACTGTTTTCACAGTGCTTCCCAGTACTATAGTTCTCTGGACATTGGCAGAAGTAAGCGAGATCGCTTCCTTGTAGCTGAAAGCATTCCCCACCGTTAAGGCATGGGCTGGGACTACATGGACTCTCTACGGGAAATGGGTGCAAGCAGTTGGTCGAGTGAAATAAAGAGATGAAGAAGGTGGCAGTGCGGAAAAGTGGAAGATTAAAAGATTTGCGAATATGATGTAATGCTAACAAATCTAGGAAGAAGAGAATTGAACTGCTTAGGCATTATTTGTGGTGGACTAATAGAGAAGAACTTATGGATATACAACTATTGTAGCATCAGCAGCCACAAGAACAAAACACAACATGAACATCAGCAACAGCAACAACGTTATTATTAATAATAATAATGATATTCATAACAAAAACAACAACAACAGCATGTCTACATGCATAGTGCTCAAATCTTCATAGATCAATCAAGAGTTCAATCAACGATAAATGTACATACTGGACATACATTTTTGACATCTCTACAAAAAAAGAACTTAAAACTAGAAATATGATATTCAACATTTTAACAGGAACACGACCAAAATGCTAGTTAACAATTATCAACATGTACCTGTACTGTCACAATTGTAACCAGTGAAACTAGATGGACATATGCACGAGTATCCGAAGCCATCTTCAAACTCTATGCAAGCTCCTCCATTCATACAAGGAAATGACAAGCATGCAAAGTCTAAAACAAAATGGAGATACAGATGGTGCGAAAGTAAGAGGATGTTAGATAGGAGTTATTTAAAGTGAAAGAGACTTAAACATTCACGTGCAAACGCATTTTTTGATTTATTCATTATTCGAGGATAGTTTTTGTTTGTTCTCTTTGCTTAGTGACATAGCCTTTACGCCCCTCATAAAACAGTTGTTCCCATGTGCCTGACTGAACAAAGGAGAAATACTTAAACTTTAACACTGTGAATTCATGACCATTGTAACAGTATGAAATTAGTTTACTTGATCACAAACACGAAATGAGTGACGTCTAATGATTTATCAATAATGTTCTACGTTCATATTTTAAGCACAGTACCTCTGCTTTCACAATTTTCTCCTGTAAATCCAGATACACAAGAACAGGTGTATTCTGAACCGTTCGTGAACTCTGTGCAAACTCCCCCGTTCAGACATGGTGATGACGAACATGCAGTCACTACAGAGAAATGGTAGGATCAAACGGGTGTGGATAGACAATAGAATGATAGACAATAGAAAGAAGAGCAATTTAAAGAGCATCATAAAAGAAATAACATTTAGACGGACTAAAATTAAGAAGGACTAAAATTAAGAAGGACTAAAACTCTATCAGCTGTTTTTATGACTTTTCAACCTCCTATAAAGAACGCTGCCTGAAACTGCATGTTCAGTGTTTGTTTAGGCGTTTGTGCTGATGTGGAAGAAAAGATGAGAATGAAATCGATTTGTAGACAAATTAAAACTATTACGCAATTAAAATGCATTTCCATTATATAAACTCACAGCCACACTGTTAATTAAAGGAAATTTAAGAAGTGGAAGTAAACTAAAGAGCTAAGATTATGAGCTCTTATTTTGCAATCTAAACCAGTAAAGGTATTCTGATATGAGCTTATCGAAATTCGTGAAACCTTCACCGTTAAGACTTACTATTTTCACAGTGCTTCCCAGTACTATAGTTCTCTGGACATTGGCAGAAGTAAGCGAGATTGCTTCCTTGTAGCTGAAAGCATTCCCCACCGTTAAGGCATGGACTGGGACTACATGGACTCTCTACGGGAAATGGGTGCAAGCAGTTGGTCGAGTGAAATGAAGAAATACATAAGGTGGCAGTGCGGAATAGTGGAAGATTAACAGATTTGTGAATGTAATGAGATGCTAAATTCTAGGAATAAGAGAATTGAACTACTTAGGCGTTATTAGTGGTCGACAAAAAGATGTAGGTCAAGGTGTATTCAAAGTGAGAGAGATTGAAACGTGCACGTGCAAACGCATTTTTTGATTTATTAGGTTTTCGAGGATATTTTTTGTTTGTTCTTTTTACTGAGTGACATAGCCTCGGCACCCCTAGTGCCTGCCTGAACAAAGGAGATATACTTAAACTTTAAACCTTTAAATTCATGAACATTTTAACAGTATGAAATTAGTTTACTTGATCACAAACACGAAATGAGTGACGTCTAATGATTTATCAATAATGTTCTACGTTCTTATTTTAAGCACGGTACCTCTGCTTTCACAATTTTCTCCTATAAATCCAAATACACAAGAACAGGTGTATTCTGAACCGTTCGTGAACTCTGTGCAAACTCCCCCGTTGAGACATGGTGATGACGAACATGCAGTCACTACAGAGAAATGGTAGGATCAAACGGGTGTGGATAGACAATAGAATGATAGACAATAGAAAGACGAGCAATTTAAAGAGCATCATAAAAGAAATAACATTTAGACGGACTAAAATTAAGAAGGACTAAAATTAAGAAGGACTAAAACTCTATCAGCTGTTTTTATGACTTTTCAACCTCCTATAAAGAACGCTGCCTGAAACTGCATCAGTGTTTGTTTAGGCGTTTGTGCTGATGTGGAAGAAAAGATGAGAATGAAATCGATTTGTAGACAAATTAAAACTATTACGCAATTAAAATGCATTTCCATTATATAAACTCACAGCCACACTGTTAATTAAAGGAAATTTAAGAAGTGGAAGTAAACTAAAGAGCTAAGATTATGAGCTCTTATTTTGCAATCTAAACCAGTAAAGGTATTCTGATATGAGCTTATCGGAATTCGTGAAACCTCCACCGTTAAGACTTACTATTTTCACAGTGCTTCCCAGTACTATAGTTCTCTGGACATTGGCAGAAGTAAGCGAGATTGCTTCCTTGTAGCTGAAAGCATTCCCCACCGTTAAGGCATGGACTGGGACTACATGGACTCTCTACGGGAAATGGGTGCAAGCAGTTGGTCGAGTGAAATGAATAAATACATAAGGTGGCAGTGCGGAATAGTGGAAGATTAACAGATTTGAGAATGCAATGAGATGCTAAATTCTAGGAATAAGAGAATTGAACTACTTAGGCGTTATTAGTGGTCGACAAAAAGATGTAGGTCAAGGTGTATTCAAAGTGAGAGAGATTGAAACGTGCACGTGCAAACGCATTTTTTGATTTATTAGGTTTTCGAGGATATTTTTTGTTTGTTCTTTTTACTGAGTGACATAGCCTCGGCACCCCTAGTGCCTGCCTGAACAAATGAGATATACTTAAACTTTAAACCTTTAAATTCATGAACATTTTAACAGTATGAAATTAGTTTACTTGATCACAAACACGAAATGAGTGACGTCTAATGATTTATCAATAATGTTCTACGTTCTTATTTTAAGCACGGTACCTCTGCTTTCACAATTTTCTCCTATAAATCCAAATACACAAGAACAGGTGTATTCTGAACCGTTCGTGAACTCTGTGCAAACTCCCCCGTTGAGACATGGTGATGACGAACATGCAGTCACTACAGAGAAATGGTAGGATCAAACGGGTGTGGATAGACAATAGAATGATAGACGATAGAAATACGAGCAATTTAAAGAGTATCATAGAAGAAATAACATTTAGACGGACTAAAATTAAGACGGACTAAAATTAAGAAGGACTAAAATTAAGAAGAACTAAAACTCTATCAGCTGTTTTTATGACTTTTCAACCTCCTATAAAGAACGCTGCCAGAAACTGCATGTTCAGTGTTTGTTTAGGCGTTTGTGCTGATGTGGTAGAAAAGATGAGAATGAAATCGATTTGTAGAGAATTAAACTATTACACAAGTAAAATGCATTTCCATTATATAAACACACAGCCACATTGTTAATTAGAAGAAATTTTAAGAAGTGGAAGTAAACTAAAGAGCTAAGATTATGAGCTCTGATTTGGCAATCTAAACCAGTAAAAGTATTCTGATATGAGCTGATCGAAATTCGTGAAACCTCCACCGTTAAGACTTACTGTTTTCACAGTGCTTCCCAGTACTATAGTTCTCTGGACATTGGCAGAAGTAAGCGAGATTGCTTCCTTGTAGCTGAAAGCATTCCCCACCGTTAAAGCATGGACTGGGACTACATGGACTCTCTATGGGAAATGGGTGCAAGCAGTTGGTCGAGTGAAATGAAGAGATAAAGAAGGTGGCAGTGCGGAATAGTGGAAGATTAACAGATTTGAGAATGCAATAAGATGCTAAATTCTAGGAATAAGAGAATTGAACTGCTTAGGCGTTATTAGTGGTAGACTAAAAGAGAACAATTTATGGTCTACTCTCAGCATTGATGTAGGTCAAAGTGTATTCAAAGAGAGAGAAACGTGCACGTGCAAACGCATTTTTTGATTTATTAGGTTTTCGAGGATATTTTTTGTTTGTTCTTTTTACTGAGTGACATAGCCTCGGCACCCCTAGTGCCTGCCTGAACAAAGGAGATATACTTAAACCTTAAACCTTTGAATTTATGAACATTTTAACAGTATGAAATTAGTTTACTTGATCACAAACACGAAATGAGTGACGTCTAATGAATTATCAATAATGTTCTACGTTCTTATTTTAAGCACGGTACCTCTGCTTTCACAATTTTCTCCTGTAAATCCAGATACACAAGAACAGGTGTATTCTGAACCGTTCGTGAATTCTGTGCAAACTCCCCCGTTCAGACATGGTGATGACGAACATGCAGTCACTACAGAGAAACGGTAGGATCAAACGGGTGTGGATAGACAATAGAATGATAGACAATAGAAAGAAGAGCAATTTAAAGAGCATCATAGAAGAAATAACATTTAGATGGACTAACATTTAGAGGAAGGCCTCCATTTCTATTGCCTGTTTTTAGGACTTTTCATTATGTTATAAAGAACTGCGTGTTTAGCGTTTGTTGAGGCGTTCGTGCAGATGTGGAAGAAAAGATGAGAATGAAATCTATTTGCAGAGAAATTAAACCCTTACACAAGTAAAATGCATTTTCATTATAAACACACAGCCACACTGTTTATTAGAAGAAATGTTAAGTGGAAGCAAACTAAGGAGCTAAGATTATGAGCTCTGATTTGGCAATCTAAACCAGGAAAGGTATTCTGATATGAGCTTATCGAAATTCGTGAAACCTCCACCGTTAAGACTTACTGTTTTCACAGTGCTTCCCAATACTATAGTTCTCTGGACATTGGCAGAAGTAGGAAAGATTGCTTCCTTGTAGCTGAAAGCAATATCCACCGTTAAGGCATGGACTGGGACTACATGGACTCTCTACGGGAAATGGGTGCAAGCAATTGATCGAGTGAAAAGAAGACATAAAGAAGGTGGCAGTGCGGAATAGTGGAAGATTAAAAGATTTGAGAATGAGATGCTTAAAACCTAGGAAGAAGGGGATTGATCTGCCTAGGCAATATTTGTGGTGAACTAACAGAGAACAACTTATGATATACCTCTCAGCATTCGTGAAGGTCAAGGTGAGTGTTTCATTTTTGGAAGAGAAATAAACGTTATTTGCTTTTTTCCATTAGCTTTGAAAGATGAGAGAGGACAGCATCTTTTGGGCTTTCCTGTCTAGCCTGACAAATACGCCAATCTTCAACGTGAATTCATTTTTTTAAAATATTAAGATTCATCATTAAACTAGAATCTTTTCTATAAATTGTACTTTTGGAAGCGACTTCATTTGTGATATATTCATATATAATTGATATACAATTAGCCGTGTAGTAAGTTATTGCTACCAGGAGGGAATAACCTTGGAATCCAAATAAAACAAGTCATTTATGACATAAATTAAGGGGTTACACTCTATCCTCCTAGTTTTATCCATTTATATTAAAATATAAGAAATATTATTTTCTACCAGGTCTGCTTTCACCAGGTCCATGCATTAACTTTAGGTGAATCAGGAGTAAAATTTCATGCAGGAGTAAGATTTCATGCAGAAATATTTATGCCTGAAAATGATTTCTACGAAAAGACGTAAATGTCAAAATGATGACATGCACTAAGTCGAATACAAGAGATTTCAAAGTGTCAATGGCTTGATGGAGGACAGTGTATGTAGTTAACAGTGGTGTGCATGAAATCCAGTGTATGGGATGTACCTTTGTTTTGACAAGTTTCTCCAGAATAACCTTCTGGACAGGAACAAATGTGGCCGAAACCGTCAGAAAATTCAGAGCAAGTTCCACCATTTAAACAAGGAGCTGATGAACACGCAAACACTACAAAAAAAAGGTTTGACATTTCAAGTTTAATGCATTTACACATACAGCAGAGAGGATAGATCGAGACAGATTGGAACATTGAAGGATTATTAATAAATTTAACTAATAATATGCTTATAAGTCATCAGTAATAAATTTAAGTATCCATGGTTTCTCTCTAGAGACAGAATCTGATATGAAAAGGATTAGGGATTATTAACTTAGATTGATTGAAACACATATACAAGATTAAAGAGAATTGAGCATATACATAGAACACCGGAAATGAAATGAGTTGTTTTTCTTAGGATTCGGTTTCATATACCTCTATGCTGACAGATATCTCCAGTAAAATTTTCCGGACAGGTACAGTTGTAGCCAACACCATCCGAAATTTCTGAGCAGTTTCCACCGTTCAGACAAGGAAGTGATGAACATGCAAACACTAGAGGGAAAACGTTTTACAATCAATTGTCAGTGAGAAAATGTCAGATAATGGACAGATAAGAGATGTTTTTTGTTGTTATGTGGATTGGTTTTTCAAATGGGATGAGTCACTCAATTATAATTGGTCAATTAAAGATTAATTGCTCATATACAACCTGATAATAACTTGTTGAAATGAAGAAGAAAAAAGGAAGAATAAGTAAGTGAAAGTTTAAACCAACTCGAATAAGCATTTTGAACTTAAAACGTTAGAAAATGTGATCAGAGATGTGAGGGGAAAACATTGAATTTGATTAAGTTCATTAAAGGAATCATACAACTGTGAAAGTTTAACAAGCTTATTCAAAGGAAATAGAAAATTTAAAAGGATTTTAACAGCTCGCGTAAATGAAAGGAAGCTCGACCTTTGAAAGATAATTATAAAATTAGAGGAACATTTCAGGACATCGATCTAATGATAGAATAAAAGTATAAATAGATAATCATTTTTGTATATACAGCATATAGGAAAAAATTATCGGAAATAAATGACGTCGATACATAAACCGTAAAACCAATCATGTCATCATAGCAGTTCAACAACAATAACACCAGAAAACAGAGGATGATGAACAAAACTGTACACAATTAGAATTCCAATGTTCTTCACTACAGAAAATGAAGCCTGAGAAGGACAACTTTCACGACGGATATAGTACACGTCAATTTGATTAATTACACCTCTGCGCATGCTCATCAATGATGAGATAATGATGAATGTAATAAGATGGAGGTCTAGAAGTCGATATTTTGGATTGATAGATATTGCTACGTCAACCAAGTCAATATGACCAATTACCTTAGGGTTCCAATGAATGTATAACATAGAAACACAATTGAGTGATTAGCCAGAAAACACCAAGTGACGACCTCAAATCATTAGGAGATTAGAATTCCGAAATCCTTCACAATATGGATTAAAGTTTTCGGGATTTTCACCGGATTAACATAATGTATTAATTAAAAAGAGGTTGAGATGGGGTTATATATTGGGACTGTTAAGAATATGAACTTGGAAAGTTGTGTAGTCTAAAGTACACAAAGTATATAGAACTCGATTCGGTACATCGGTATTATCAATAGGATGTAGATGGAAAAGAACTTTTACATCTAGTTTTTAACTAATAGTATGTATAGATATCAGAGAAGAAACTCTGGAGGAAATATATTATATTACTTGTGATTATATAGGGGATCCTTAAGACTATGACCGTGAAAGAAAATTCTAACGGGAAATGAGATAAACTATTAGGATAGGTATTTTATTATTTGCTTTAACCAAGGAATAGAGCAAATTTAACTGGAGTTTAACAAAACGTTTCATTAAATCCTTGGGGACATGTGCAATTGAATCCAAACTCGGATTCATAACACAGTCCACCGTTAGAACAGGGTGAAGAGTCGCAAGAAAAATACTGGAAAGGGGACACAACGGTTTTCAGACAAATTAAAAATCGTAGCAATTTTCCAGGAATACATATCTCAAACACCCATTATTGAATAGACTAAGTACACGTTGACAAATTATATTGATAAGCTTGATTACATACATAAAATTCACAGTTGACATAGTAAGTAGTATCTAGAGGAAAAATATTATATTACTCGTGCTTATATAGGGGAGCCTAAAGACTATGACCGTGAAGGAAAATTCTGACGGGAAATTTGGTTCATGTGTGGTTTCCATAGGATGTAGTTTTGGCAGAACTTTCCCCATCTGGTTTTGAGCTAAAGGCATGAGATAATATCCTATAAAAAATCTAGAGGAAACGTATTATATTCCTCGCGCTCGTTAAGGGGACCCCGTCGAAGAAAAATTAAAACATGAAATAAGAGAAACGGTTGGATATGTAATATCATATTTCTTAACCCAGGACAAGTCAAAAAAGCAAATTTACCTGGAGTTTCACAAAACGTTCCATTAAATCCTTGGGGACATGTGCAATTAAATCCAAACTCGGATTCATAACACAGTCCTCCGTTAGAACAGGGTGAAGAGTCGCAAGCAAATACTGGAAAGAGGACACAACGGTTTTTAGATAGGAATGAAATCGTAGCAATTTTACAGGAATACATATCTCAAACACCCATTATTGAATAGACTAATTACATACAGACAAAGGATATTTGTGAGTTCGAGTACATGCACAAAATTCACAGTTGACACAGTTAGTAACATTAATACTATTTTCCAAAACTTAGTCTATAACTCAATCTACCTCGAGTTTCGCAAAACGTTCCATTAAATCCTTCGAGACATGTGCAATTGAATCCAAACTCAGATTCATAACACAGTCCACCATTAGAACAGGGTGAAGAGTCGCAGACAAAAACTGAAATGTAAAAGAAGAGGAAAGAAAATGTAATATTCTAACCAATCCTCTGAAATTTACAGCCCGAACGACCATTCTGAGGTATAGGGAATGTTCATTTGAAGTGAAAATAAATCCTACAATACCCTTCACCGGTTACATAAGAATTAGAAATGAGATTAAAACATAGAGAGAGAGAGATATGTAGTACCTTTTGTTTCACAAGCTGAACCTGTAAACCCTTCAGGACAGATGCAATATACATCAAATCCTGAAGCAGCTTCAAGGCAAAATCCATTATTTTGACAAGGATTTGAAGTGCAAGCAGAAACTGCAAATAAAAGGACGGAAACCAACATGACAAGGAGAACACAAGAGAATAGATTTGAAAAACGTTAGAAAACTCAAGTTCGTTGAAATAAGTGACAAGAAGAGAAACATAAACGTTTGAGAAAACGAAAACAGAGTTTATGAAAACATCTATTTACATTTTAGTTTACAGAACGTAGTACGAGTTTGAGATCTAAGACATTTTATGTTACTCGAGTTATATGCCGTCTAGATTATCTTACTCTTATTTATTGGAATGAAATACATGTAGAATCCCTATTAACACGCACGTTTGACAAAGGTATGATACCAGAACAGTAATGTGTTAATTAAACCGTGGTGTTGATTCACGTGGTGCATGTACCTCTATTTTGACAAATATCTCCAGTAAAACCATCTGGACAGGAGCAATTGTAACCGAAGCCTTCCACAAATTCTGAGCAAGTTCCACCATTTAGACAAGGAGCAGACGAACAGGTAAACACTAGAAGGAAACGTATGAAGTATCACAGGTAAAATTATCGAAGTGCTGGAGTTGAAAATGTTGAACACTATGCAAATCATGGAGAACTTTATGTAAAAATCCGCTTCTCGAACCAGGCCCCCGTTGCATAAAACTTACCATCGATGATAACCTTGATGTCAATATTAACCACAATAACCACATCACTGAACAGCCACTCAAATCGAGGTTTCCATGGAAGTTACCATCAATGGTAAGCTTCATGCAATGGGGTCTAGACGATTCATCATCACTATAATTAACTGATTCGTCTTAGAGGATTTTTAAAGATTTGAACGAAATCTGACGATTAGAATATTAATTTGAAAGATTATGAAAAGGTAAACTATTAAGTATACGCAAATAGGAATCTCGAATTGGTACAAGTTTATTCACCAAAGGATATAGTTTTGGTAAAACTTTCCCATCTTGAATGTTTTGCGATAATGTGCTTTACAAAACTCTAGAAGAAATGTATTATATTCCTCGCGCTTTTAAATGGGACCACTTCGAAGAAAATTATAATAGGAAATAAGAGAAACACTTAGGATATGTGTTCTCATTTTACTTAACCAAGGACTAGAGCAAATTTACCTGGAGTTTCACAAAACGTTCCATTAAATCCTTCTGGACATGTGCAATTAAATCCAAACTCGGATTCATAACACAGTCCACCGTTAGAGCAGGGTGAAGAGTCGCAAGCAAATACTGGAAAGGGGACACAACGGTTTTTAGACAAATGAAATCGTAGCACTTTTCTAGGAATACATAACCCAAACACCCAATGTTGAATGGACTAGGTACATATAGAAAAATGATATTTATGAACTCGGGTACATGCATAAAATTCACACAGTTAGTAGTATCGTATAAAAAGCTCTGGAAGAAATATATTATATTACTCGTGCTTATATAGAGGATCCTAAAGCATATGACCGTGAAAGAAAATTCGGGCGGGAAATTTGGTTCATGTGTATTTTCCATAGGATGTAGTTTTGACAGAACTTTCCCCATCTGGTTTTGAGCTATGGGCATGCGATAATATCCTATAAAAAAACTCTAGAAGAAACGTATTATATTCCTCGCGCTCGTAAAGGGGACCCCGTCCACGAAAATTAAAACAAGAAATAAGAGAAACTGTTAGGATATGTATTATCATATTTCTTAACCAAGGACAAGAGCAAATTTACCTGGAGTTTCACAAAACGTTCCATAAAATCCTTGGGGACATGTGCAATTAAATCCAAAATCGGATTCATAGCACAGTCCACCATTAGAGCAGGGTGAAGAGTCGCAAGCAAATACTGGAAAGGGGACACAACGGTTTTTAGACAAATGAAATAGTGGCAATTTTCCAGGAATACATAACCCAAACACCCATTGAAGAATGAACTATAAAGTACATACAGACAAATGATATGTGTGAGTTCAAGTACATGCATTAAAATCACAGTTGACACAGTTAGTAATTTCCATACTATTTTCCAAAACTTAATTTGTAACTCAATATACCTTGAGTTTCGCAAAACGTTCCATTAAATCCTTGGAGACATGTGCAATTGAATCCAAACTCAGATTCATAACACTGTCCACCATTAGAACAGGGTGAAGAGTCGCAAACAAAAACTGAAATATAAAAGAGGAGGAAAGAAAATTTAATATTTCATAATCAAAATCTCAACCAATGCAATTTTCCTGAAAGAAATAACCTAAACATCCACTCTGACACAAAACCACGATAAAACCTAACCAATCCTCTGACATTTACAGCCCGAAAGACCATTCTGAGGCATGGTAATGTTCATATGAGTTGAAAATAAATCATAAAATACCCTTCATCGGTTACATAACTATTAGAAGTGAGTTTGAAACAGAGAGAGAGAGAGACATGTAGTACCTTCTGTTTCACAAGCTGAACCTGTAAACCCTTCAGGACAGATGCAATATACATCAAATCCTGAAGCAGCATCAAGGCAAAATCCATTATTTTGACAAGGATTTGAAGTGCAAGCAGAAACTGCAAATAAAAGGACGGAAACCAGCATGACAAGGAGAATACAATACAATAGATTTGAAAAAAATGTTAGAAAATTAAAGAGTGCGTTGAAATAAGTGACAAGAAGAGAAACATAATCGTTTGCAAAAGCGAAATCAGAGTTCATGAAATACATCTATTTCTATTTTAGTTTAAAGAACGTAGTACGAGTTTAGACTAGGAAAGGTTATGTTACCGATTGTAACTCGAATAACATTCGGTCCTGATTCTCTATCTCTCTTTGTTGGAATGAAATACATGTAGAATCACTATTAACACGCATTTGTGACAAAGGTATGATGCAAAAAGAGTAATGTCTGTAGTAAACTGTGGTGTTGATTCATGTGGTGCATGTACCTCTTATTTGACAAATATCTCCAGTAAAACCATTTGGACAGGAGCAATTGTAACCGAGGCCTTCCAGAAGTTCTGAGCAAGTTCCACCATTTAGACAAGGAGCTGAAGAACACGAAAACACTAGGAGGAAACGTTTGAAGTGTCACAGGTAAAATGTTCAGAGTGTTGGGGTTGAAAATGTTTGACACTTTACAAATCATGGAGAACTGTGGGTAAACATCAGCTTCTCGAACCAAGGCCCCGTTGCATAAAACTTACCATTGATGATAACCTTGCCGTCAATATTAACCATAATGACCACATCACTGAACAACCATTCAAATTGAGGTTCCAATGGAAGTTACCACTAAGGGTGAAGTTACCACTAAGGTGAAGTTACCACTAAGGCTGAAGTTACCACTAAGGCTGAAGTTACCACTAAGGCTGAAGTTACCATCAATGGTAAGTTTCATGCAATGGGGCCCAGATGATTCATCAACACTGTAATCGACTAACTCGTCTTGGAGCATTGTTGAAGAGATGAAGATTGGATAATTATGTTTTTGAATTTGAAAAAAGTAAACTATAAAGTACATGTAAATAAGAATCTCGATTTGGTACATGTGTGTTCTCCATAGGATGTAGTTTTGCAGAACTTCCCCATCTGGTTTTGAGCTAAAAGTAAGCTTTAGTATCCTAGAAAGAACTCTAGATGAAATGTATTATTAATTTCGCGCTTGAAAAGAGAGTCATAATAGGAAATAAGAGAAACTGTTAGGGTATGTCTTTTTACTTTTTTTTGTACTTGAGCAAATTTACCTGGAGTTTCACAGAATGTTCCATTAAATCCTTGGGAACATGTGCAATTAAATTCAAACTCGGATTTATAACACAGTCCACCGTTAGAGCAGGGTGAAGATTCGCAAGCAAAAACTGATATGGAAAAGAAGCATGAAAAGGCTATTTAAAAAAAATTTAAAGACAAAAAAAGAAAGAAAAAGGAACTGACACCATTAGAATGAAGTGAGAGCCTACCAAATATGAGATGTAAATTATCTATCTTAACATGAAAAAGATAGTTTTGTTCAGTTTTACCAAACAAATCGATGTGTTTAAAAAAAAAGGCACTGATGTTAAAATTTAGATTTTGAACTGTAAAAGACAACATACTCTAAGGAAAGAGAATGAAGTCATCCAAATTCTACTCCCAGATATAACACATATAAGGGAAGTTTAAAGACACAACCTTTAAAGAAAAGAAACTGTCGGAAATATTTTTTTTTAAACGGTGGAAAGTTATAATTATAGTTTAAAAGAATTGAAAGGTTCCTTTAAGTTATCCGTTTGATTTATGTGATAAATCGTATTTAGAATTTGATAAACAATTGATATAAAGTAATCTACCTTGAGTTTCACAAAATGTTCCATTAAAACCTAGGGGACAGGTGCAATTAAATCCAGAAATAGATTCATAGCACAGTCCACCATTAGAGCAGGGTGATGAGTCGCAAGCAAAACCTAAAATTCAGAAGAGAATAGAAAAGATTTTTTCTTCTTCAAAAACCATAAAATCAGAGCACCTTTCCTGGAATATATAACCCAAACAGCAATATAGGATAGACATTTATGATAGAAGTGAGAATGTAAACAAATTTCTTTTTTTTTAATGCCAAGTTTGTTCAAAGAATTGGAAAGAGAAACAGTATTGATTCAGAAAGAAAATATAGAAAGTCACGTTTGTAGGAGAAGACCACGTGCCTCTGAAGATTCATATTCTTGTCTCATTTGAGTGGTCTATATATACGGGTTCGACAGTCTTTGTTGACATAACAAATCTTTTATATTTACTTAAAGAACGAAGAGGCCGTTTTAGAACTGCCGTGTATGTTAGGGATAAGGGTATGTAACATTTAATAGATAGTTATTGTCATGTTAGGTGTAAAAGTATTACATAAAATATCTACCTTGAGTTTCACAAAACGTTCCATTAAATCCCTGAGGACATGTGCAATTAAATCCCATTTCAGATTCATAGCACAGTCCACCATTAGAGCAGGGTGAAGAGTCGCAAACAAAAACTGATATGGAAAGGAGGAGAATATAAGAGGTGGTTTTTCTAAAACGATTAAACCAAAGCAAATCTTTGTGGAATATACAACCAAGACGACCAATCTGAAATAGATACTACATAAGCTTAACAAGAAGGGAACAGCATGTGGTATAGAAAAGAACATTTATTAAAGATGTATGAAACCTAAAATGAAACTCTAACATTGTTTGAAAAGAATAGTTGCTGAACGGAAAATTGTATTTTCTCGAAGAACGAAGTGAACTGCGAATCATATGTTGCTGAACGAGTTTGATATTGCCGTGCTGAGGTAAAATATAACCTCTTCTTCACAAAACGTTGTATTAAATCCGTCTGGACATGTGCAATTAAGTCCGAACTCGGATTCATTAGACAGTCCACCATTAGAGCTAAGGTGACAAGTCGCAAGCAAAACAGAGATGGGAAGAAATAAATTACAAAACATCGGTTTTCAAAATCAAAGCAATTTTCAAAGAACATAAAAAACCCTCTTCCAATTAAGAATTAATGTGATATGAAGAGACATATAATAGAAATAATAATGACATAAAGAGAAAGAAAAATAGTACCTTCTGTTTCACAAGCTGAACCGGTAAAGCCTTCAGGACAGATGCAATAAACATCAAATCCTGAGGCAGTTTCAAGGCAAAATCCATCATTTTGACAAGGGTTTGAAGAACATGCAGAAACTAAAAGCGATAGAAAGGAAAGGAAGTTCACAAAAGAGCATAGGTTTAGAAAAAAAGGTGAGCACATAATACATGTAGAACATAGAACAATTGAGTTTAATGTAGTTTTGTTTAGCAAATAGGCAAGATCGACGGACACATTTTGCAAAGTGTAAAAAGAAAAGGAAATTAGCTGCTAATTTTTGTTTATTTACATATAAGAAGCTACACGACATATGGACGTACAAGAATAAACAAATAGCTGCGATTGTTTACCTTTCATATTCTCCGGTTGGTCCAACAAAGCCAATAGGACAGGGGTGTTTGAAAACAACATCAAATTCACAAATAACTCCACCATTGTGAAATGGTGAAGAAGAACAAACGAACATTGCAAAGCGAGACATGATAAAGTAAGATAAGAATTGGAAGTTTGAAATGAAAGCAAACAATACATGCTACACATTACACATATACTTTTTATTTGTAGTCGAAGACAAGTGATTGGTCGGAGGACAGCAGTCAGAGTCCGACCAATTGTTAGCACGCACATACATACAACAAAGATGCACACACATGCGCGCGAACGAGCGCGCAGCCCTTCGAATACCACCCACTGACATCTATGTCAGTGATACCATCCTTTATCAGTTTACCTCTCGTTTCACAGTTTGTCCCGGTGTAACCAGCAGGGCAAAGGCAAGCATATCCAAAGCCGGATCCAACTTCCAAGCAGGTTCCCTCATTCAGACACGGGGCAGATGTACAGGACAGAACTGCAATTGAAAGAAAATGTAAGATATTTGAGAAATTAACAAGGCGAATTTATTCACTTTGTTTATATTGTTGATACTTAATATGTTCATTTACATTGTGGGTGTTTGAAACCCCTCCACTTTCAAAGCAGGGGAATCACGAGACAATTTTGAACATGTGGTATATGAGGGGGGGGGGGGTCGGACCAAATTTGTTAACAAAGTGGGAGGAAAATTTCGGAAAGTAAAAAAGAAAAACAACAGTAATGAGATTTAAACATTTGTAGATAAGGGAACAGCAAGTTGGCGGATATCGAAATTTGCCGACGGACGTTCACATTTCCCCCCAACAAGCAAATAAAGAAACAAATAGATAAAGAGAAAAACATATAAATTCTTCAATACACAAGTGAATAAATAAATCAAAAAATAGTTGATCTATTTGAGCTTTTTGCTTGCGATGTGTACATTTTGTATGAAGCTACCCCTCCATCAAAATATTTCTTTTATTTAGTTCTCAAAGAATCATCAAATAATAGACTGAGACCTACGTTGTGTCTGGCAGGTAGTTCCAGTGAAGTCTGAAGGACATGTGCAAGAGTATCCAAAACCAACTTGTAGTTCAGAGCAACCTCCACCGTTCTGACATGGATTTGATGTACAGGTGAAAACTGTGGATAAAATAGAATAAGATATCACATTTTACATACGATGCAAACAGCACTCGTATCACCCTCTCTCTCTCTCTCACTCTCTATCTCTTTTTTTATTATTTAGTTTAGCATTAATACGAATAAATAATAAAATAAATAAATAAATAAAAAGATCAGGATGCAAACGAGCTATTACACATCATTGAACCTTCTAGAGGAGACATCATTGATTTTACAATGTATGAATTATATGGTGTATGGAGAGTAAATTTTTTACTCATATTTGATATGTAAGTAAGGTATTAAAACGTATAAATAAAGAATACCATGAACTGAGTCTACGTCATATTGAGATCAATGTATTGTATATGGAGTTCAAGTACAGCTTTGCCACACTCTCCTAAAAAATATATATTATTCTCATCTGTAGAATTATAAAAAATAATTAGTGTGATGGAGCTTTTTCTTCTTCAATGAGCGATGGCTAGAATAATATATTCGAAGATTTTTACAATTTTGTGCGAATAACACAATATAAATACATATAACTGACAGAATTATTAGAATATATATGCGGGTGTGCGAGAAGGTGTAAGGGCGTGTGAGTGTGTTCGTGCATGTAAGTTTATAATGTGTGCTTGATGGGAGATCCCTTCGCACTTCGTACCTTGGGTTTCACAATTGGTTCCACTGAAACCATCTAGACATGTGCACGAGTATCCTAAATCTTGCTCCAATTCCGCACACGACCCGCCATGCATGCAGGGGTTTGACAAGCAGGTAAGCACTAGGGAATAGGAAAATATACAGGGTGCATTCGACATGTAAGAATGGATACAGAAATGTGAGGTTAGCCGAAAGAGGTATGCCAGATTTACATAAACAAACAAATGACAAGCAAGCAAAACAAATAACAACCAAAACAAAATACATGACAAATAGGCGTGCATCTGGAATTCTTTGAAGTTCATGCAACATCATTATGGTTTGATATTTTTGGAGGGGTGCATATGAGAGGTAGAGAGCCAACCCGGCCATGCTTCGATTTCTTCACCCGTTGCGTATTTAAATAGTAAAAGAATATACCCAGTTGATATGTTTTAATTCCATGACACCATCTTTATAATAAGATATAAATAAATGATAATATATGAATGATAATATATAAATTATTAAATTAGTTGGGCAATTACACATGGACAAAGATATAATTACATGTCATTTCCCCTTATAATCTTCCATGACAGAGATTATAATTTCCACTGGTTGATGAAACCATTAGAGAGTCAGTTATCATCTTGTGAGTTTCACACTAACATTTATTGCTCGTGCACAGCTTAAATACTCATAAAATATTATCAGTGACAGAAACACTCAGAGAACCTGAAAATGCACTCCTGAATTTCTCATATTCAATCTGATGGTGTTATTGAAACCTAGTTATCTACTTCCAACGACCAAGACAAATGCTGAAATTGACATCGGTTAAATGAATTGGTACAGAAAGGATCTTATGGGGATTTTCTCCATGTGAAACTGCCCAGCTTCAATTAATGCCCAGTATCAGAATCAGCCTTACCTCTGGATCCGCAGTCTCTCCCTGTATAAGCTGCAGGACAGAGGCAGAAATACCCAGATCCCGAGCTAGATTCCATGCAAGTTGCTCCATTCAGACAAGGGTTAGAAGAACAGCTCAGTACTATTGATACACGTGTAAAAGAATGAATAAAAAACAAAATTATTAACCATAGTGGTTGATATGCTCGTGTACAGCTTAAAGTAACACTCATAAACATATTATCAGTGTCAGAATCACTCAGAGAAACTGAAAATTGCACTCCTAAATTTCTCGTATTCAAGCTGATGAAGTTATTGAACCTAGTTATCTACTTTCAATGATCAAGACACATGTTGATATTGACATAGGTTAAATGAATTTGTGCAGAGAGGATCTTATGGGAATTTTCTCCATGTGAAACTGCCCAGCTACAACTAATGCCCAGTATCAGAATTAGTCTTACCTCTGGATCCGCAGTCTCTCCCTGTATAAGCTGCAGGACAGAGGCAGAAATACCCAGATCCCGAGCTAGATTCCATGCAAGTTGCTCCATTCAAACAAGGGTTAGAAGAACAGCTCGCTACTATTCATGATACACGTGTAAAAGAATGAATAAAAACAAAAATATTAACCATAGTGTTTGATATAAAAATATGTTATGTATATGTATATATATATATATCGTTTATTTGCAGGTTTTAAGACCACGTGGAATTCTGTTAATGTTTCTATCAGCCAGCCTGCACTATACTGTCTCAAGGAATGATTACACAAATATGTATTTCATAGGTGTCCGTATCATCAGAGTAGCGCTATGATCCCTTATATCTCATTCACTGCAAAGGTAGGACTTGCTTGACATTTTGCCTGTAATGCAGCATGAAGAAACAAATCAACATGCCCTAAAAGTGACCTTCCATGAAGAGGGCTACTTTGGAAATATCCTTGTTAATTAAGCAAGAGCATTGACAGTAGCAACAGTGCTGTGCACAATAATTTGTCTCGCTTTGTTTTCTGATCGGAAGATTTTTCTATTCGTTTTACATTCATGCATTCCATACCTAGCTCGCCACAGTTGACACCCTGAAAGCCATCTTCACACATACATCTATAACCCAGCTCGGTATCAATACACGCTGCATCGTTGAGACAGGGTCCGGACGTACAGGCTGGTACTGAATAATGAAATTAAACAAAACAATAGAGCTTCGTAAATGGAATGACATTGTGTTGTTATGTTATCAATATTTACACCGAATATAAGGACGGCATAGATTAAAACTAAGGTATTGACAGTGCTGCTGAAGTTACTTGCCTTTGTCAGTATTGATTGATTGGGTTACAAAGCATCCTACCTTTGAGTGTCTGAAAGCTCTTGATAATTTCAAGCAAGCAAATAATTACTACTAGACAGAAAAAAGGCCTATTCTAAATACGATTAAAGAAGAAATCTACCATGGTAACGTCGATTATTTTTTATTAGCTATGGGAAATTCTTTTTTTGTACTACTTTCAAGAGAATTACGATATTTACTTCCGTGAAGGAATCCATCAATATCCCTGTAATTAGAAGAAGAAACAAATATCAGAAGTTTATAAAACTGATATATTTACACACATTTTTGGAAATGAAATCATTCCTGCGCAAGGGTCATTTGGTAGAGATGTTTAGTATGTTGTTTTATTAGTGTTCTTGGTTTTCTTAACCTTTGGATTATAATATACAAAGTATCATATAGCCTACAAACTTTAAATAGTTCTTATACGTTGTCGACTTTTTCGAATTAATTAGGAAAATGACTAAAAAAGACTTCCACCTGTTCAAGACATAAATAATTACATTACATTTACCAAAATAAAATAACATGATACCATATCCCAACAATAAATAATTCCCATAAAAAATACTGAATAAGAAAAATAATACAAACGGGGATGTTTCATGTCATACCTCTCATATCGCAATGGGTCCCGAAATAACCCATTGCACAGAGACAGAAATAACCAGCGCCACTTTCAGATTCAAAACAGACTGCACCATTCAAGCAGGGGTAGGACTCGCATGGTGATAGAGCTGTGTGCAGGGAAGTGTGGGTAATGATTGCATGGTTATGATGATAAAGCACATGAAAGCAAACGTGAGAGGAATAAAGCAAGATTTGATGTAGGTGTAAATGATATAAATGACCAACGTTTTAAATGGAATCCAACTTTGGTGGTTGCCTGAAAGGATCATAAAATGCATTAAACTAAGTCGTGGTATAGTGGTACATACACTTGATTCTAAATCCAAAGGTTAATGGTTGAAAAACCCAGTCCGGCACTGAAGTCCTTCGGCAAGATAATCATTCACACTTGACACTCTAAATCCAGCTGTTAATGATTACCCGATATGCTAGAGCACTACATATATGGCCCCCCGCTATGACAGTTGTTATAATATTGGAGCACCAGGGATGTTACGGCGTGACTGTATGGCATAAAGGGAACAGGTTGGATATGAAACCAGATCACAATATTCCCTTCTAGCCCCGCTTGTAGATAACTAAGCCATAAAGCTCAAGAGCGGATCAAGAAGGAGCAAAAAGAGAGCAGGTACCATCCCCTCCCTTTCTGCCACCAGTCTAGTCAAATATTTTCGATGCAAGCATGTTGTGCCATCGACCAAAACGTATTTCCCATGCATATTATTCACTGGAAGATATAAAACATACATGTATTGCTTGTCAGTGATTTAAAAGGCCAAATTATTGCATTTTTATATATGATGGTCACATACTAGTGCCCTATCAAAATGGATTCTGGATCCGTCATAAACTTCAGGTCAAACCTTTAATCATCCACGACACGAGTGATTCAAAGAGTTCATGCTATGACCCCCAAAATTGGATTACATCTTTTTTCAACAACTCTTTTCTTTGGGAAAAATGACCTGCATACCAAAATATACTTTAAAAATGAACTGAACAATGATGCCATGGAAAGCAGATGGATGACAATGCAGAGAAAAGACTCACAAGGAATGGTTACTACATTACCAAAAGGCTAATGAAACACAGACATGTATGCACAGCACAGACAAACAATTCAGATGGAAAATGAACTGACGGATATATTGGTAGCTCAAAGAATAGAATAGTTTCTCGGAGGTATACATAAAGGAAAACAGATGTATAGTAGTGGTATTTGGTGATTGAGGTATCATCGATACTTTCATGGTGAAAAAACTGAATAATTGTAGGTAGTTTTCAAGGTTACATATCGGTGTTAGTAAACGGAAAAGAACAACAGAATGAACATGCTACAAAGCAAGGCAATCGTGTTTTGGAACATTCTTCGGGGTTTCTTATCTCCGGTGGGTTTTAATGTTTTTGTGTGTTTCTCCACTTTAAATGGATCATAAAATGCATTAGAAGACACCTTAACCAAATTCTTTTAGCTTGTGTGTATTTTTAGGAAAAGAGACATGGCGCATTTAATTGTTGGAATAGATGATTTTCAAATTCGTCAAGGCTCCGAAATACTTTGTTCTGTAATATCATCACGTACAAGTATTTTTAATGTATCGTTAATGTTCGTTCTTTTGCTGTAGAACTTTATAGAGAATGATACGAAAAGAAAGGGATGGGGTCCAGGGACGAATTTCCTAGACGGGGAACGTGTTTCATAATATTAAACAAATTTTTGATCCCCTTGAACGGAAGATTCATACTTCTTTGAAAAGCAGAATGGATAGTATTACATGAATTAAATATGCAAGGTTGCTAGTTTATATATTCAGGGCCATGGACTATGATACACCATTACTATGCATAAAAGGAAAACAAAATTGCTAACAAAAAACAAAAAACATCCTGCCTATAATACACCGCCAAATTATATTCATGAATGAAATATGCAGAAATGTGTGGAAGGCATAAGCATGCTATGGTCTTACCTTGTGTTTCACAGTTAGTTCCAGTATAACCTGTTAGACACTGGCATATGTACCCGTTTCCAGCTCCAGCTTCAATACATGCAGCTCCATTCAGGCATGGGTTTGAAGAACATTCAAGTACTGTCAGAAGAAAATGAGCATTCAAGATTTGATTAGGTTGTGCCAATCACTGTGTTGATGTTGATATTAAGACTATTTTAAGACCGTCTTTTCAAAGTAATACTGTGTTTGAATATGGTAATACTGAGGTACTAAATGCGGGTTATCTTAGCTTGCCTATGGGATTTACTCGATCAATTTCGTTAACTAATAGCCACAAGAATATCTTTAACACATGTCTATATTAGCACGGATTAACACTTATCATATATTAAATTCCTAGATATTTTGTTAACTTACTCTCTGTTTCGCAGTTTGTTCCAGTATAACCTGAAAGACACTGGCAGAAGTAACCGTTTCCAGCTTCAGCTTCAAAACATGCAGCTCCATTCAGGCATGGGTTTGAAGAACATTCAAGTACTGTCAGGAGAATGAGCATTCAAGATTTGATTAGGTTGTGCCAATCACTGTTTCGATGTTTATATTAAGACTATTGTAAGACCGTCTCTTCAAAGTTACACGGTTTCTGAATATGGTAATGCGTACTAATTCGATATGTCTTAGCATGCCTGTGGGATTCACTCGATCAAAACCTTTAACTAAAAGCCGCAAAAATATCTTTAACAGAATTCCCATATCAGCAAAGATTGGTAATCAACAAGTATCATATTCCTAGGAAAGTGAATCGACTTACTTTCTGTTTCACAGTTGATTCCAGTATAACCTGAAAGACACTGGCAGATGTAGCCGTTTCCAGCTCCAGCTTCAATACATGCAGCTCCATTCAGACATGGGTTTGAAGAACATTCAAGTACTGTCAGAAGAAAATGAGCATTCAAGATTTGTTAAGGTTGTGCCAATCACTGTATTGATGTTAATATTAAGACTATTGTGAAACCGTCTCTTCAAAGTACCACTGTTTCTGAATATGGTAATAAGTACTACATCGGGATATCTAAGCATCCTTACTGGATTTATTCGATCGAAATTCTTTAAGTTATACCCGCAAAAATACCTTTTACACATTTTATTATTAGCAAAGATTTTTAAAAAAAAATGAAATTCCCGGGAAATGTTGTCAACTTACTTTCTGTTTCGCAGTTGATTCCAGTGTAACCTAAAGGACAAAGGCAGAAGTACCCGTTTCCAGCTCCAGCTTCAAAACATGTTCCTTCGTTCAAACATGGGATTGTAGAACAAGCATCTGTATCAGAGAAACATGATAATTCGGAAATAACGGTTATGTATAAGTGGCTATCATTGATGTCTAGTATGTTATCAAAGTTTACTATTATACTCGACGTAACAAATATTTAAAAAACACTGTTTTCAAAGGTAGTAACAAAGACCAACAGAAATGTTACAATCTATTACTAGATGATATACATAAACTGAAATAGCCTCTGGCATATCATAAGACATCTAAATACTACTGTGAATTATGGATTATCAAATTTTATGTGTAATGTCTTTAAAACATACTTTCTGTTCCACAGTTGGTTCCAGCATAACCTGAAAGACACTGGCAGATGTACCCTTTTCCAGCTTCAGCTTCAATACATGCAGCTCCATTCAGACATGGGTTTGAAGAACATTCAAGTACTGTCAGAAGAAAATGAGCGTTCAAGATTTAATTAGGTTGTGCCAATCACTGTGTTGATGTTGATTTTAAAACTATTATAAGACCGTCTCTTCACAGTAACACTGTTTCTATATAAGGTTATGAATACTACATCGATATGTCTTAGCATGCCTGTGGGATATACTCGATCAAAATCTTTAACTTAAAGCCGCAACAAATATCTTTAACAGAATTCCCATATTAGCAAAGATTGATAATCAACAAGTATCATATTCCTAGGAAAGTGAATCGACTTACTTTCTGTTCCACAGTTGATTCCATTATAACCTGAAACACACTGGCAGATGTACCCGTTTCCAGCTTCAGCTTCAACACATGCAGCTCCATTCAGGCATGGGTTTGAAGAACATTCAAGTACTGTCAGAAGAAAATGAGCATTCAAGATTTGTTAAGGTTGTGCCAATCACTGGATTGATGTTTATATTAAAACTATTTTGAGACCGTCTCTTCAAAGTAACACTGTTTCTGAAAATGGTAATAAGTACTAAATGCGGGTTATCTTAGCATGCCTATGGGATTTACTAGATCAAAATCTTTAACTGATAATAGCCGCAAAAATATCCTTTACACAGTTCATTTAACAATATTAAAAAATAACAAATATCAAATTCCTAGGAAAGTTAGTCAACTTACTTTCTGTTTCGCAGTTGGTTCCAGTATAACCTGAAGGACACAGGCAGAAGTAACCGTTTCCAGCTCCAGCTTCAAAACATGTTCCTTCGTTCATACATGGGATTGTAGAACAAGCATCTGTATCAGAGAAACATGATAATTCGGAAATAACGGTTATGTATAAGTGGCTATCATTGATGTCAAGTATGTTATCAAAGTTTACTATAATACTCGACGTAACAAATATTAAAAAAACACTGTTTTCAAACGTACTTACAAAAACTAACAGAAATGTTACAATCTATTACTAGATGATATACATAAACTGAAATAGCCTCTGACATATCATAAATCCTCTCAATACTACTGTGAATAATGGATTATAAAATTTTACGTGTAATGTCTTTAAAACGTACTTTCTGTTCCACAGTTGGTTCCAGTATAACCTGAAAGACACTGGCAGATGTACCCGTTTCCAGCTTCAGCTTCAATACATGCAGCTCCATTCAGACATGGGTTTGAAGAACATTCAAGTACTGTCAGAAGAAAATGAGCATTCAAGATTTGATTAGGTTGTGCCAATCACTCTATTGATGTTGATTTTAGAACTATCAAAAGACAGTCTCTTTACAGTAATATTATGTTTTTCTGTTTTTTTTTTAAATATAGCGCTCAATACATCGATTCAACGATGTTTATAAGCGCTTTACAGATATATTATTACCCCGGTCATGGGATTCAGGCTTATCCACACACAATGTGTGCACATGTTCCACTCCCAGGGGAGCATTCCAGCCAGTCGCCATTTAACATGCGCACCCATTTAACACCTGGGTGGAGAATAGCAAGCGCAGGTAAATATCTTGCCAAAGGATATTAGTGCCGTGTCGGGATTCGAACCATCGACCTTCGCATCTCCAGTCAAGCGCCTTAAACCACTTGACCACGACACTCACAGTAACACTGTTTTTATATAAGGTTATGAGTACTACATCGATATGTCTTAGCATGCCTGTGGGATATACTCGATCAAAATCTTTAACTTAAAGCCGCAAAATATCTAAAACAGAATTCCCGTATCATCGAAAAATAATGATTAGCAAATATCAAATTCCTAGGAAAATTAATCGACTTACTTTCTGTTCCACAATTGGTTCCAGCATAACCTGAAACACACTGGCAGATGTAGCCATTTCCAGCTCCAGCTTCAATACATGCAGCTCCGTTCAGACATGGGTTTGAAGAACATTCAAGTACTGTCAGAATAAAATGAGCATTCAAGATTTGATTAGGTTGTGCCAATTACTCTATTGATGTTGATATTAAAACTATTGTGAGACCGTCTCTACTCTCTTCAAAGTAACACTGTTTCTGAATATCGTAAAAGGTACTACATCGGGATATCTAAGCATCCTAACTGGATTTATTCGATCGAAATCTTTAACTTTTAACCGCTGAAAATCTTTAGCAAACTTCTCATATCAGCAAGGAATAATTATTAACAAATATCAAATTCCTAGAAAAGTTAGTCAACTTACTTTCTGTTCCACAGTCGGTTCCAGTATAACCTGAAAGACACTGGCAGATGTACCCGTTTCCAGCTCCAGCTTCAAAACATGCAGCTCCATTCAAACATGGGTTTGAAGAACATTCAAGTACTGTCAGGAGAAAATGAGCATTCAAGATTTAATAATAATAATAATAACAATAAAAGTGGGATCTTGTATACCGCTCATGTCGGTCATACGTGACACTCCTGGCGCTCCCAATTATTACCCTGGCTTTAGCACGGCTGCCATATGGCGCTCTAGCATTTTAAGGAATTAATTACTGCCAGGTACCCATTAACATAACCTGGGTTGAGTGTTGCAAATGTAGATAAATGTCTTGCCAAAGGACATTAGTGCCGCGGTGGGATTCGAACCGGGGACCTTGTGATCGACAGTCCAGTGAGATATCCACTCGACCACGACACCTCGTTGATAAGATTGTGCTAATCTCTTTATTGATGTTGATGTTAGAACTACTATGAGACCGTCTCTTCAAAGTAACACTGTTTCTGTATATGGTAACGAGTGCTACATCGGGTTATTTAAGCATGCTTATAGGATTTACTCGATTAAAATGTTTAACTTATACCCGCTGAAAATCTTTCACGAAATTCTCATATCAGCAACGAATGATGATTAGCAAATATCAAATTCCTGGGAAGGTTTTTCAACTTACTTTCTGTTGCACAGTTGATTCCATTATAACCTGAAACACACTGGCAGATGTACCCGTTTCCAGCTTCAGCTTCAACACATGCAGCTCCATTCAGGCATGGGTTTGAAGAACATTCAAGTACTGTCAGAAGAAAAATGCATTAAAGATTTGATTAGGTTGTGTAAATCACTGTTTTGATGTTGATAGTAAACTACTATAAGACCGTCTCTTCAAAGTTACACTGTTTCTATATAAAGTTACAAGTACTCCATCGATATGTTAGCATGCCTTTGGGATTTACTCGATCAAAATCTTTAACTTATAGCCGCTAAGATATCTTTAAGACTTTTGTGTTTTAGCATATTAACAATAACAAATTTCAAATTCCTTTCAAACTAAGTTTGCCAACTTACTTTCTGTTTCACAGTTGGTTCCAGTATAACCTGAAGGACACTGACAGATGTAGCCATTTCCAGCTTCAGCTTCAATACATGCAGCTCCGTTCAGGCATGGGTTCGAAGAACATTCAAGTACTGTAAGAAAGAAATTTGCATACAACATTTGAACAGGTCGTGCCGATCACTATATCGATGTTGATATTCAAACTGATATAAGACCTTCTCTTCAGAGTAACACTGTTTCTGAATATGATAATCAGTAATACATCGGCATATCTTAGTTTGCTTGTGGGATTTACTCAATCGAAATCCTTTGACTCATAGCCACTGATAAATCGTTAAGACATTTCGGTATTAGCATATTAGAAATAACAAACATCAAATTCCTAGGAAAGTTTGTCAACTTACTTTCTGTTTCGCAGTTGGTTCCAGTATAACCTGAAAGACACTGGCAGATGTAGCCATTTCCAGCTTCAGCTTCAATACATGTAGCTCCATTCAGACATGGGTTTGAAGAACATTCAAGTACTGTCAGAAGAAAATGAGCATTCAAGATTTGATTAGGTTGTGTCAATCACTCTATAGATGTTGGTATTCAAACTGATATAAGACCTTCTCCTCCAACTAACACTGTTTTTTTAATATGATAATCAGTAATACATCGGCATATCTTAGTTTGCTTGTGGGATTTACACAATCGAAATCCTTTGACTCATAGCCACTGATAAATCGTTAAGACATTTCGGTATTGGCATATTAGAAATAACAAACATCAAATTCCTAGGAAAGTTTGTCAACTTACTTTCTGTTTCGCAGTTGGTTCCAGTATAACCTGAAAGACACTGGCAGATGTAGCCATTTCCAGCTCCAGCTTCAATACATGCAGCTCCATTCAGACATGGGTTTGAAGAACACTCAAGTACTGTCAGAAGAAAATGAGCATTCAAGATTTGTTAAGGTTGTGCCAATCACTGGATTGATGTTTATATTAAAACTATTTTGAGACCGTCTCTACTCTCTTCAAAGTAACACTGTTTCTGAATATGATAATCAGTAATACATATCTTACTTTGCTTATGAGATTTACTCAATCGAAATCCTTTGACTAATAGCCACCGATAAATGTTTAATACATTACAGTATTAGCATATTAGAAATAACCAATTCCTAGGAAATATTATCGACTTACTTTCTGTTTCGCAGTTGGTTCCAGTATAACCTGAAGGACACAGGCAAAAGTACCCGATTCCAGCTCCAGCTTCAAAACATGTAGCTCCATTCAGACATGGGATTGTAAAACAAGCATCTGTTTAAGAAAAACATGATAATTCGGAAATAAACGTCATGTATAAGTGCAATTATGTTGGCAGAGTTGTGCGCAATGAAAATGAATTATTATTATTATTATTATTACCATTGATGTGTAGTATGTAAGCAAAGTTTACTATGATACTCGACGTAACAAATATTTAAGAAACACTGTTTTCAAACGTAGTGACAAAGACCAACAGGAATTTCACAATCTATTACTAAATGATATACATGAACTGAAATAGCCTCTGCCATATCATAACAAATCTTAATACTACTGAGATTTATGGATTATCAAATTTTACGTGTAAAGTCTTTAAAACATACTTTCAATTTCGCAGTTGGTTCCAGTATAACCTGTAGGACACTGGCAGATGTACCCGTTTCCAGCTCCATCTTCAATACATGCAGCTCCATTCAAACATGGGTTTGAAGAACATTCAAGTACTGTCAGGAGAAAATGAGCATTCAAGATTTAATAATAATAATAATAATATTAACAATAAAAGTGGGTTCTTGTATACCGCTCATGTCTGTCACCCTCTGTTCCACAGTTCGTTCCAGTGTAACCCGGCGTACACTGGCAGAAATAAGCACCTCCAGAGCCAAGCTCATAACATGTAGCTTTATTTAAACACGGGTTTGAAGAACAGGAAGTAGATACTTGGAATGTGCGTATAAATTAAGAGTTACAAAAGAATATGTCACAATATTCTTTAAAGTAAAGTAAGTTTATAACTTTTTGAAGAGAGATTAAACAACAATGATTCTCCTCTGATAATTACACACGATTGATTTATAGAAGCTATAGAAACTGGGATGCCACAAAGAAGCATTTATTGGACGTGAAAAAAAACAATCAATGCAAGTATGAGAAGTAATTGATCACAATCACAACAAGACAATAAATGTTCATGAAATCATTGTGTAGGGTTGCATAATCGTGTCAATGTATGTCCATTTGATAAAGAAGCATTTGAATACTTTTTCAGTTTCAAATAGTTTTAAATAGTTATCAAACATCATGAGGAGTTGATACATACCCTGTGTTTCGCAATTGGTTCCTGTGTAACCAGATGGACACTGACAGACATAGCCATTTCCAATGTTTAGCTCAAAGCAAGTCGCCCCATTCAGACAAGGATTTGACGAACATGGTACTGTACAAAATAGAATGACAGAAAGCAAATTTGGTTAATGACAGACACCATGAAAAGTATAGATATAAGGCCTATACTTGTTTTGTAAGAGAACAAGATATATATATTTTTTTTGGACTCGTCTGGTCTTTTTGAAGTGTTTTATCCTTGTGTAAGCGGCCCTTACTATTCATCATCACCGAAATTCAATTGATCGTTTTTGCATATTTTCACCACTAAACATAATTCAAAATATATTTCCCGTTAAATACGGTGATGAAAAGTTATTTGAAGTATCAACAAATTTGAAAAGCAAAAAAAAAAAACGTTCGGGAAAGATTTTTTAAAAATCCGATTGAATCGGAAAGGGATGGTCGACTTACTCTGAGTTTCACAATTAGATCCAGTAAAACCAGATGGACATTGGCAGATGTAGGCGTTTCCATTGTTAAGCTCAAAGCAGGTAGCACCATTCAAACAAGGATTTGATAAACAGGCTGGTTCAGTGACTGTAGAAAGTAGATATGAAAATATCATAAAATAAAAAAAATGATTATGAACGAATGGAGGGGTCAGTAACACAAAGGCGTAACTCCATTTTGGCCATTTTGAGAAAAAGTGGTTTACGTGTGTCACTGAGCACTTGGGCCTTAAGGAGTAAAGTCTATGTTTCTCTAGCCATTGACTTCAATGGGGTGTTGGGTGGAGTTGAGTCTTTGTGTTTCCTTGAAAGCCCACATTTTCTGAACATTTTGACACCAAATACTCATTTTGGCAAATCATGGAGTTGCGTCTTTGTGTCACTGAACTCTCAAAATCATATTTGCAATCTAACGAAAAATATACAGGACAATTCGCACAGAACATAGTCTTTGAAATGCAAATCAATCACACGGGAGAAAAAGTAAAATACAAGGACATATTATGAGTTCAATTAGAGGGTAGTTAATACTATAATATATTTACTTACCCATAGTTTCACAGTTAGTTCCAGTAAAATCTGTTGTACAGAGGCAGAAATACCCTTGTCCATCTCCAGCTTCAAAACATACAGCTTCATTCAAACATGGGTTTGAAGGACAAAATTCTAGAAAAAATGTTTAAATTAAGATGATTTTTAGAGCAACAATATTTTGTCAAACAGTTTAATACATATAATTATCTTAATATCATACTTTGTCTGTATCCTTTCAGTGAGAATTTTTTTTTTTAGCGGGATTCTCGGTTAATTTTCTTTTTAATTCAGGAATGTGGTTTAGAGTTCGAATCTCAGGCTGTTTGCTCCATAAAAACTTAATTGTTGTCAGCTCGTTTCCAACAAAATCATGGTGTATCGTGTTTATGTTTTGTTTTTACTTATCTTGAAGTAAACAAATTGGAGTGATTTCAACAGGATGTCTGAACAACCTTAGCCGACGAATTGATATTCTAATCTACACCGTTCGATAGCTATGCTGAAGCATACATCACTCAAATAAGCCGCTTACATCATAAAATTCATTATAGTACATAGTTGAATATTGGAGGAAAGGTTTTGGCCTACCTTGTGTTTCACAGTTGGTCCCGATAAAACCGGATGGACATTGGCAGATGTAAGCGTTTCCATTGTTAAGCTCAAAGCATGTAGCACCATTCAAACAAGGATTTGATGAACAGGCTTGGTCAGTGTCTATGCAAAAGAGAAATACAGACTCACTTATAATGGCTTTAACAATGAATATCATATGATATAAATAAACGACAATCATTTGAAGAGAAAAAAAACCGATGAATGATTGCTCATTGTTATCCATCTTTAATCATAAAACAAGAAGAAATGTAATATGAAAATGACACATGAGAGTTTGATGAATAGTGGTCATTACTTTTATTTGTGATAACTCACCCATGTTTTCACAATTAGTTCCTGTAAACCCAGATGTACATTGACAGATATAATCGTTTCCACTTTCAGAACATGTAGCTCCATTCAAACACGGATTTGACGAGCATGGTACTGTAAGAAAGAAAAGAAAATAGTAAAATCACGTAAACTTAAGATTGCAAGATTGCTTTTTTGGATAAATGCACGCTAAATCGAATAGGAAGAGATTTAAACCAGAATGGGCGTGAGAAAGCATTTTCCTCTATTAAACTTCTAAGGGTGTACGTCTTCAGGACCGGATGCAAGACGAACTAAGCGTTTGATAAGAAGCTGGCTAATACCATCATACATTTAGTAACCTTTTGTTAACTTACCAAAATCACTTTCACAGTTGGTTCCAGTATACCCTGAAAGACACTGACAGATGTAGCCATTTCCTGCTCCAGCTTCAAAACATGCAGCTCCATTCAGACATGGGTTTGAAGAACAGGCGGTTACTGCATAAGAAAAATATGATGATGCAGATAAAATGATCGTGTGAAAGTGACTATATTGATGTATCTAGGTAAATAGAAACTATTATAATAATTAAAGCAACAAATCTTTTGAATAAACCCACTGTTTTTTCAAACGTAGCAATAAAGACCAACATGAATTTTACAGTTGATTACCTCCTGAAATTTATAAACTAAAAATAGCCTCTGACAAATAAATTTTGTAAAACATCTGAAATTTAGTTTAAAATGTGGATTATCACCAAAAGAAAGTACATTGGCATATATACCCGTTAGTAGTTTCAGAACACGTAGCTTCATTCACACATGAGTTTGACACCAGGGCAAAACTGATACATTCTAAGATGATCGTAAAAGTAGCAGAATTTTTTGGCTCATGTATTAAGAAACACCGCAAAACATGTCAAGAAAGTAAGGAATATCTTTAATTGTCAGTAATGATAACACGAATTTCGTACTGCGTATGATAGATTTCACGTCCAACTTATCTTAATACCAGACTCAAAAGTATGCATCCATTATTTTGTACATTTGCTTACACTGTTTTTTGCTTTGAGAAAATTAAAAAAAAAAACTTTATTTGAAGAAAACAAATGCTATATTTAAATACCTTGTGTTTCACAGTTTGTTCCAATATAGCCAGCTGGACACTGACATGTAAACTGGTTTCCAGCTTCATCAATACATGTTGCACCATTCAAGCATGGGCTTGAAGAACAAGCAAGTTCTGTGAACGATGATAATGTTGTTGTTATCAATATCAAATCTGACTGATAAATATATATATATAGAGAGAGAGAGAGAGGAGAGTTTACAGAATACATCGATTTACTTTTTAAAAAAACATAAAAAAACAGATTTATGGATGATTTTTTTCCTGGTGACCCAGTGACAAGTTATTATATTAATGTGTTATTAAAGAATGAACTACAAAACAGTCTACATATATGATATATTGCTAAGTCAGGCAAATCTCGGGAGATCTTTCAGGTTGTCAAGAACAACCTTTGTTTTAAAAAAAAGTATGCATAAAGGTTGAATATGTTAGTAAACCGGTCTATTTCCGATGCTTCCCAAGGTGAAATTTAAAAAAAAAAATTTTTTTTTTTTTTTTTTAAACGATGCTTATAAAGCGCTTAACACCGAAAACTTTTTTTAATTTTTGTTTTAATGAAGCTTATTTCTATTCTTAGGTTAGGGAGTAATTAACTTATTTTCCATGAGCGTAGATTACTAACGAAATTTAAGAAGAACAACACCTTATGATTTCATATTTCAAGTCTTCTTCCTTTCGCCGCACCAAGATATGATATGATTCAAGATTCGTTGACACCATTCTTAAAGGGGCATGTTCCCCGTATTCCAGAGGGAGCTCAAAATACGTACGCGCTGGTGGACGGTGCTATAGCTGCCTATTGACACCAACAGAATACGGCTCTTACGCAGATGGCATGTTCCGATAACTACACTGGCGGGAACGTGCCCCTTTAACTAGTTTTGAGTTTGATGAGTACAAAATACAGTTGGGATAACTCTAAAAGAAACTCAAGGTCGTATTAACAGTTTGTTTCTGAGTATTCTTTTTACCACGTTCTCAACAGAATTGTTTAGAAGTACGACCCCATGGCTACCAATGCCACCCTAGTTTAACTGAATCCTTTCATCATAGCTAACATCCTTTTTCGTTTACGTAGTTACATTTTAAGTGGGAGTTGACTCGAGGTTTGTGGATGTAGAGTATTCTCGATGTATAAATTGTATTGTGTTTAAATGTATAAATGAAATGAAATATAAAAACTGAATGGAATCAAGTAGTGCAATTAAAACAGGTATAAGGTTTTGTTTATGGCAACATTGAGCGAATGATGTAGTACATATTGGGAATACAGGAATATAATGATGCGTGTAACAGCATGAAATGTATCAAATCAGTTTTCCAAAGACCGTTACAATGTAAGTAATAAACACGTACCCACTAATTCGCAGTTTACTCCGTTGAAGCCTACGGGACATTCACATGAGTATTCCGTACCAACTTCTGAACATACTCCGTCATTTTGACAAGGCAATGATGCACAAGGAGGGTCCGTTACTTTTATCAAAATGAAATAATAAGGGGTATTGTTAACTTAAACACAATTGTAATCTTTTCATTTTTGTTAATTTAAAAAGAGAAGTTTCTATGATTTGTAGTGAGGTTCAGCAATGTGTAAATTCGTGAAGCCCCCCCCCCCCCCCACAAAAAAAGAATAAAGTGTTTCGTGACCTTATAACCTCTATAGAAGTCAATTTCTCATGTGTCAAGAATATAATGGCATGTGAGTGCATAGTGATAATGATGATTATTGTTGTCTTCCATAGGCACGCCAAGATGACCACTCTTACACGAAATTATTAGTTGAAGAAGACTTTTCAAAGAAGAATACTTTAAATCAAATTTACAACAATCAATTAATGGTATGACAAATGATAATATGTATCTCTCGTTGTCCTTAGAAAGCTGTTAATTTAGGTCTTATCAACTGGACAAACCATGGGTTTAATATCGTTAAGACGATTATATATTTGGTACTACAGTATCAACAAACAGCTCATTTGAAGAAAAAAAATCAGGGTTTGGAATCAGAATTTGTTTTTCATAGAAGTAGAATGCAATTATGCGTAGAAGTATTATGCTTCTTAAGAAGAGGAATAAAATACACTATTTTGAAAGAGACAGGCATAAACAAGCTTTGCTTGTAAGCACTCACCTTGTGTTAGGAGCTCACACGTATCTCCCTCATATCCAGCAGCGCACTGACATGCGTAGCCAGGGTTAGAGTCCATGCAAGTCGCTCCATTTTGGCAGGGGTTGGATGAACATGCCAAGACTACAGTAGACCAAAGCAAGCACATGTACAGCAAACGTGCACAACAAATGAGAACGTGCAGCAAATGAGAAAGCACATGCAAAGAGGAAATCAACGTGAACAGGATTCATTTAGAAATGCCTTAAAACATGCTCAGTGAAAAAGAAGTCAAGCAAAAGCAACCTATAGCCAATTCTTAAAAACTTTTCTTTTGGGAATTTTTTTAGAAAGAATGATTTATATGCTTTGCAAGACCTCCACCATTCACACTCAAAAGCAAGTATTACTTCGATAAATCATTGATAATGCCGTTATGTACACTCATACCCAATTATATCAACATCAGTTCAAATTTTGTCTACCGTTTTCCTTTCCCTTGCTCTTATTTCTTTGCACACAGAAGTGTTTGTAATAGGCATTGTGTGAAACTGGGAAATAATATGATGATACTGATCTATTTGTGTATAACAAAAAGAAACCCTTAACCTAAACAGCCATAAACAAAGAGAACCATTTGAAAAGTTTATAAGAAAGCAGAGTACAATGACTTAAATGTAAAAAGATGCACGTCATTGCAGCACTAAAGAACAAAATCAACACACTGCGCCAAAAAAGTGCCTTAAATTTCCCTTTTATCCCCTCACCAAACAGACAAATTTATACCGTTTAGTATCAAGAAAGGGATTCATTATGAAGGAGATGAACAATTTAAACAATAACCTGTATTTCTGAACCGGGTCTTTGAAGCAAGCACGATGCCACACCTGTCCTTGAAATGGATAGGAGCTTTTGAGCTACATTATAAAGCGTTAGCACATGAGATCGACGTCAACGTTTACACACTCACCAACTGTTTCGCAGTCTGGTCCTGTGTATCCGTCAAGGCAACTGCAGACGTAGGCTGACGGGTCAGCTCCGGCGGTGAAGCAGGTCCCTCCGTTCTGACATGGGAGAGCATCGCAACCTACCACTACAAATAGCAAAGTTCAAAGAACACCAGCTCTAATTTGGAGTTCTGCGAGAAATAGCTATATGGGAAAGGGTTTCTATAAGCATTATAAGAAATACTAGTTTTGGGGGTTTCTTTTTCCACTTTAAAAATCAAATTCAAAGAATATCAGCTCTGCTTTGAAATTCGGCGTGAAATAACTACATGTGAAATGCATGGATCTATAAAGAAAGGGAATACACTTGTTTTATGGGGGGGTGGTGGGTGACATTTCTTTTTAAGCTTTTGACATTTGCTAGAGCAACAATGATCGCATTTTAGCACAGTTTGGGCTTGATGGAATTGAATGATAATAAAATGACAATAAATCGAGTTTCTGGTAAATGCATGCTGGTTACAATTTGCTTTCTTTCTGTTATTCGCTTTTATTGCATGGCAATTTATGAGACAACTACAGTAATGTGCGCGTAATACCTAGATCAGTGTGATTATATTGATGCATTTCTATTTAATGGATTCGCCTATGAGTAAACATGCATGAAATTGAAAATTCCGGTATCCACAAAAATGTGTACTCACGCAACTCGAAATAGCCTTTGTTTGTTATCCTCCGATTATTAAATACAAATGTTTCATGACATTAAGTAAAATTGTCTAACAGCTGTGAATGAAAAAAAGGGATGAATGCAAACAAAACTATGAATCTAAACTAAGTGGCATCACTCGAAAAGGAGTTTAGGGCGCAAGCAGCTTCAACTTCTCCATGCAAATAGACATTTCTTCTATGCTACTGCGGAAGCTAAAAATACTGGATATGATTTTTTTTTAAAGTAATTACACCCCATGCTTACTGAATCTGTAAGGATTATGACCGTATACCTTTATTTACATGTATGTCTGAATCAAATAATACAAATATAATTCTACTTATCATGCACTTTCTACTCAATACACGTACATGTGCTTTTATAAGGCAGCAAATGTTTTATATTGCATCCATTTCGTTGCACAAAAACTCAGCATGTTAAACCCTACATCTCTACAATTGAAATGAATCAAATAAACTTCACAAGGTATTTTTACTATTACACTCAGCTTACCATCTTGTATTTGTACATGCACGTCCCATACCAAAACTAATACCACTCGTTAATAAATAATACCATAGGGTTAAATGTAGTGATATGAAATGGTACATATAAACGACACTGAGTTAATTTATTTCATCTCTCACTTCCATTATCATGCAAAGATTATTTTGAATTTTAAATTTGCACAAAAAAGTAACATTACTGCTATAATTCCTAGAACAAATGAATACGAAAACCCACTCATACGGCAAACCATTAACTCAAGAGAGTATGAAAGCGCAATATTGATCCTCACTGATAATCTGCTCAAATTGCGCTTATGAAAAAAAAAATGAATGAGCCAGTGATATTAAACAATTATGAAGTCTGATTAGCTGATAAGAACACGGAGTTTATCTGTGGGTCAGTTTAGTGGTTCAAACATCACAGTGCCGGGTTAGAAAAATCATTAATACAAAACACACGTGAACATGACACGAGACTAAATGTCTGTAGTAGTACAGACAATGAGGTTGAATTCTTTCAGGGGTCCGCTTATAAAATATATAAAGCCAATAACTGTTCTATAAGCCTTCACGTACACCACAAAACACATAAGAATATACAAGCGATATACAAAGAGAGCATGATATTTAAAAGGAGAGTGGAGTGGTGCGAAGATAGAGAGAGAGAGAGAGGGGGGGGGTGGCACGGACGAGAAAGGAGAATAGAGAAACCAGGGACATATAACCCCCATAAGGCAAACAATCATGCAAGAAGCGGATGATAGGATACATTTTTGGTAAGGTCAAGATACTATCACAATTAATATTAGGACAGTTATCGAATGAAGGATCAAACAACCATTATGAACATGTAAGCCTGATGTGTGAATCACGCAAATGATAGGAAAGTGGTAGGAATAAAAATGGAATGGATTGAGTAATGTATTTTTTTTTTATCGAATTAAATGTACAAAATTACAAGCCCAAAATACATCTGAAAGTAATGCTAACACTACGAACATATACATGTACGCCTGATACATGTGCATGTCCGTGTTGAGGTTATTGAATGATGAATGTATTTGTTTTTACTAAATCAAAAGGTGGTAATGCAGTGGAAACCAAAAACTGGATATGACGATAACTTTAGCACCATGAACAAATTCACTTGACATATGAATATGAGACATCTGACGTATGTGTAGCCAATTTTCCAACATTACCTGGAGGATTACCGCAATAAATATCAATTACACCATTGGAGCATAAGCACGTGTATGAGCTTCTATCAAAAGCGTCCAAACACGTTGCATCGTCAGGGCAAGGGTTCGAAGCACAACCGGGTACTACGTTGATAGGTGCTAGATGAAGAGAAAGTGTTACAAGTGGAAGCAGAAGGAGAGCATGCACAGATGTGAAGAAATACAATGTGAAAGCAAGGTATTCGTGCATTAATATGAAGAAATACAACGTGAGAACAAAAACAAAGCATGCATAGGTGTGACAGACGCGATCGCAAAAAGATTTAGCAAACAAATCAACCCAAGACAATTTCAATAGCTTTGCCATCACCTTTTGAAATGTGCGAACATTACTTTGACGTATGACACAATCCGACAATGATGTCTACAGGCATTACCGTACAATGGGTACTGAAAATTGCCTTAGGGTTGAGTTTTCGAAAGTTTATGCAATCGTGTTGAATAAATGCAACTAAACTACTGGGAAAAGGATGTTTGTCACGTGACGTTCAATGAGATCTTGAGGAGTGAAGAATATAAGTAAAAAAACTAGTATTTGATGATTGCTCAGAAAATGTGTGTGGACCTGCATTTGGTTTGTTTATAAGGTAGTTGCGGTGAATTTTGACCGGGAAAATATGTTGACTTCGTAAAGCACTCATTAAAATGTTTGATGTTCGTTCGAGTTAGGCATTTCTTGATGTAACTTTTAATTGAAGAAAACAAATATTGATTAAGTTTGAAGTTGATGATTAGACGTTGAGCATGGTCAGTTAAAATTTCACGTCAAACAGGCTATGTTACTCTATTACTTTTTTATTTTGTAACTTGGTTACTTCACTACTGATCCTAAATTTACCTGTTAAACTACAGTCTACCCCAAGCTGACCGTTAGAACACAGACATGTGTAAGAGTTTCCTTCCGCTGCTTCCAAGCAAGTTGCATCGTCAGGACAAGGGTTTGAGGAGCAGCTAAAAGTAGGAAGGGGACCTACAGAAGATGGACAGATGGTATGAAGGTGACTGGAGTCTAATGGAAGCTGGAGGATTAGTAGTCATGGGCGATGATCTATTTAAATATTGGTACTATTTTGAATATTCTTGCGATCTTTTTGTTAGATCTGTGAGAATTTATTTTCTATCATTACCAGAACTCAAGCTTATCTTTAGCTTTAACCAGAGAGAAATATAAAAAAAAAAAAAAAAAGGTGCATAACTACCTACATACTACTTATGTGTATATATGGATTATATGGTTTTAATATCTGGAAAGACAAATTTAATCATGACGAACTTTAATCTAAATGACATATTTATTTTGATAAATCACTTATTACAGCGTTGCATACATTTTTTTTTTGTATTTGTGTGCGTGGGTGTGTGTCTCTGTGTGTGTGTTTTGTGGGATAGAGAAATGTGTACCTGGAGCCATTTCACAGTTAATGCCTAAAGCACCGTTCGGACATAAGCAGGTAAATGAGCTTCCATCTGCTGCATCCAGACATGTCGCTCCACTGGAGCAAGGGTTTGAGGAACAACCTCGCACGGGAGTGGGGTCTACGCAATGGGTATAGGAAGAGTGAAAGCGACAAGTTAATATGAAAGACATTGCAAATGGAGAGATAAATACAATGAAGAAGATAAACGAACATTGCAATTAAGAAGATAAAAAATATTGCAATGAAGATAAAAGAACATTGCATTTTAGAAGACAAAAGCATGACAAAACAAAATTACACCAAAAGCAAAGACAAATGATTTTAAAAGAAGTCTACGCCAGCAAAAATCACTCATGCAGCTTCAACTACATTACGTTAAGGTTTTTCTTCCTCGTTTCAATAAATATTACATATCTGTTCCCAAAATACCTGTTTCTTACTTAGCATTGAAATTTCCAAAATAAAAAAGGCATTTTTGTGTTTTTGATGGATAATGATCTTCTAATTTCTCCGAAGAAGGTTCATTCTGATCCTAAGTACTTTCCACATGCATATTATACGTTATGACCTGGAATTCTATTTCAATGTCTACCGAAGGCAATGCTTTTACAAAGGTCCGAAGACAATGCTTTTACAAAGGTCCAAACATTACCCTATAGCAATGTTCCATTAATTGCCCGTTTAATAGGTACACATTATTACCTGTAGTTATATTACAGTGTGTACCGACATCACCATTTGGACAGAGGCAAAGGAAAGCAACTTGACCAGCCGCTTCTAGGCATGTAGCATCAGCAGGACATGGGTTAGAGGCACATGCAGGATTAAGTAGAGGCTGGTCTAGATTTACAGGAAATGAAGTGAACATGGAAATGGCAAAATTGAAGAAATTTCCTAAAGGAAAAGAGATTTGTTTGCTGAAATGGAAGAGTTGTCCAATACTTCTAGTGTAACTATGTTTCTTTTATTTTTAAATCTAATACTCAGCTCTTGGAATTGAGATGAACGAGCTTAACAGATTAATTAAGGGAAGGAGAATAATTTGCAGAAAAAGCAAACATGTTCAGGACTTATTCTAGCGGGCTTTTTTTAGTTCATCTTTACTCAGCTACATATCATAATCATTGATAACTGTTTCTGTTAAAATTCGTGCTTGTGTCAGATTTGTATTCATTAAAAATGCATCTGCCCAAATTTTAGCTGATATCTACATTAAAGAGGAATAGCGTTACTGGAAAAGTATTTATCACGTTATGATCTGGAATTATATTACAATGTCTAACGAGGAAAATGTTTTTTACAAAGATGCATCTTGATCCTATAGCCATGTTGCATTAATTGCCCGTTTCATAGGTACACATTATTACCTGTAGTTATATTACAGTGTGTACCGACATCACCATTTGGACAGAGGCAAAGGAAAGCAACTTGACCAGCCGCTTCTAGGCATGTAGCATCAGCAGGACATGGGTTAGAGGCACATGCAGGATTAAGTAGAGGCTGGTCTAGATTTACAGGAAATGAAGTGAACATGGAAATGGCAAAATTGAAGAAATTTCCAACGAAAAGAGATTTGTTTGCAGAAATGGAAGAGTTGTCTAAGACTTCTAGTGTAACTATGTTTCTTTTATTTTTAAATCTAATACTCAGCTCTTGGAATTGAGATGAACGACCTTAGCAGATTAATGAAGGGAAGGAGAATGATTTGCAGGAAAAGCAAACATGTTCATGACTTATTCTAGCGGGCTTTTTGCTGTTATCTTTACTTAGCTACATATCATAATCAATAATAACTGTTTCTGTTAAAATTCGCGCTTGTGTCAGATTTGTATTCATTAAAAATTCTTAAGGCCCAAATTTTAGCTGATATAAACATTGAAGAGGAATATCGTTCCTGGAAAAGCATTTATCACGTTATGATCTGGAATTATATTACAATGTCTATCGAGGACAATGGTTTTTACAAAGATGCATCTTGATCCTTTAGCAATGTTGCATTAATTGTCCGTTTCATAGGCATACATTATTACCTGTAGTTATATTACAGTGTGTACCAACATCACCATTTGGACAGAGGCAAAGAAAAGCAACTTGACCAGCCGCTTCTAGGCATGTAGCATCATCGGGACATGGGTTAGAGGCACATGCAGGATTAAGTAGATGCTGCGGGACTAGATTTTCAGGAAATGAAGTGAAATGAACATGGAAATGGCAAAATTGAAGAAATTTCCTTGGAAAAGAGTTTTGTTTGCAGAAATGGAAGAGTTGTCTAAGACTTCTAGTGTAACTATGTTTCTTTTATTTTTAAATCTAATACTCAGCTCTTGGAATTGAGATGAACGACCTTAGCAGATTAATGAAGGGAAGGAGAATGATTACAAACATGTTCATGACTTATTCTAGCGGGCTTTTTGCTGTTATCTTTACTTAGCTACATATCATAATCAATAATAACTGTTTCTGTTAAAATTCGTGCTTGTGTCAGATTTGTATTCATTAAAAATGCTTAAGGCCCAAATTTTAGCTGATATAAACATTGAAGAGGAATATCGTTCCTGGAAAAGCATTTATCACGTTATGATCTGGAATTATATTACAATGTCTAACGAGGAAAATGGTTTTTACAAAGATGCATCTTGATCCTTTAGCAATGTTGCATTAATTGTCCGTTTCATAGGCATACATTATTACCTGTAGTTATATTACAGTGTGTACCAACATCACCATTTGGACAGAGACAAAGGAAAGCAACTTGACCAGCCGCTTCTAGGCATGTAGCATCAGCAGGACATGGGTTAGAGGCACATGCAGGATTAAGAAGATGCTGCGGGACTAGATTTTCAGGAAATGAAGTGAAATGAACATGGAAATGGCAAAATTGAAGAAATTTCCTAGGAAAAGAGTTTTGTTTGCAGGAATGGAAGAGTTGTTCAAGACTTCTACTGCGACTGGGTATCATTTAAAAAAATATAATACTCGGCTCTTGGAAATGAGACGAACAAGCTTATAAACAGATTAATGAAGGGAAGGTAAGTGATGTGCAGGAATGGCGAACATGTTCAGGACATATTCTATCGGATTTTTTTTTTTTACTCAGCTACATATCATATTTTTATTCATTCAAAATGCATCTACCCACATTTGAGCTGATATCTACATTGAAAAGGAATAGCGTTACTGGAAAAGTATTGATCACAATGAATGTATCTGGTGCTTCTCTAAAGCTGAAGTACTGATGGAAACAAATGCATAGATTGAAAAGGAAATGCATAGCTTGAAAAGGAAATGTAACATATAATATACAGCGAACATAAGAAGAATTGAAGTGGCACAGCATGCAATACATATATATTTTACACGAAGCACATAAACATGATAAAACGTACAAAATAACATGTATTATTATAAAAAAAAAAAACAGTGCAAAGTTTTTAGTTTAAATCCTGCCCATTATTGGCATCAAGATACATCAATGTAGCAAGTGTTCAGTCCAACCGAAAAACTGACTCCAAATCGACTCAAAACCGACCGAGGTTCAGCAATTGCTTCCCTAGTCACCCTAATCAGACCCGTTACCTGACCGACACCAACATATACTCCAGCCCAGGGGGGGGGGGGGGGGTTCACACATATCCTAAGTTGAACGTAAGTCTTAGTTGGACTTAACAATTATGGAAAAACGTTAGCATTTATGAAAATATTTGATAAAAGTTGTTTTAAAAGGCATAAAATATTGATTCAAATCATTCATATTTTTTATTATCAAGGAGATTTTATGTTTTTGATGTGGAATTTATATAAAGTCTAAAATACTTGAATTTTCGCTTTTGAATATATTTTATTTTAAGGCTTCAAATGGCTCTCCATAATTTGTAAGTGAATAAGAGTTAAGTTCGACTTAGGATCTTTGTGAACAATCCCCCCCCCCCCCGGCCCCCATGTGGCCAAGAATAGATCGGTCTGGAGTCGATGTGACGTGGAGTCAGTTTGGCGGTGTGATGTCGGTCTCGTCGGTGTGACTGAGGTCTTAGCAGCGGGTCGAGGGACGCTTGCCGATACAGAAATCGTTGAAAGCATATAATATTTATGGAGCCCAAAGAAACAACGATCTGCAGAATTTTGATTACAAAACAGCTTATGCACGCGAAAATATGGGTCACATTACAGGCCTAGAGAATCTTGCTTAGACAGGTAAAATTGTGGGAAGAATCAGTCGGGGAAGAAGGAGGATACTTTGAATAGACAGTCTGCAGAAATTGTTGTTAGAGAGAGGAGTGAAAGAACTGGGAGTGGTGCTAATACAGAAGGATAGGAGCCGAGGGTTATGGAACAGCATGATCGCCAAAGTCAAACGATATGGCACTTAGAGAGAGAGAGATATTACAAGCAAAAACCCCAAAAGGCAACGTTCTATTTCATGAATTACGTAGTTTCCCCCTACACAGCAGGCAAGAACCGTGATAAGGTACATATATTACCTTGTACATCACATTTAAATCCCGTGAAACCAGGAAGACATATGCAGGCGTAAACGGCTTGATATTCTAAACATGAAGCCCCGTTTGCACAAGGTTGAGATGAGCAGGCAGTTTTGACTACAATGAACAAAGAACGGAGAGCATGACGGCGATTCCGTATTAGAAAGAAAAAATATTTTGACAATATTTTCAATTTCAATAATCAAATGAATTGTTTTGAGATCCATTTTGGGGTAACTCTCAGAGCGATGCCATTGATACAATAATCATAAAATAATTTTCACCAATTAATTGTACAGTCCGTAAAGTAAAAAATCTTGTCACCACATTGTCTTTTTTTTTCTAATACGGAATCACCCATGTTGCTAAAAGCATGAACATTAATCAAAATGCAAGGCAACGCTAAGGACACTCATAGTAATTTTATATACCTATAAATGAGAATAAAAGAATAGCATTCGTTTGATAAAGTTTAGCATAATGATATTTCGAAAAAGGAAACATGTAAAAGTGCAAATATAAAATAAATGAACATGGTTTCTGTATTATGAAGTGCTTGACATGAAATTTGCATTTATGGATCTAAAGCTTTATGGCACTATAGAGTAATTCTAATTTAGTATTACTGATCATGATAAGTCATATTATTAGAGCTTTCATGGAACCATGCCTACGCAAAACATTTAAAGTTACAGTTTCTATCGAACAAAGCATGCCAAAATAAGCTTATGAAAATGAAATTATAATTGAACGATATACTGCGGTAAACATCTAGATTACATACACCAATTCACTAACGCCACGGTACTGTGAAAGTATATGCTTTTCAATTTTCTGATCTACATCGCTTGATATTTCGAGTTTGAGAAACTTAGACAACTTTTTGCACTTTCATTACCAGCAGCACACATAAATTTGATACACAATACCTCAGAAGTATACCATGAACTTGCCTGACTGAACAAAGAACACAAATTATCTGTCATAAAATAAAGAACATGTTAAGAGACCCCAACGAGAGAACACAATGAAGTATTAGGAGATTTTGTATTTGGTTTACCTGCGGCAACCATACGTATTACTGGCTGTCAAATGAACAGCTTGTCAGTGACCAGTACATTATTTGACTGTCGCTGGTGAACGCAAAATTTAGGAAGAAAGATATAGTCATATCGACAAAAGTTATTCCATAGGAGCTAAAAGCGAAGGTATAACATCGAGCCAAAAATTATACTTGAATACGTACTTACCTGCGTTGTTCAAATATGCAACTCTTATGCTAATCATACGATATCCAACATCACGTGGTCACTAGAATGGCGACTTCTGATCGGTCAGCTTCAGGATCAAGTCACGGACACATTACCCTGTATACACATAACTCTTGATGTAAACAGCTATGACAACCTTCATAACTATGTACCTTGAAAGGAAGGAAGTGGGGTTAAGCATTGGAATGTAATGTTAAAGGGGGTACATACCCAATTCACAGTTGACGCCGGAAAAATTAATGGGGCAGGAACAAATGTAGGCTATTCCTCCCGACGAGCCAGACTCGAAGCACGTGCCGCCATTCATGCATGTATCAGACGAACATGCCATAACTAAAGTATATAGGGTGGGTGAGAAAAGAAAATCGGAACATGGAACGAAATGTAAACTCAACTACGCATGCAAAGGCAAAGCTTTGGGTAAAAACTACACGATTGAAATAAAAACGTATTAACGTACTGTACGCATGGTAATTGTTTTAAAGAGTTTTAAGAAATGTAAAACCCTACTATGCATGCATAATAACTCTGCTTGCTACGAACTAAATATTAAAATAAAAACTATATTGCTGCATGCATAACAATTTACTTAACCATCGAATAATATTTGTTAGTATTATTACAAATAAACTAGCCAGCGTTTGAACTTTCTCTAAAGCTGTCGCGTTATACACTGAGCTCTGCTTCATAAGATATAGAAATGTGAGTCGTATTACACTTAACGTCATCATTACAAAACACAACGGTTTTGCCGTGTCATATCTGAACAGGCATTTAGGGGTTACGTTAATTTGTGATGAAACAGCAACCGATTAGTTAAAATGGGGACATACCAGGTAAAGTTACGTCAAAAGAAGAACACTCATAGGGTAAACTTCATTCCTTAAATTAAATTTCGATTAAAACGGGATATGTTACTTCAGGACAAGACATGGGTTGGTTAGTTGACATGAAAAACTTACTAGCAGTTAAATTTTCTCACAAAAAAAATCTTTATGGTTAAGGACGTTCGCAGTGCTGTTTCTGTGCATCTTAGCTCCACAGGGCCTGCTGGTTATGTATTTTATCATACTAAATGCCTGGATGGTATTCCTAGTATTGAGCATATAGTAAATACTTGATTATCTGGCCCTTCCCAATCAAGGTGCCTACGGACAATACTGCGGAACGTCCTTTACTTCAGATTAAAACAAGCAGTAATTATTATGCTACGGTTAGATGAAAGAACACTCGGTTAGTAGACATGGACAACATACCAGTTAAAGTTATCTCACAGGTCGAACCTTCAAAACCAGAAGGACACACACAAATGATGCCATCATCACTGCCCCCTGATTGGAAACACGTTCCTCCATTTTGGCAAGTTGTGGGTTGACATTGTTCTGTTAAGAGAAGCGTTTGCAGGCTAAGATGGACTACCAAAGCGGCACTATGTTACAGTGATTTAGGATTTTATTATTCTAGAAAGCAGTCATATTCATCTAAACTGCTAGTTATAGCTTAAAATGAAACATAATCGTATTACTCTGAAAAGCAGTGTTATTAGTCTCGACTGCTAACTATACGTTATTCTTATCTACTAACTGTAGGTTAGAAAAGCATGACTCGCAATACATGCAATTCTAAATTACGTTTTGTCCTATGCTTCGACTGTATTTTCATCCTGTCTTATCCCAATCGCCCAAACATCCTCATGTTTAATAAATAACTTTCTTCAAATAGTGTCGAATAGTCAACAAATAAGTCGCGTTTACCCTTATTTACAGGACAATATTTTGTTGCTTTGGTTGATTTGGTTGTTTGTCAATAACCTATTGCACTGGTAATATTTGAAGCTCACCACTTCCACTCCAACCTAGGTCACTCAACAGAGTGTTTGGTCTAACACTAATTCCCCTTGCAGCTACAAAACACTTCACAATGTGCTCAAAACAGTATACTAACACTTCAAGAACAACATTTTAACGTCATTGATCGCCCGACATTGAACCTCAAGCATTTGAGAGCAATATATTTTCAGGTGATTGGACCCTTTGACAAATTATGAAAAACTAGGCTTCTGTTGTTTTTTGCTGCTGCTGATTTGTTTTGTTTTTCTATCAATCACGTAATGCTCTAAGCTTCTAAATTCCTATCGCTAACATTTTAACGTCATTGATCGCCCGACATTGAACCTCAAGCATTTGAGAGCAATATATTTTCAGGTGATTGGACCCTTTGACAAATTATGAAAAACTAGGCTTCTGTTGTTTTTTGCTGCTGCTGATTTGTTTTGTTTTTCTATCAATCACGTAATGCTCTAAGCTTCTAAATTCCTATCGCTAACATTTTAACGTCATTGATCGCCCGACATTGAACCTCAAGCATTTGAGAGCAATATATTTTCAGGTGATTGGACCCTTTGACAAATTATGAAAAACTAGGCTTCTGTTGTTTTTTGCTGCTGCTGATTTGTTTTGTTTTTCTATCAATCACGTAATGCTCTAAGCTTCTAAATTCCTATCGCTAACATTTTAACGTCATTGATCGCCCGACATTGAACCTCAAGCATTTGAGAGCAATATATTTTCAGGTGATTGGACCCTTTGACAAATTATGAAAAACTAGGCTTCTGTTGTTTTTTGCTGCTGCTGATTTGTTTTGTTTTTCTATCAATCACGTAATGCTCTAAGCTTCTAAATTCCTATCGCTACATAATTATGTGAGCATTATGGGATGAAGCAATAATACATTTCTACTGCAAGCTTGGTTTAGTGGTTCGTACCATTGGTAGTATCCTGGCAGAAGAGTCCGCTGAAGCCGGTCAGACAGATACATTGGAAACTAGCCTGATCTGCAGACGAGAAGCATGTCCCTCCGTTCACACACGGGTTCGAGTCGCATGCAGTCGTCGGCATAACTGACAAGTACAAACGAGTATAGGTCTTGCAGAACATGCATATAATAAACTTTCTTTATCAAGGTAACATAAAGCTTTCCAAGTTACTTCAATGAGGCAATGATCCACAAAACATGCACAAAACATCGAAGTACTTTGTTATAAAGATTACAGTTTCATCATTTGTAACGATATTTCATTGAACTTTTAAGGAAAACATTCGATTACTATTATATCGGCAATCATATTACCACTTTAACAAGTTAGAGCATGCTATGAATTTAAGAGTCTACACATGCACATGGTAAGACATATTAAGTTCATTCAGGAAGTTTTCAAGGACTACAATGTATAGATCGAAGAAAGCGAGGGTGTAGGTATTATTAGGTAGAATGAAATGCGCTGATGCATACCATATTCGATGCGACATCACCAATAACTGGATAACAGTACTGTCAGAAATACAAGTTATATTCTATCTACTGAAAACAAGGCACTTAATCAATATACTTTCACTTATATATCATTTGCATTTGCTAAAATAATTTTAACAAATTTTTAATTTGTCTTTTCTAACAGTCTAAATAATCATTATAGGTTTAACAAACATTTTAAATGCAAGGGTCATTGCTTACATGGCTTTGTCGGGCAAACGGTTTCGTTTGGAATAGATAGGGCCTATATTGCAAGAGAAAGAGAGCATGGCTCTCGACCGCGTTAGAATTGAAAAACATTTCCCTGAATATACTCTTTTTTTCCATTGGTGTCGACTGGAACCTACCCCGACGTGTCCACTCATCAAAATGTGTTCACATGACTGTCCTGAAGTCTAATCGGAATGAGAGGTATTTAAAGGCCATGTAATTTTGTTTTGGGTACCTACATTATCCAGAAAATATTCATCGCTGCTTTTGTAACAAGCTCTGCGATATGAAACTTTAGCGGTACTTTAGAGAACTAGATTTTTAAACCTCCTCTTAACCTCTTTGAACCCTAGGGAATCGGGTTCCTTGATAATTTAGGCCTACTGAACCTCCTACAAGATTGTAATAAAGGGCTATGTTTTCGCCTTGAATTGTGTGTGTCTGTGGGGGGGGGGGGCGGAGAGAGAATACGTGTCCCCTCGTCCCCTGCAAAACAGGGGCACTTTTAAAATCCTGGAACAGTCAAGTGTTACACCTTATATACACAGAGTGCACGTCGGGGGGAACCTACCAACATTTTCACAGGTGGTGCCACCAAAACCCGACGGGCAGGCGCACGTGAAAGTAACAGGCCAGGGCAGGCAGGGTGCGCCATTGCGACATACGTGAGGAATACAATGGGCAGCTACAGAGAAGATATGTGATGACGACACGTGTTAGTATGTGAGATGAAAGAAGCATGAAAGAAGATGGAAGAAGCATGAAAGAAGATGTTGTGCAAGTAAGAAAATGAGATCAGAACTTTACCTCGAACGATGAAAATGTAGCTTTAAGTAACTAAGCGAGTGAATTATTCCCCAAATTAATGAAAGATGTTTTTATCATTCTGTGCATGTTGTGAAGTAAACACTGCGTCATATTTTGCAAAACCAGAACTTTTAGCAGAGGAAAAGGAGATGATTTGACAAAATTGAGGTAGTTAAATCTGTCTTCGTATTTTATATTAATGGAATTACTTTTGGTAAGTGTAGCTCATAAATCCCAGCTTTTATGAGGCCCTACATAAAATTCTGTGATTTAATTTGTGAAATGTTATATATAGAATCCCTTTCATGCGTCCGATTACCCCACCCCCCCCCCCCTGACTACTGCCATATTAATGTTCTTCTGACATAAGGTAATAGAATATCCACGGGGGAGACATAGTGTTAATGGCAGCGTTTTACGAAACGGTACAAGTACAAGTTCGAAAACATCCCTTTGATATGAGAGTCTAATAATTAAGACGCGTTTCGAAGGGATGTCGGCGAACTTGTTCTTATGACGCATTCGTGAAAAGATGTCCAGAATCATACCAATGACACTAATTTCACAAAAGGATCCAGAGTAGTCGATGGTGCAGAAGCATCTGTAGGTTAAGCCATCGACCGAAGAAAAACAGGTACCCGTGTTCTGGCACGGATCGGATATACATGGATTGGGTTGTGCTAAAGGTGAAGATAAGTATATGCAGTGATAGAGAGGTGTAGAGTTTAGTATGCATGTATGTGATGGTAGGTAGAGAAATAGAAATGAGCTCCGGCGATGGTAGAAGTATAGGTGATGATTGAGAAGTAGAGATAAAGTTTAGGAAGTAGAGATAAAGTTTAGGAAGTAGAGATAAAGTTTAGGAAGTAGAGATAAAGTTTAGGAAGTAGAGATAAAGTTTAGGAAGTAGAGATAAAGTTTAGGAAGTAGAGATAAAGTTTAGGAAGTAGAGATAAAGTTTAGGAAGTAGAGATAAAGTTTAGGAAGTAGAGATAAAGTTTAGGGAATAGAAGGGAGGCAGAGATAAACGGTTGAGAAGACGAAATATGTATAGGCGACGGTAGAAATATATATGAAGTATAGACCATGGTAGAAAGGTAGAGATATGTAGAGGCAAGAGAATAGAAAGCTATATGAAAGTACAGATGATGGTAGATGTTGGAAGATAAGGATAAGAATACAGAGCGTGGTAGGTGACGGTTAAAATTAGAGATAAAGGCGTAAAGATATTGAGGGATAAATATGTAAGCAATAAAAGAAATTTAGTATTGTTTGCATAAATGAAACAGGAATATAGATGATATTGAATGCTTGTTAGAGAACAATGGCAGATTGAAAATTATTGTGCCGTCTTCTGCAACTTCTGCAACTTATTCAACAATATCTCATGCAAGGGGCTAGTAGAATTAAACATGAGTGAGTTCTAATATTGATATGGACAGATATGTCATTGAAGAGGTAACCTTTCTGTAGTAACATAAATGTGGTTAGAAGTAGAAAGACTGGACTATGTAACCTGCATTGAATACTTAAATTAATAATGTAAATGAAAAGTATTACTATAAGAGTATTCTACAAAGTATGTCAACCACGCATATTTAGTGTTAATTTACAATGTTAGATTCTGAAAGGTGCATTAGATGGGTTCAGTCATATAGTTTAAGACTGTTCCCCTAACAGCCTGAAGCAAGACCAGAACATATCAACAGTTAGAAAAAAGACACTGTCAAGCAATAGCAACGGAATTATCAAGGGCGTCGCTGGACCATTTTGCATCGGGGGAGGGGCGTATTCATCCCTATCTAATAATGTGTAAGCAAAGAATATCAACAAAACAACAACAACAAAATCATCAACTTTCGCGATCTGGCGACAAGGCTCTAAAATAAGCACACCAAAATTGACATAATATTGTCCCTCCGCTCCCTTCCAACCTCCAACCCCCTCCCCCTCCCCCTCCCCCCCCCCCCCCCCCCCCCCCCTCCAGCGACGTCCCTGCAAATTGAGGGCAAAATAAAGATAGGCATGGCATACCAACTGCTGTCTGGCAGCTTTCTCCAATGTAATCAGCACTACAGATGCAGAAATAATTTGTCAGGTCACCGCTATCAAAACACGTACCCCCATTCTGACAGGGGTTAGACCCACACGGGGAAACTGTTAGAACAAAAACATGAACAACGTTACATGGGAAATGAAAAACGTTACATGGGAATGAACAACGTTACATGGGGAATGTACAAATATTCACCACAGGTACATTTATTGCTAAAGTGGGAATAAATTTCTTCTGTAATTGAATTGTATCTTCTAGAAAGTTTTCTCGTGATCATTTACTATCACTTTGTAGTAAGTTGTTATATTTCAAATGACAATACCATTTGATTTATTTTGTATTTGTATGTATATTTTTTGGGGGATCAACATGTACTCCCATTTTAACATGGGTTCGATTCACAGGAATAAGCTGTGTTAGAACAAAGGAGTTAAATGGGTATTAAGATAAATGGTATTACAGACAGAAAGCACAACTTTCACTGCAACAATGGTTATGCAAATATTTATATATAATATATGATTGAACTATATGTTCTGGAAAGTTCTTTCGTTGCTCATATTAAGTAATTAAACAAAAATGCTTCTAGCTCCAGACGAGCTGACGACTTGACAGAATTAAATGATTATATGTTGATGATGACTTTAACATATGGGATAAAATACCCGGACTAGCCCAATTAAAATATGACATATGTATGCATTAGGTATAAATGCACAATATGCAGTGAAATACATGATTCAATATCATAAGTTTGTACGATCCAATGAAACATCTACTGCCGTGGTTATGCATGAATGATAAGATTGATAACTCATTCACCCCAACAAGATCGACACCAGTCCGACGATAGACCGAACTAAACATAACATTACCCCCGTATGGCCAAGATTCGTTCATTTTGGAGTCGGTGTGGAGTCTTAATTGCCGATGTAACTGATTAGTCACAGAGAAATTAAATTAAAGATGGCGGTCGCTTACCGGTACTTCCTACATCACACATGGTTCCCTGAAAGCCCGTGGCGCATGCGCAGAAGAAAGCATTTCCTCCGTTCTGTTCGAAACACGTTCCTCCATTGAGACAAGGGTTCGAAGAACACGCTCTGGCTGTTATATCTGAAGAAAAAAACATTTGTAAGCAATGTTATGGTGAGGATGTTTAAAGCACTCTTCATCTTAAGCTGTCTTGTCTCTTTCAAAAGATCCCTTAAAACATATTTCTTCCCTCAATAAGTTAATTTAATTTGTAATATTTTATTTTAAGTATTTCATGTTTCTCTTTACATTGTGTAATTCTGTAAACGCTGTGGTACTTTGTTTTGGGGCTCCTAAATGATCGACTGTATAATTATTGATTTATAACTTTGCCGATGATTAGTCACATAGAAATCAAAGATAGTGGACGTTTACCTCCTACATCACACGTGGTTCCCTGAAAGCCCGTGGCGCATGCGCAGAAGAAAGCATTTTCTCCGTTCTGTTCGAAACACGTTCCTCCATTGAGACAAGGGTTCGAAGAACACGCTCCGGATGTTTTAGCAGACAAAACACATTTATAAGCAATTTTATGGTGAGGATGTTTAAAGCACTCTTCATCTAAAGCTGTCTTGTCTCTTTCAAAGATCCCTTAAAACATATTTCTTCCCTCAATAAGTTAATTTAATTTGTAATATTTTATTTTAAGTATTTCATGTTTCTCTTTACATTGTGTAATTCTGTAAACGCTGTGGTACTTTGTTTTGGGGCTCCTAAATGATCGACTGTATAATTATTGATTTATAACTTGGCCGATGTAACTGATTAGTCACATAGAAATCAAAGATAGCGGTCGCTTACCTCCTACATCACACGTGGTTCCCTGAAAGCCCGTGGAGCATGCGCAGAAGAAAGCATTTCCTTCGTTCTGTTCGAAACAGGTTCCTCCATTGAGACACGGATCCGAAGTACACGCTCCGGCTGTTAAGTCAGAAGAAAACAAAATGTTTGCAAGCAATTCTTTTAAGCACTCTTAATCTTAACCTGTCTTAACCCGTCTTGTCTCCTTAAAACATACTTCTCCCCTCAAGAAGGTAATGTAATATTTTCTTCAATTCTATGTATTTCGTGTTTCTTTTCACATTGTAATTTTGTTTTGGGGCTCCTAAATGATCGACATTATAATTATCGATAATAACGAAAGGACTTGAGAACTGAGCCATCTACAATTGTGTTTTGTATAGTTAGTGATAATTATTATCCTTTGCTTATATGGGTAATTTAGTTATTAGTTTAGATTTATTACGGGCGGTTTAATCACTGCTATCTTACGATCAACACATGGTGATAATATATGGAATTTCACTGTCTTTAGGTGACAAAAAGATTATTAAAAAGAAACTTTAAATGTTGCTTAAGTAATTACTGGGATGACACGTTTCCAGGGTATCTCATCAAAATCGGAGAACATTTTATTAGGGTCGGTGAATTTGGTAAAAATTCCCCCCTTAATGGTCCTCTAATTATCAAATTTTTCAATTTTGCTCACAGAGGATCAACAACAAAAAAAGATACAAGAAAATGTGCATCACTTTTTTGCGATTGGCGGAGTCGAAGTCGAGAAATTTACCATCAGGAAATTTGGAATACGGGGTTTTGATTACATTAACGGCTATGATGCACGTGATAAAATTGTTGAAGGGATTTTATTGTGGATGCTTCTTTGTATTTGTCTTAACACATTTGATAGATGTACCATACATTCTACATTAATTGTATTCGAAACTACTGTGTCATGCAGATTAATCATTTTAAAAGGTAACTAAAGTGCAATCTATGCAATGAGATAAACCTGCGGTACAATTCTAGATAATGGTGGCATTTATAGAACATAAAATATTCCCCCTTTTAAAAATGTTCAAACTGTCTTTGGAATTCACACGGAATATTTCTTGTAAATACGCCGTAATTTACACTGACCAAAACATGTGATTAACAATAATTGTATTTGAACAAAACGTATAATTTGATAATAAGCTAAAAATAATACGAATACTGATTGTTTTCCTACACAAGACTTTGCCATACAACATACGATTAGTTATTTTGTATTCAAACTTTCCACAATCATTCTCCTACAGCAGCTCTGGATACAAAACACACAGATCAATCTTCCAACAACCATGCATATAATATATCATGAGAATGCAGTACAAACACCCATGCAAACCTTACCTTAATTCCTTAAAGATTCTTTACCCTCGATCCAATGAGTGCAAGGTTAATTTTAACAAGGGATAACAGCAACAAAATAGTAGGAAATGTTTTCGGTTACACAAGGATTAAAGATCGAGATTAGAAAATGGTATGAGGAAGAGAAAAGTAACATTAATAGTATCCAACACGATAGCGTTATAGCAATCTGCGTGAAGAAATATGAGAAAAGTTGTTACTGTATTGTTAGAAAGAAGATAGCTAATTTGAAAGATCCATTGGTGGACTTCTTGGCGCTGGAAAAAGAAGGAGTTCAGAACATGTGAAATAGGTGGTTATGAAATGTTAATGAAAAATCAAAGCTCATTTCAGGGACCAGTTTCACAAAGCCTTTTTTCAATGACAAATGACTAAAATCAGTGACAAATCTGCTGATGGCCAATCAGAAGCAAGGATTTTAGTAGCTTCTAACAAAACCTGTCGTTTGTCACTGATGACAAGTTTTGTGAAACGCCCCCTTAAGACTTACCTGGTATCTGACATCGGTTACCAACGTAACCACTGATACAAGAACACAGGAATGAAGTGGTGCTAATGGGTATACAGGTGCCTCCGTTAAAGCATTGGTTAGTAAGGCATATTCCTGGTGTGGTTAGATGTGCGTGAAGGTGAAGCCAAGAATGATGGATCAGCGAAAATATAAAGAGAGAAGGGTGAAGGAGAAGGGTAAAGGAGAAGGGTGAAGGAGCAGCGTAATGATAGATTGGTGAGTAAGATGATGGATACAGCAGTGTTGGACAGATTGGTAGAAAGTGAAAGGGGTGGGTGTTTCTATTACAAAGAGTGATATTGATGATACAGAGGTCACAAGATTCATTGAAAACGGGTATTTCACACACACACAATAAAATTGAATCAGGAAACATGGTCCATTACTACCAGCAATTACCAGTAGTCAACACCCAAGGTATTTTGACTCATTCGTTATCGACATCATCAAACTCCTTTAAGTATACCCGATAATTCTATAAAGATTAAAGCCCTGTGAGAGCTTGGATCAGAAATTCTGTTCAGTGATTTCCACCCGTATATAAACGACCAGTACCTTTGATTTGCCCATGCACATTAACCATCCAACAACATCAGCAAAACCATTCACGAGTTCAACCACCGACTTAACTCTCATGTTTGGCACTGCAAAGGAGTCAACATGCGCATGCAATCACTTTCAAATTCTTTAATTGTTAGTAAACGTTTTAGTCAACACTGTCACCAACAATATATGGCCTTCACATCTTCAAGTTGGCTTCATGAACTCACTGACATAAGAAGCCTTACATAGATTCACTGCCAGCACGATCGCAAAAACTTTCTAGAAAATCAACCCCAGACAATTTCAATATATATGCATCGCCTTTGAAACGTGACAATATAGCAGGACATTTTATACAGTTTGAACACCAATTCTATGGGCAAAACAGTAGAGTCTTGACATTCCCCTTGAGTTAATTTCTTGAAAGTTTTTCAGGTCGTGTTTTTTGAAAAGCTTTACGGAAAAGATCGAACAATATGGAACACTTCAAACTGTCGCAGTGACAAATATGACAAGATCGTTGTACCTGCTTGAGTTTCACACTGCACTCCAACATAACCTGCCCTACATGAGCAGGTGTATGTAAGCTGGCCAGTTACAGAGCAAAACCCGTTATTCTGGCATGGGTTTGGATTGCATGTGTCTATGGAGTGAAAAGGGTTAGAGTTAAAAGTCGTTAGTATGTTAAACTGTCACATTATTAAATGTTTATCGGAAATTAGTAAGTTGTCGTTATTTTGTGAGTAATTGATGCTATTAAGTCTATTTTAGTGTTAATAATTTAATTATATTATAAATAAATAGTTTATACTGTTAAAACACATGATCATAGATATCTTTCATAAAATATTTTTGTTAATACAATGATATGTATAGGGCTGTTTCAAAGAGATGTACATCGAATTGAACATGACAGCGAAAAAATAGAGAAACACAACTCATGCAATCTTATTTTAATCAAATCGAGCATATTTCCCTTTTGTGGGCCATCTTAACAGTTTCAAAGGGAAGAAGTATTACACCCCATTGGTCCTAACACTGTTGGTTCATGATTAGGCATTGGTCGGGGCTAGGGAAGGTGTTCGGTTACTTCATCTCTAAAGCTACGGTCACATAGGTTCTCCCTGTTTTTCCATTGTCTTCCCGAATTTCGATTGTCTGAAAATTGTTCGTACGGCGTTCGTAGCAGTTCGTAATGGCATTTGTGACCGAGGCTTAAACACCAGCTCGACCGAAACCGCGGCGGCGATTTTGTTTTAATGATGGCGTAAAGCGTAATCCGCATCACATGTCTGTATCTCATAACACAGATCATTGAATACGCGCAGGATCTTTGATGCTTTTCATTGACACGTAAAAAAATGTTTATTAAAAATAAACGCGGAGGTTGTTTTCTAGCGATTTACCGCGTGATAGCTAAACAAGGTAAAGCCCAACCCATTAAGGCCCTTTATAGGGGTGGATCCGGATGGTAGCGTAGGACAAATGGGAATGCCATCCAACAGACAAGATCAATGGTTGAGGGCAGTGTCTGCAAAGAATGCAAACCTCACTCGAGTGACCCAGGTCGGGTAAACAAAAAATAGGGTGTACCTCTTTCAGAGCAAAAAGGCCCCGAGAATCCGGTAGTGCATAAACATTGGTAAGTGAATTGACCATTCGCCTGACATACGGCGCCATTTTGACATAAGTTGGTTGCACATGGGCCTAAGCCGCCTGAGATAGTGTTGGAAGAAAGATGAATGGTGAGATAAGAGTTAAAAGTTACCATACAAATAAATAAAGTGAGGTGAGGTGAGGTTACGAAAATACAAGGTTCGGTTAATAAATATGTGACGTGCTTATGCAATGTAAATATTTAGAAAGCATCGCCTACAATTATTCTTCAGACTGATAAAGTGAGGGGTGATTTGCTGAGCAAGATCCTAAATTTTGATTGCATTTTCACACTGATAAAACTGTGCTGTAGAAATTGGTTAAAACGTACATCATCCCCACCCTCCATATACAATTGACATGCTGATATAAATCATAACAAAGTCGTTGAAATGGAAATAAACATCAAAAGACATTAAGTTAATTATAGAGATTATGGTTATGGGACGCATCAATGAACAGAATGGACGTGCAATTACATTATTAGTGTAATATCATACGTGAAAGATGGCCAGATATTAAGCATTTTCTACTCTTGTCCCTCTCCCTCCTCCCTCTCTCTCTCTCTCTCTCTCTCCCTCTTACACACAAACACACACACATGCACACAGACACACATATAGATTTTGCAACTACTCTATTATTATATTATAACATGTTATTGTTAATCATTTATTCCGTCATAACTGTTAGGTTATAAGATAAAAATTATAATAAGATGAATAATTCATGAGAAATTCTGATCTTACCTTGTAAAAGTGAGATGGAAGATGATTGTATATCGACATAATACTGGGTCTGTACGATAACAATAGTTGCGCTAGGGGTAGAATAAAACATAGATTAACATGAATTCCACTGGGTAATGTGATGACCATCACATCGTTATGTTATACATTATTTCAAACATTTTATTCATTGGTACGGTATATTTTTATGGTACGGTATATTTTTATGGTATGATATATTTTATTTATTCACCTGGGTGGAGAGTGGCAAATGTAGATCAATGTCTTGCCAAAGGACATCAGTCCGGTGACATATCCACTCGACCACGACACCTCTACAAAAAATACAATATTAAAATGTCATCATATACGTTTGAGTTATATATTGTAAGACTTACTGAAATGAGATGGATCCAAGGGTCGTACTCTGTGGTGCTATCCAAGTGAATGTGATTGGAAAGAACTTGTTGTTGTTATTCGTATGCGTTAGGGAGTCAGCATTGCCAGAACATGACTTGGTCTGAAGACTTGCTGATAGACCGTCGGTAGACCAGGAGCCAACGATAGCACCAGACGATGTCCTGGCCTGGAGTAGGATGCCTCGGAACTGGCTCGTACCTTGGACTTGCACTGTAGGAAAGACAATGGGGATATTTGTGAAAGGCTTAAAGAAAACGAAATATATAATTTGAAATACGATGAAAGAATATTTTCATCATTGTTTTAATGAGTTTTGTGCTGTTTTTGTGTGTTCTTATGTAAAGGCTCTTGATTCTAATAGGGGAGGTCCCAGGTTCGATTCTTACTCGGTACCTAACCTTGGGCAAGGTGTTTTACCCATGTTTATTCCTCTCGACTTTGGTGGTTTAAATCGGTAAGTGGCAATATTGGGGTGATAATTAAAGTACGCGCAGGCAGAGTCATGTTATTAATTAAGTGGCTACCCCGGGAAAAGCAGGACCTTATTATCAATATTGTATTATGATTATTACAGTTTATCGGTGTTTTACAGACGTGTGATTATTAATGTATGGGGGCGTCTGCCAGATGTGACCCAGTTTCAAAACTGGGGGGGGGGGGTTCCGTCAGAGGGGATTGCAATCACAAAAGGCATATCTCCCATGACTGTGGTATCGCATAAAGTATAATTGGTCAGTAATGTGCATTTTCATACAGGAGGTTATCTTCGTATTACTATTATAACTGATCATGACATAAAAAACGCGTATTTTTCTATTTATTCTCATATCTCTTCCTCTTTATATGTCATTTCGAAGACATTGCCGTATAATCTTGTCAGTATTATCATCGTCACATCAGAAATATATACATGTGTCAAGAAAGGAAGAACTGTATACAAGACATGTCACTTAAAGCGCATAGTACACCTCAGCCTATATGACGATGAACTGAAATATTCCTTCTTTGTTAGTTGTATTTGTGTAACCTTCTGAGGTAGTAGACGTCATGGATTGATTATAAAAGAGTTGACAAGTTGACCATTTCTATTCCCACAATGTAAAGTTCTTTTCTTTCTTCGCATTAACCGTTTCGTTCTAAGATACATACTGGTGTAATGATGTGAGTGTAAGGTTTGTTCATTTTTCTGTCGTTGATCAGAAGTCTGTAATAAATTTTCGACATCATAATTATAATTTACAACCATACTCTCAAGTATTCCTATTATATGTAATTGTATGTATGTTTTTGTTGTTTTTTGGGGGGGAGGGGTAGATCAAAGATTTTTAAACATTTGATTCACCCCTCGTTAAATTCACATGCATGATATTCTATTGTCCTCTTAGATTAAGTATGTATAGTGAATTAAGTTATTTGAATTTTAATCCCGTTTATATATTTTTAGTGATATAAATTTAAATTTAAATCAAAATTTAAATACATGAGATTGAAACCCGTTATTGTATCCCATACAGTTCTTTCCCCTCTATATCCACCCCACTCTCTCACTTACTTGTCGCTTTACTCCCCGGCACCTCTTACTACCTCTATCTATTTTGCGCTATACCCCCCCCCCCCTCTCTCTCTCTCTCTCTCTCTTCAATTGCAGACACACCTTTTCATGAACTGTCGTTCTACCACTCCTTAAACCATTTCGCTTGACTGAAATGAATCACTTATTGTCACACACAAAACGATTTGTATAGAAAAGTACAATATTTATCGCATATATAAGTGCGATTGCGATTACATGGCAAGGGCATTTTCCTTTCAACTCTTTGTATCGAAATATTTCGATCGGAACGCTTGATAAGGCCTTTTCAGTCTAATCCTACCTATCCCAAAATGATTACTGTAGATTTACTTCTTACTAAAGGTTGGTCCAAATATCTTGTCCGACATTTTCTTATTAATAAGCAAAATTGAAAATGATTATGATTACTAGGTCTATCCTAAATGTCTTGAAGAAAAAACATATTACAATGACTGATAGGTACAAAGGATCACCCTTTCTCTGTCAAAGGGCGTATTTAACCTACTTCCCCTCTTTTTCCAGATGACATTTCGTACATAACCAAATTCTCCCACACACATGACAAATGTCACTTTCGACAGATATGAATCCTACGATGTCTATTTCCCATACTTGTTTCTTGTTTAATTTCCCCCAAAATGATAGCGTATATTTCGTAATAGCCCAGGAATGATGAGTATTACCTCTTAATCAAAAGTGCAGTCATTTTTTTTGTTATCAAGTTTGTGGGACTGCGCCTTTATCCTGGCCTTGGGGGAGGTAGCTATTCCGCACCTTTGTACCATGGTGCGGGGAAATAGTGTTTACTATCGAGGCGAGGATAATAGGTGATGGGTGAGGCACTATTCATCGTGGTCATTGTTATCCCATGCAGAAGTCATAACAAGTGGAACTCTTGGCTATGTGGGAACTAGACCAGTAAATTCTAGATGTACCGTTCAAATATTTAGTTTGTATCTTGTATTCTTGAGGGAAAAAAGAGCAATAGCGTCGATTGTATTTTAAAAAATCCTATTGCTGTAAAAACGAATCACAATCTAACAGTTCCTATGTTTAAATCAATCTTCACTAAAAAGACTAAAATTGTAATAAGTAGAAATCAAGACATCTTCGTTGTTTCACTATGTCCATGTAGAAGAACGAAAGATATGTAGAAACGTAACAAATGTCACTCATTTTAATAGAACATGTATCAATCATGATCACAAAGAATTTTGCTAGAATCATTTCACGACTTTGAATGGCTGTTATGCAGAACAGACTTGTTTTCACATTCCGTCAGCTAATACTCTAAAAAGCGGGTTCCTTCTTGATTAAATAATGCTTAGATTCAGGAAATAAATTGTCGCCTATTCCTTCTTCGGATCAGAATTGACACAATGAGTCATGTTTAGTTACGTATTTAACACACTTGCACAAGCACAGGCTAGTATATGATGCAACGACAAAATATTGATAATGTCTTTTTATGCTCAAATTATTGACGCAATATTTATTTCAAAACAATCTTATGATATATTCATTTGGAAGAAATCGTTCTAGTCGGCAGGATTCGGATAAGAAAGGATCATACTATTCAGAAGGCGCTCGATCAATATGGAAAAAAACACATCACAAAACACCGATTTTGTGGTTAATGCGCCCATTGAAATCTCCTAGGACCAAAGAGGTAATACCTAAACAATGCCCTGCTATACATTTTGCAAGGTCCTGTACAATCTCTAATCTGTGTCCAGAGATCACTTGTATTTTTTAGGAAGGTTATCGACCATTGAATTTTAAAGTACATGGTTACGATTACATGTACATGAACGAATCGTGGTAATTGTACGTAAACGAGGACAAATCCAAGATATTTTATCCCCTACGTTACTGACCACATTTATGATTTTAGTATATTCTGACCATTGTATCAACATAACAAAACTTTTGAGAGTTTGAGACCCAATATGAAATGAAATCACATATTCAATGTCAATTTATGGGCAGAACCGCAGAAATATAAAGTATACTTTACCTGGGAATTTAATCGGTGCCCAGAAGGATTTATTCTTCATAATTTATTGTGTCTGCTAAAGGGTGCGGAAATTGTGCCATTAGTTGAATGAATGGGACATGGGATTTAAGGGGTTTATAAGAATTGAAGCGGTCATGGGTTCTTTAAAAAGAAAAACTTTGATTATTCTGGGGATAACCTGCGAATAGGATAATTAAAGGGAGTATTCAACGTTCTGAAACGACAATGGTAGTCGGTAAATTGTCTGGAGGAAAAACTGAAGTCTAAGGTAACCCAAAGACATGCGACAGAATAGTATCCATGTGAATATTTATCATTTTTTCAGTGTGAGACATCATGTCCATTTACAGTAGAGTAAGATGTATACAATTTCCCTAAATGTCAATTTTCCAAAAAATGTAGGGTAAGGGTTAGGGTGAGGAGGTTCTTTTCTTTTAATATGACTATTTTATATGCTATCCATAATAAATTGTGAGTAGCGCCCCAAGGGAAAAGACCCTAAATAGTTACAGCATAAATCAATGATATTTCTGTACGCGACAAACGTAAGAGTTGTCCATGACTACGTCACAATCCACTGATCAAAATGCTACTCCGCGATTCGCATAGATTTAGTGATCTTGTGTTTCTAACATTCATTGCCCCCTTATTATTTGTCCGATTTATTTAAAATTCGTTTCGTTTCTCTCATTTTTCTGATTTTATGCAAATGAACTAATTACAAGGGGTATATTGCCCCTTAAAGCCCCACCGCACTAGTTTGGCCAGGAGGGATTGACCTCCCGTCATGGTCACGGACAGGTGGTTATCTCATCAAATTAGCTCCAAATTAACATAACAAAAAGGGGACCATGGGGGACCAATGGTCACCGATTGGGCATTGTTTGCTATATAGAGGGCGCAAGTAGGTATACGTAGTGCAGTGGGGATATAAATAACACATTTACTCCCATAAGAATGTAAAGGTACGTGATGTTTGGGAGATACACGGTTGGTCTAATTTCAGGAGAAGAAAAGAAGCAACCTGCAATTCAAATAAGGGCCTATTATCCCCGCAGACGTCTACGCAATCGGTGTGTACCAAACTAATATTGGTCGTGCATAATTCATTGATTCTACCAATGTGTATGAGCGTAACATGCCGTCACCCTGGTTTCCATGGTTTGGTTTTAACCCGCGTTCAGACTGCCAGAATATATCGTATAAGGCTATGCGATAAGTCAATAATTGTGTTTTCCTTGTCTGAACGTCTCATAACGAAACGCCTGCTTCAGCATCGTTTTCTACTCAAAACGCGATAAGGAATCAGTGTCTGGTTCTAACCTGAACGTGGTGTCGTTCCAAAATCATAATTATTATTGGGTGGGGCTTGTCTTGAGCGCACACTGATGATGTCAACTGACCTCATTGAAACTAGTTTCTTTATTCGTTTCTTAATATGATGTGGTCATCCAGCCTTTACGTCCCATTCCGTAAACGATGATTCTTTATACGGCGGTACGCGTTCTTCATACGAGTTTCGTATCCATGTATTGTAGTCGGAACGGACTTTGAGAGTGTTTGTAGGCCAGCTTATTCCGCTATTCCGTGTGTACAAACACTTGACGTTGAGCTAGCTTG